ATACAAACTCCACGTGGATAGCACCCCAAGACCAGAATTGACAGCAGGACCCCCAGATCTACAGGGCAGCATTGCTCACCTCTGAACCACTGTGCTACCCTAATCAAATATATCAAGTTGTTTATATTATGGCACTTTCAGCAGGTAAACGTGATAATGTGATTGTCTGCAATGTGACAATATTGGCCTGCTGCTTTAACTTCCTTTACAGTTCTCACCAGTGTAATGGGATACATGGACCACAGCAGCCGATCTGTGTTGGTTAAGATCTGCAGTGGCTGCCAGTGTGTCTAAATGTGAATAATTCCTGTTTATGAAAGACTTGCTCCTTTCATGCTCTCAGAAGAGCAGCTGGTAAGCCTCGCCCATGGCACAAGGAGGAGACACTGTAATGGCTGCATTGCTGGGGTTACAAGAGCTTTGCCAGAGCAATTCAAGTGAGGGATTCACTTTATAGCCCCTTCTTTTCAAGGAGACTGGAGGACCCTTGATGTCTTACAGCTGTATTTGGGCTCAGATGTCAGGACGCGAAAGAGGGCTTGGTTGTCTGTGTTTACAGCTCTCAGATGCCATTATTCAACATTAAATATTTTTCAACACATGGGCCTTCAGCACATATCATGGTTTTTGCTGTTTGTCATTTGATGCAGATTGATCTCTGTGATATGAAGTTTGAGATATACAGTACATATGAAACATTCATTCTGCAGGTTTTCGAAAATATTTTTTTTCTCAAAGGGTACAGCTATTGAATAAAAAAGTTTTTGACAGATGCTGATGCTTACAAAACACAACATGCCATACTGTAGATGTTTCTAGATATCATCCAAGTAGGTTTCTTCAAAGTGTAGAAACCCAAGAATTGACTACATGAAAAATGTTTGTGCCTCACAGACGAAAGGCACATTGGGGTTATTTCCACAGTTTCTTGTGTTACAGACAACTATGATTAATCTACTGCGTTTGCCTCTTTTCTGTTTGTGATGTCTGGGGATTCTGTGATTGAGATATTACCCGTCAAAATTACTTTTTATTTTGAGGGAATTCCAAGTTATAGCACTGAGTGCTGCTCTTGTAGATTTTCAGATTGTACAGATGTTTCCTTGGAATGTTAAGAAGTTGCTTATTTGACAAAATTAATTACAATTTGCTCAATGGTGTGTCAGCTTGCTTGAAGTTAACAATCTTCCTACCATCAAGGGATCTAAAATTTGCTGAAGCAAGAAGGTTCAGCTGTGCTCTGGCAGTTTATTGACAAGCTCACTAACCCCAAAGCTGGGCCAATCTTTCCAGCATCATTATTCAATCGTTTACATTGTGATGCCATTGATCGAGGGGATAACATAATATAAAACCTGTCAGCTTTAACTTTGATTACAAGTGCTTTCCACCTTATTTATTGTTCCTGGTATTCTGTGTTTGTCAGTAGCTAGTCCTGTTGTCTATTGTTGTTGTCCTGTTGTTTTTTGTTATAAACAGTATAGAAATCAGCATCTAACATTGTACTATAATGTACAAAGGCAGCCAGATAAACTTAGAACATAATGGTTACAAATGAGCCATTTCACCTATCTAGCCCATTGGATAGTACGTCATTTATTGATCCAAGGATTTCATCCATCTGTTTTTATTGTAAAAAGCCAAGGTATTGGCTTCAACAATGTCCCCGTGGATGGCTGGATACTTTGTTCTATTTTCCCATAGCCCTTTGGATAAGACATGCCTCCTAAACTTGGATTTAAATCCTCTTCCAGATAGTTTGCATTTGTGTCCCTTGGTTCGTATTTCACCAATTTGAAGAAAACTGCTGGGTTGACTTTGTTGGCACCTTTGAGGATTTTGAATACTGTACTTGTATTTGGGTCCCCTTGTGGTCTTTTCTGTTAAAGGATAAAAAAATGTTCAGTTCCTTTAGCCTGTAAGTGTGCGCCTTTTCCTTAAGCCCTGGGAAGTATCTAGTTATTGTTCTTCGGACTGATTGCAGCATGGCAATATATGTTCCACAAGATGGTGACCAAAATTGTACATATTATTCTGAATGAGGCCTTACTAGAGTGTTATACAGTTTTAAAATATTGTTCCCTGATTTAAATGCTTACAACTATATCTGAGCGTTCTGTTTGCCTTTTGCCTTTTAAACTACTTGCCTGCTTAATCTAGAAGATGTACTGTCTCAAGAAATACATCGTTTTCGTAAAGCTTCTTCTATCTCTCTGTTTTGCATTTTGTATTTATAGTCTGATTTTACTACGTACAGTATCTATAAATACAAAATGGGAAACACATTGAGCATTTACCATAATTGAAGCAGCACTACTGTCGGGAATTATCTTTTTATGTCCCAACATCTTTAAGCAAATATCCCATATACTGTATAAGCAAAGTTAGTGGTTAATTCCCTGCTGAAAAGTAGAAAGAAGAAAAATCACTGTGTTATACTGCAGAGACTTCTTCAGCTGTGAAGGAGCCTGAGAGCTGAGTGTGGAGGACGGAAGAAGGAGAATGGGAGCACCGGCGTGGAAGTGTGACCAAGGAAAATTAAACCTGGAAAATGAAGTCAAGGGGAAGTCTGAAAAGCCAAAATCTGTGAATGGATGGAGAGATTTAGTCGGTTGTTGAAAGCAAGGGGAACTTGGGAACCTACTGGATATTAAGATTAATTTTGCTTTCTGGAGAAATGACAGACAGAAAAGTCAGTATTTTCGTAGACAGGAGAAGAAAAGAGGGGAACCTTTGGCTCAGGGAGATATTTTATCCCCAGTGCTCCATGTTCCCCAAAAACAGTTGGTCAGTCTTCCCCTTATAAATCGCAGGGCACTCTCTGCTAGAGATGCAAAAAGGTCAGTTTGCTGGACAAACATGATACCCTCTGAATTATTTTGCAGTGGCCATGGGAGACATTTGTATGTAAGTTGCTGGTACTTACTGGTAATAGTGCAGCTTCTGTTGCAAGAAAAGGTTTCAGAAGTATGAGAAGGCTGTGAGCGCTTTATGGAATTGTGGGCAAGAATGTACAGTAGACTATGTGGGTGGTAGTATGAGATTGACTGTTGAGTCTGGAGAGAAAGGTTCCAGTTCAAGGGTCATCCTGTATAACATGTTTATGACTCCTCTCTGCTGCAGTTATACCTGTGCCAAATCAATAGTATTTCTTAATTACTGTGAGGTGCTGTACTGTAATTCAGGAAGCCAAATGACTCATAATAGAGACCTCTTTGAAGTATAATTTGTTTTTATACTTGCATCTTAATAAGGGAGCCACTGGAACCAGAATTATTAAATGTGTTCATTTTGTTTGCTATTGTCGACTTGCTTGAAGAGTCAGATCTGCTTTCTCTCTAGTGGTTAAAGTTGTTAGGATTTATTCCACTGGTCTGTTGCAAACTGAACAAACTGCTGAACAGCATTTCTTGTGATCAGACAGCTTGTGAAAATTAAAAATGACATACTAATTAAAATGAGTTTTGCAATTCTTTTGTAGAAAACGACTCATTTGGAAACAGTAGCCTTTGACAAGGTGTGCTCATATGTTTCCAAATAGTAACATGTTTAACCATCTTTTAAACTGACAGATACCACTTAAAATGCCATACTTATTAATAATGTGTTAACTGCACAATACATCAAATTGCCTTTCCTTCTTTTCAACTTAAACAGTGATTCCACAAATTAAAAATGATTGTTAAAATACATTCTTCAAATCCTAATTACAGAACTTAAGGCTTCCTCCCATTGTACAAATAAATTGATAAAGGCAGGATTAATTAAGGTAGTCATAATACTGTTACAGAATAGGGAGTTAAGAAAATAGAAAAACAGAGAAGGACAATAATGAAAATAAATAAATAAAACACCCAATTTATAAAGAAATGCCAAGAATATACCCAAGTGCTTCAAAGTAAATGGGAATCTTTCTCCCACTTCTAGAAATGCTGACTCGGAGACAATGTCTTTAGCCTGGGAATTCCTTATGAAGGAAATTAGTTTCTTAATATAAAAGAAGAGTAAGTTTTTTTAAACAAGGTTCAAATACTTCTGGTCTTTAATGCTGATCGAGTTCGTCTCATCTGGCACGCTGCTTCTCCTCTTTTCCGTCTATCTTCCTTCTCTGATTTTTTTCTTGGGTTGCTGCTGGAAGAGCTGTTAGTGGGAGTGTGAGTCTAATGTCCAAGGTTTAGTGTCACTTTACCGCAAGAAAGGCACTGTGTTTCAGATGAGACGTAAAAGCGAGGTCCTAACTCTCTGTATTCGTTAAAAATCCCAGAGAATTTCTTGAAAAGGAAAGCGGAGTTAACCTCTGGTGCCAGATTTTAACCTGGCCTTCAACAGTCGTAGCCTCCTAATCATCTCCATCTATGAACTGGCTTAATCACACTCTTCTCCTCCCCAGAAGACCTGAAATAGTTTGTTATTATTCCTGAAAAATCTGTGCCACATAATAAACATTGCCCCAGAATACAATAAAATTGGATATGGTCATACCAAAGTTGGAGAGGGCTTTAGCTCTTTTGTCATGTTTTTATTTTTTCTAAACCAGAGTTTAGCCAGTCCTAGCATCTCTAGTGTACTAAGTACTAATATTAGTATAGTAATAAGAACTAACTTTAAATGTAAAGTTTTAGGAATAAACATGAGATTGGCATGTGTAAATAATAGTAATGAAAGCTAGCAAGGGCAATATGTTAAGTACAGTAAACCCTTTTTACAACTCTTACAAACTGAGAATTCAATTTTCTGTGGTAAACTACTGTACAAAAACTACCATTACATGTTCTTGGATGCTGCTGGATACAATTGTCCACTCTTATGCAGCACTATCCCGTGACAGTTGTAATTGAGCTGTAATTGTAAATGCCATGTAGCAGGCACATACAAGTACACAGTGGGAGCGCTGCTGAACTGGGACCGGAAAGTGATATCTCTCCTTCTACAGGACTGTCATCCAGCATCTCCCCTTTCAATTCTAACATCCCCTCCCCGCCTTTCTGTTTCCTCTCCAGATGAGTTTAAGGGCTCAACCATAGTGGAACTGATGAAGAAGGAGGGCACCACCCTGGGGCTCACGGTATCTGGGGGCATCGACAAGGACGGCAAGCCCAGAGTGTCTAATCTGCGCCAGGGGGGAATCGCTGCTAGGTAAAGTACTGCTGCTTGTCGCCGCTGCTGTTTTGGAAGTGTGTTTTTAAATACACCTCATAAATGATTCCATGATTAAGCACAAGGATCCTGGGGCTTGTTCAATTAGCTGCTTGTCAGGCATGTTTGCTCTTCGCAGGGTTAGGAGGCCTTCTTCCCTTTCACTAGCTCACATCGTGATCACACCACAGAGAGAGCAGGAGGATTCGCTGTCTCCTCTCTAATGTACAATCCGCATCATCTCCGACACATGTGGGTTCCAGTCGCACAGTATTTTTTTCCCCACAGCTGCTTATCCAACCCATTTGCATCCCTGAATTTTATTCCGATGCCTGTTTTGCAAATATTATGGATTACTCAACTTCTTCATCTTTTTTGTTTTTGTCACCAATATAGCACTGATACCGCTGAAACTGCGCAATCGAACAACCTATTTCTTTTTAATTTTTAAACGATTCTGTTTAATTCATTAAACTGTATTTTCTTTCCATTATATTATTTTCACATTGTTAATTTAATACACCACTCTCGCTGTGCACCAGTGTCAGATGAAATGGCATTCTAGACCACATCTTTTTTGTCATGTCCTTGTTTTACATTTTGAATGTTTGAAATTGGTTTGACATCTTGTCATTATCTACTTGGTCCATGAACCCATCAGCCAGTCAAGTTCTTCATCCACAGGGTTTTGACTGACAACTCAGGGAAACTAGATACAACCTGGCTCGTCAGCACCCTTACATAATATGATGTTTTAGTGAGCCACTGGGACACGATTGGTATGGTATAATAATAAAAGAAATATTCTTTAGTTGTCTTATTTACTCTCCACTCAATGTCTTTTGAATATGGAGGCCGATTAGGTCCACAATGAAAAAATATTATTGCGTTATTACCAGAAAACACTGTAATTTCTCAGTAAGTATTAAGAAGTAATTCTCAATAAGTATTACGTAATTACCAAGAAATATTGCATGGTTTCACTTTATGTATTGCATTTTAACAAGATTATGTCACAATAAGTATTGCATTTTAATGACATATCATTGTGTAAAACTTAGACGAACACCTTTGTCCAGCATGTCATGTATGTAACATAATTCTTGTCTACCACTGCTTGACTTAATTTAACTTTTTCCACAATGAATGAGTAGGCAACTTACACATACAGTACACAGAACACTAGGGGTAGAATTGTATTGGTATTTGTGGCATTGTGAAACGATACAATAGTTTCTTTAAATTAATGTCTGTGCATTAATGTTGACTGCTTATGCAGGAGTGCATGTCAATGTGTTGGCAGTTTCATGCTACACCGTGTATTTTCTGCATTTCACACAACTGGTGGGGACGGATCCAAGGCAGAACTTGTCACCTGACCCAAATGCTTCCAAAAGCGAGAGACTAGGTTTGCGAGTGTTTGTTTCTAATCACTTGGTGAGTTAGTTGATGACATGTGTTTAACCCAGGAATGCTCAATTACCAGAAGGAAAAATAGAAACTAAAAATACATGCAGTATGTGTTTCCTTTATCCTAATTGTTTTCCACAAAAGGGATGTGGCATTATCCTTTTATTATTCTAAATGAAGATGGTACTTATATGAAGATGGTATTCTGGTGTCTAAGCTATTTTTAAACATAAATTTGCTAAATGTTTTTGTCTGTTTTGTTTTTCATTCAAAAACTGAAAGATAGCAACTGGTGGTTCTCTCAAGAAGTACTTTCAGCTTGGTTCAAGATGTAGGAAAAAAACAAGAAACACTTCATTGGAACAGCTTCACCCCTAGAACCTACTGCCACAACCAACAGACTGATATACTGTATCTTAGTGGAGTTGTGCAGCCAGCATTATTATTTCATTATAAGGCAATGACAACTGCGAAATAAGTAATGTCTCATTAAAACATGCTATAATGCAATAACGTTTTCTTCTGTATGGTGCTAAGTGGCTTTCATACATAGACGGATAAAAATTGACTTGAAATGCAAAAACATGGAGCAGGGGGGATGATTCTGATTTTCTCTTAATAATCGTTTTAATTATTTTGTGTTATTTTAATTAAACAAGCGCAGTTCTGTAATGACTAGACACTCCTTTTCAAACCTCCCCATAGATTTGTCTGTTGTACACAACAATTAGTGTTTTTCTGCTCATCTGAGACACATTTGCTGACATCCATTATGGTGAATTATACCAAACAAGTGCTAAATACAGCTTTGCTCCTCTGCTAGCAAGTCTATCTTGGGTTTTGATAAGTGGGACATGTTGGTTGCTTTCTGTGTTTTTCTTTTGCGATTTACTACACCCTTAACATTTAATGAGTTCAATAACCTCCTCACCTTTGCCCAATCAAATCTCTCCATAACAAGGTATTGTAATTTAGCGTTTGTGCCAAGTCACTTGATTGTGTCAGTCATTCATGAATGAACAGTTATTTAAAATGATGCTAAAAGCATCAAATTCTGTATAATTTACTTTTATAAAAATATATGCAATAAATAGCGAGAGGTTTCTTTGGATGTTCAGTGTTGATTGCACATGAATTCTGCATTACTTTTAGAACAGGATTTATAATATTTAAGAATTAATTCCTTCTTAGTTATGTACAGGAAAAAGATAATTTCAGATAAAGAAGCCAGTAAAAAGATGCTTCTAAGACTGAATGCCTTCTAAAATATGTCTGTATGTACTGTATCTAAAGGGTGATTTGAGTTTGTTTTCTCCCTGTTTTGGAACAGTTTGGAGTAGTACATAAAAATTGAATGAATTTTACTGGAAGATCTCCACCAGAAATTCAATGGTGTGTATTTAAGCATCTGTATTAGTCTAGTAAACTCCAGTACAGGAATAGGCAAACATTTGAGCTTCAAATAAACTGGGAGAAGCACAGCAGCACAATGGTTAGCATTGCTGTCTCACAGTGCTGGGGCCCCGGGTCCAATTCATAGGTTGCTGTCCAAGTGGCGTTTGAATGTTCAATATACTGTACTGTATAATACACAGTCATTTTCTCCTTTCTCAACTGTTTCAACATTTCAGGTTCTCATGTGAAATCATATCCTGTTCTTTTCCTGATTTTAGTTAAGAGTTGAATCTTAAAGATAAACATCTGCTGTTTTGGAGCAAATCTCTGAATAAATTGCTCAAGCAGGATGTTACGTCCCATTGTGTGGTCTGTGTGTGTTTTGTTGCTACATTACACACTTCCTGACCTTGATTGTTCTCCCTCCCCCATTGGTCCCATTATATCATTGTTTCTGTGTGACATCATCTTCAATCAGCTTCTCAACCAATCAGAACTCATCTTATTCACTATATAACATAGAGACTTTCAGAAGGAAGGAGCCTTTCGTTTGTTTGTTTGTTTGTGTTTGTTTGTTTGTTTGTTTGTTTGTTTGTTTGTTTGTTTGTTTGTTTGTTTGTTTGTTTGTTTGTTTGTTTGTTTGTTTGTTTGTTTGTCTTTGTTTCGCCATTACCTTGCCCAAACGTGTTATATGTTCAACCTTTGTGTTCTCTTGTACCCTGTTCCTGTTGACTACTCTCGTTTTCCCTTTTTTGTATTCCTAGTTAACTTGTGTATTTGTGTGAACTTTTGTGTATAGGATTAGTTTAGGTTGTTGGGTACACTTTACACACATACAGTAGTTGATTTTTGTATTAGTCACACTAGTTTAGTTCGTGTGAGTGCCATTTGTCTTGTATGGTTTTGGGTAATCAGTGAAAGTTAGCTTCACTGATTTGGGTAATCAGTGAAGGTTTGAAGATGCCGAAGACCGTGTGTTTTGGGTTTTCTTTTGGAGTTAGGTCAGCTTCCTTCACTTTCTTAGCCAGTTCCATTTTATTTGTTGTTTTCTTTCATTTGGCACCACTCTAGTTCCTTTTCACTGTTTGTTATTGTGTCCAATTACAAACCAGTCACTTATTCACCTTAAACTAATCACTTTTGCACCAACCCTTGTTGTCACACTTCCTAAGTCCCTCACCAGAACCCACCTGCATCCAAAAAGTATCCTAAATGTTACACCCCTTTACCCCTAGACACTTGGGGTCGTAACACAGGAGTAGGCTAGGTGCTGGGTTCTTGCTGGTTTTGAGAGGCAGCTTTCAATTAACACCCAGTTAAGACCTGGAAAACACAAATGATTTGATTCTTATCCACTTAATTGCTCCAATTAAGTCATTAAGGTTGAAGATGGAATGAAAACCAGAAACCAACGTGTTACTCTAGGAGCAGGGTTCATCCCTCCAAGGACCAGATCCTCTCTTCTTTATGTTTGAATTGACTTGATAGTTTTCTTTATATTTATATTACAATATAAATTACCAGGAAAATGTCAGTTATCTTATTTACAGTTCTTGAGCTACGTAGAAACACTGTTTGATTTGAAGTGTTTGATTATCATTTTGCTAACTGTCTTAACAACATTTTAAAATAGTTTCAGCAGTATAAAATAACGTTTAAAGGAAATGCCTCTTTCCCAAATAAACAGAAACATTTTGCTTTTTTTACAGGAGCGACCAGTTAAATGTCGGAGACTACATAAAATCAGTAAATGGGATAAACTTAACCAAATTTCGTCATGATGAAATTATTAGTCTCCTCAAAAATGTTGGAGAGAGGGTAGTGCTGGAAGTGGAGTATGAGCTGCCACCTATTTGTAAGTAATTATCTTCTGTTGCAAACACAGCTTGCTGTGCAAATCTCATTGATCGATAACATAAAATGCCATAATAATTGTTCACTTGAAACAGCAGGCTAATGACCACTGATAATCACAGTTCTGTCTCTGAAGCAAATGCTTTTTTGTGTTACATAAAGTAGGGCTGGAAGAGAGGCTCCTTCATTATGACTGGCTGCATGGAATGATAAAATATACCAGTATACAGTATGTTATTAAAATAGGCATTTTCTGTAGAATGAGCTCAGTCAGCTATAAAGGTTCTAAGACAACCAATGGTGAGTTAGAGGTACAGACATCTACTGTACAGTAGAAAGTAGTATTTTCAGAAACGTGGATAAACAAAAATAAAGCAGATGAGCTGAATAAGTCTGGTAGTAGAAAAGAAAAAAAATATGGTTGAATATAGAGGAGTAGTGGCTTTGTACATCTATGACAGAGAGTGTACACTCACAGGTCAAAATATTAGGAACCCCCACTGTGTAAATACCAAGAACAGCTTGACTCAGGGATTGAATAGTTGAGCTCCAGTCCTTTTCCACTCTTGTTGATTTTTCATCTCATTTGAGAAAATAAACCTGAATAACATTCCCTGGCTATTTGCTTCAGTGGTGTATGTACTGTATTAGTGAAGAGGCAGAGAAGATCCCTAAAGTTGACTTACAGTAGGTTTCTAAATTTACTTTGTCACTGAAATAAATTTGCTTGTGGAAATGGAGACATGTCCCTCATGCCAGGTATTGACTCTCACTTCAGAAAGCAAACATAATTATACAGTATAAAGAAAAAAAGCATTTTTTATTATAATAAATATAAATGGTAAGCATGCCTTCAGACAAACCAACAAGCTCATGTGTGCACTTAAGAGACTCAAATAATTCTGCCTTCTGCAGCAAAGTTAACTTTTTAAGAGATTCCAACTTCATTGCTAACCTGCCAGCTGAATATTGCTCTAAACTTGTTTTTGCTAACTCTCACCATAAAGTTCATAGTTTCAATGAACCTTTCTATGTTGCAGTTGTAAAAAAATATATTTAGCTTTTTTGCGTTGGTGGTTAATGCGATAGTCTAACTTCAAGCTTTACTGTGTAATTTTGCAGCAGAGAAGTAGGTTACTAAGTGTCCAGTGCCCAAGGCTGTGTTGAAAAGTCTACTTTTAAAAAATTCCTCATGTTTTGTTTACTATTTTGCAGCTGTTCAAGGCTCAGGGGTGATTTTTAAAAATGTAGAAGTCACTTTACACAAAGAAGGCAACACATTTGGGTTTGTCATAAGAGGTAAGTACACACAGAATGATAACACAATATAGTTTATGATTGCATTTATACAGTATGTTACTTTTGGTAATATGGTAAAGTAAATTGCACTGGTGTAAAGCAGTCATATCTGTTTGCTTTCAGTTTTTGTATGAGAGTCATTGACATAATTTTGTTAACATGACTACATTTATGTTAGCTGCTCAGAAAATGTTGAGTACTTGCTTATCCTTAAGTGATGGGGGAATTCTTCTGTGCATACTTAAAAAGATACATAACTGATAATAGCCAACAGCATGAAAACTCACCATTTCAATTACAATAATATTAGTCAGATTAAGAGGATTGCCATTCTCTTCGGGCATTGACACCATCTTCTTGCAGATGGAGTTCTTCTGAGGCTGAACATTAAGTGAAAGAATCTCTTAATATTGCTAATACTTTAGCCTTTTTAGCTTTGAAATATTACTTACAACACGTCTTATTTAAACATTTGTTTAATTTGCAGAACCCAGAAGTTTTGGATTTTCAAAATTATCACACATTTAATTTATGTCCATTTAGAGAAGTTAACTCTTTGACACCGAAGTCTCTTTTGTCATTAGGAATCGTTAGCCTTTTTTTTACTCTGTGCTTAGTTGCTGTTTTTTTCCCATTTTATTTCCTACTCTTCTAAATGTCTACCAAATTAAAAACAATTACATGGCCTGGCTTTGGTTTTTATTATGCTACTGTTCCCAGTGTTATGGGAATCTAAATATCTTGTGGTTGTTGCAGGAGGGGCCCATGAAGACAGAAACAAGTCTCGTCCCGTTGTCATAACTACAGTCAGGCCTGGGGGCCCGGCAGATAGGTAAGAGCTTGTGGAACGGTATCACCTGATCCCATACGTTTTTATAAAATGATATAATATTCTGCAAGTGTTCACTGGTTAATCATCAGTAATACAGTAACAAATCATTTCCTGTCCCAAGTTAAAGGTAAACCTGTTGTTTCCAAAAGTTTTGTTGGTGTTGAGATGCAGGTATACTTGCTTCACAATAGCTGTGACTCATCATCCTAACCCAGGAATGTGAAAATCCACAGGGCTATTGTGTGTGATTGACAAATTGATAAATTTTGGCAAAAGATTTAAATGGTAAAATATTTGTCTTTTCAGGCATTGTTGGGATTTACTGCGGGAGGTTGCTTGAAACTCCAATGAATCTTTCTGCTGTGTTTTTCCTAACTCGCATCACCATAAGTGATAACTTTCCCTCCCTCAGATCTAAAGAGAAGGGCTTATAATCATTGCTAATCATAGCCAAGCTTTCGCATAATCCAAATGGACTTTTGATTGCTTGGAAATTGAGTGTTCTGCCATGCCTTTTTACTTCACAATTGAAATAAATTATTTTATTTCATATCAGTGAAATGGAAATGGAACTCAGTGGTGTGCTATGCTTCAGTGGTATCATACTGTAATTTATTTCAAGTTTCTGCTTTTTTTTATTAGAAAGTAATATTGATGATAATTTTTCTAGTTAATGCATTTTAATGTGGTTGGTATTCCATGTCATTTTGTTCTCATGTGGAAAAATGCGCTCTCTCCTCCTCTTCAGCTCTTTTAATTATATTCCATACTTTCACTAATGCATGTTATTTTCCAGCTGAAGGAGCGGAGAGTCGTGTTTGTGTGTTAAAGTTACAGCCCCCTCACAGAACGGTTTTTGCCTTCTTCTGGACTCTCCCCCAGGGAAGGCACTGTCAAGTCGGGGGACAGGCTGCTGAGTATCGATGGCATCCGCCTCCACGGAACTTCCCATGCCGAGGCCATGAGCATCCTGAAGCAGTGCGGGCAGGAAGCGACGCTCCTCATCGAGTATGACGTGTCGGTCATGGGTACGATCCCAGAATCTCAACCTCCTCTTCTTGAGAGCGGTCCGGTGGTGGCGTGACCCTACACCACTTTCCCATTTTGTCGAACCTCCTGTCAGGAAGGTTATTCTGCGTGTCATCTTAAAGCAGAGCCCTGTCCCCAGGCCATTGGAGAGTTGTGGATGAGTCAGATTGAGCTAGAAAAACTTAGATTAATGCTTTGGTGAATCAATAGATATGTTGATGAGCAGGCAGTTGCATCAAAGGATTATAATGCTACATTTACATCGTACTTTGCATTCCAAAGGTTCCCAGAGTATTGTAAATATAGGAGGGAATCCACATTGTGCATTACTGACGTTCAGCGCATGCCTCGGTAACTTGCAGTAACCATTCTGAACCTGCAGCCTCACTATACAGCGGGTCAGACAATGAAATGTGGAATTACTTCGCCAGCTAAATTAGATTTGCCAGACCGTGCAAGCCCATAGTGGAATTTAGCCAGCACTAGTATCTCTACTCTAACAAAGAGGGCCTTGGCATCTTTAATGACCAAGTAGTCCCGAGCTTGTCTGCTATAGCACAATGTCCTCAGTCAACATAGTAGGGAATTTAATTTGGAAATGGTGGTCCAGACAGAAGAGTGCCACCTACTGGTCTATCGAATGCAGCTCATTGGTGCTGCTTTAAAATATTCCATCCCAGTGCTGACAAGGCCCAGCCTTGAATACAGTAGCTCCTGAGATCTGATTAGATCAGGCTACAAGAAAACGCCTAATGTGCTGGTGGTAAAAAAAAAAACAGTTAAAACTCCCACCAGTTGTTTCATAGACTAACACGAGAAAAGAGAGGGGCTGCAGCTCTCCAAACCAGGAGTTGTGTTTCTTGCAGAAGGCTGAAGCTCTTGCATTGCACTTCAGTTTCCAACCTTGCACAATTACTAACTCCTTTTCCAGGAGTGCTTTAGGCCTATAACATTTTCATACATTTGCTCCTGAGACCTCTTAAAAGTATTCTATCAGTATCAATATATAATCCACAGTTGACAGATTTATAGTTTTATGGTCCTGTGATGAGAAATGTCATTATAAATGGGTGGAATACATTTCTCTATTGCACAGTTATGAGCCTTCTTATTAAACCTCAGCAGTTCAGGGTTTTTTTGGTTTGTGTGTATTAGTATATTACTGAGTAAAACTGTGTAAACCACATTTTCTGTACTCCAAAAACTATTCAACACAAGAAGGGGTCATGAATATAAGTCCATTAAGGGATTTATTTTTCACAGGGCTATTCTTTAGCCAGCTTGTAGTGCTATAAACTGGTGGGGGTTTTAATATATTTTTCTGCTGCTCAAGAGTAATTAAGAAGTGCTCATCGAGTTTTGATGAAGAAGGAAAAAAAACAAATTGATTTACTTAATTTTCACCATCTATGAGACAGTACGGGACCAGTGCAGGCAGAAGCTGGTCAAGTAAAGCCCTTTATGCTCTGATGTGGCAGTTTGGTAACAGCCACTGATTTTGGTGGATTCATTTTTCATGAGCTACAGGTCTTTTCACTTTCATTTTCCAGTGTTGGTGCAAAAGTTAAAATATCAAACCATATTTGATAAAAAAGAGACGAAGAAGTGCAACAAAGACATTACATGTGTCTTTATATTTCAGAAGAAGAAAGATATGTTATTCATGCATGGTGTTAAATGTTTTATCATTATCTGTTAATATTTTAATAATCCCTCTTACCAAGACTTACCAATAGACTCTGATTTTCTATTGAAAAGGAGTTTTTTTATCGCAGTTTAAATTGTTTCAACAAATACCGAAAAAATAATAATAAAAATGTAGACTTACTGTATTCTAAGCAAAAAAATTAATCAGCACGCTCCTCATCAAGTCCCTCAGCGAATAAATCACAGAAATATTAAAGCGATTCAGTCACGGTGGAGGTATCCTAATGATTGAAACATCTTTATTGTTGAATAATTAATGTGCTGCTGATTCATTTTTCAGAAAGCTGTTTGACAACACTGCCAGAAACTCATTCCTTTCTGCCATGGCTCTGTTATTAATGGGTATACACCTATCACCCCTCTCCCCTTCTTATTCCTCTGCACTTTAACCAGTTCGCACAAAGCACTTCTTCCCACCTGGAGAGAGTTATTTATACCATAATCTCTTCTCCCTCATCGTGTTCTCCGCTTCATCAGCCAGCATGATAAATAGGACATGAGAAGCCGTTGAATTGTTTATCTCCTTGCATTCTCACCAACAAGCCCTCTGTCGCCCCACTGCTTATAATTATAATTGCACCCAAAGACAAGGCAGTTCTGTCCCAGCTGCAGCGACAGAGGAAAAACCCCAACCCCATTTCCCTCTTCTTTTAGCTCCTGATTGTGTTTCGTGTTTAACCCTAAATGAAAAATAAGAAGCAGACAGTGGACCACCTCCCAAATACCTAAAAACAATGCAGTGTGTGCTTCTGAGTTACTGAATATTACACATTGTTGTAAAGTCTGTTTACACAGACATGATGTTGTGTTCCTCAGTTGTTTAAATAAATAATTTTTCCATCACTGGCCCATGTATTTGCGCAGGGTTTTGAGCTTTAAAGCATAAGCAGACATTGTGTTTCTTTCACTAATAAACTGGGTGATAAAGGTACAGTAAATCAGTTCCTGTACAACCAGGAGAAAATGAAATAGGCTCTGTCCTCCTACGTCAGTCAGAGCCAGCCTTGATTTTGTTTTCTAGGATGTTTTTTCTTGTTTTTTTACAGATTCAATAGCAACAGCTTCCGGGCCTCTGCTAGTTGAAGTTGCCAAATCCCCAGGGTCAAGTCTGGGAATTGCATTAACTACCTCTATGTACTGCAACAAGCAGGTCATTGTCATTGACAAAGTAAAGCCTGCCAGTATTGCAGACAGGTAATTTTTAACAGTTTGTGCATTTTAATCATGTTCCTTTTGGGTTTTCCAGAAATTCTGATGCTGGCAGAGAGATAATTGCCTGCAGTTGTGATGCTTAAAAGTATTTTAGCTCATTATGATTTCTGTAGCAGACTACTGGTGAAATAGTCATTTCCGGTTTTGAATGCTACAACATTCTCTTAAGAAATCAATATCTTTACATACATATTTTTAAATGTAGTATTGCTTCTGTGGAATTACAGTATGTGAAAATCTAAAATGTGTAAATGCTTTGTTTTTTTTTCCATTATGATTCCAAGAGCTTCTGGCTAAGCCTACGTATATGGGCAGGTAGTTAAGATTTTTTTTTAGAGATATGTAACCATTGATAACTGATTATAGCTCTTAGAAATGTAATGAGGACTCTGCAATAACTACCCTCTTACATACTGTAAAATAGAACACACAATGAAAAGTGAAAATGTGAAGAACTGAACACAACAAGTGACATTGTTCTAAAACATTTAAGGAAAATAATACCCAAAAAAAAAAAGTCAAAATTTTATACTCCTGCCTTATATTAAGCATTTAGTCTGAAACACACATTTCCTAAGTACATAGCAAAAATCACAAATTTCACTTCAGTTTCTCAATACTTAAGCTTTTCACTGTAATGCTTAACTAGGCAAGTTTCTCACGATCACTGGGTTATTTTTCCAGTTATTCCAGTTATCACAAGAAACACAACAACCAACTGCTCAGAGTTTTAGAACACATTCCTTGCCTTGCATATGTTTCTGAACGTTGAGAACTTTTATTACTGTATGGGTGTTTAATAAGGGCATTCTAAATGGTATTGCTGTAGTTATCTTCTATAATTATAGTTTTGCAGTTCTTACAAAAAAGGTGACCTCTATGGAGCGGATATTTGTATTCATTTGTGTTGATGCATTTCAGTCCACCATGAGCTCTTACTGTACCTTCCTCCTTTCAAGTTGAAGACCTGCCTTACTCCCCTCTGTTTCTCTTGCAGGTGTGGGGCACTGCATGCAGGCGACCATATCCTGTCTGTTGACGGCACAAGCATGGAGTATTGCACTTTAGCTGAAGCTACCCAGCTCCTGGCCAGTGCCTGTGAGCATGTCAAACTGGAGATCCTCCCTCACCACCAGACCAGACTGCCTCTGAAGGGCTCTGACCACGGTAAGAACCCTCAGGGGTCCCGGTGCAGAGCTGAGGGGCCGGGGGCCTGGGAGAAAATGAACCGCTCAAAACAAAAGAGACCAAAGAGGAAAAAGATCAGAGCAGCCTGGAGTTGTGCTCCACAGCAGTCAGCTGTAATGCCTTGAAAAATCAACAGCTACATGAAAATAGGTTGTGAAAACTGTTTTGTCTTTTCTGTTGAGGGCTCATATCTGCCCGCAAGCTATATATTAAGCTTGAATCCGATTGCATGGTACAGTTAAGCATCATAATTTGTGTAGCTCCACATGTAACAAAAGCACCACGTAAGGTTTCAAAAGCCCATGGAGAGCTGGTCAGAGTGTGGGCTAAGCCAGTAGCTGGTGGTGTCTGGGCTGTGAGGCACACAGCAGGCAAATCATCCTTGGCTGGGCTTGAGTCTGCGAGGGGAAGTCCTCATTCCCTGAGAGCTTGCCTTGCTGTCCATGAGAGCTACATCACTTGTGCTAATGCCCTTGTAGTTATTGTGGGGTAAACAATGCATGACAAATGGCAAAAAGTCTGTAAAATAAAACACATTTATTTTGGGAGTGCTGCCTACCTTGTCCTGGAATGAGGGCAATAGCAGCAAAAACAACAGTTAATACTCCACAGTTTAAGTCTGGGGTGGAGATACAGTATAAAAAGAAAAAATGTATTTTTTAATAAAATAACTGTAAAATTTAAAACATTAAAAAAAAACGTTGAGGGCTCCCATGGGATTTTGAAACCTGGCTATACCCTATGGCAGCTTTGCTTAAGAGCAGAACATGAGATTTAAGAGTAATTACAGTCATAAAATGATGGACTGACAGCATTCTTCATAATGACGCTGAGTGCCCAAGGTTTAGAGACAAATGCATTGTTATAACAAGCAAATTGCAGAGCTTTGTTTATTACACCCCATACTGTAATAATGTATCGCTGCTGAGCCGCTTCTGCCTAGTCTGGTACAATGAGAAAAGATTACAAGCAAAACAGTTTCAGGCAGCAAGGTCCATATCAGAATTGATCAGATCATGGAAATAGACGCTACTCTAGGTCATCTAAATTGTTATTGATATTATTATTTTGCTTGCTTAGTTTTCCGTCATTCTTTTCTCTGCTGTTTTAATTTAGCAGCAGAAAGGGGAGGGGAAGCAGAGTGGACTGTACTTCAATTGTGTAAGAGTAGCTTAATTTCCTTTAAGAGACTGTTACAACACAAGCTTTGACTATCATTATCAGATCATCAGGCTGCTGCAGCCTCATTTGGATCCAGGTCTACATACCACTGTAAACTATGTTTCAGATAAATTGGGATCACCCATAAATACTTGATTTAGGATAGTGCTTTCCATATTGAGCCCTTCACCACAGTGAGATCTTATCAGTGTGATGGACTCCATCTCCTTCCGATGCATAAACTCTCCCTCTTAAACATTCTGTGAATGAGAGCTCATTATCCCAAGAGTGAGGTGACAAAATTCTCTTCCTCCCCATATTCTTGTGTGGTTGTCAGCATGGTGATGCATTTTGCCTCATTTTATTTAGTTCGATTTGAGGGCTCAAACCATTCCAGAGATTAATTTTGTTTTTGTTACTGAATTTACTGAGGAACTACTACAATATCTAGGATGTGTTGAACGAAAATAAAATAAATCTTCTCTCTTTTTTTGTCCTGACTTTTGATACCTTTTGTTTTTCTCCGTGTGCTTCTTTTTGCTTTACTCACTAAAAGGGAAATTTATCCATTTGCATTTCCAGAGATTTCACTGTCCTGTCATCAGGAGTTCTGCATCCACAGGAAATGTTTCAAACAACTCGAGTATTTTCAGCATCTACTGTACCATTAGAAAGGGTGGATGGTCCCATCTTCTTTGGCACCTACATAGTTTTTCTATCTCTGCTGTCATTTTTGTTTGGTTTTACTTTACTGCTCTCCCCGTCTCGGTTTATTCATTTCAGATGGTCAATCCTTCTCTATACCCAAATGTTCCTTTTTAGTTTTAGTGATTGTTGGTTTATGCCTGTATGTGGTTTTTGCAGGCGGATAGGGTGGTTCAGGTTTTTAATTTCTCAACTCTGTAAAATGTCTTGGCCTGGCTTACCATGATTGTGTGCTGGTCCAGCCTGGAGCATATACCAGCAATCTAATGAGGCCAAAAAGTCAAATTTTATGTGCCTTTTTTCACTGTTAGTTTTTCACAATTAATGTTTGGAATGGGTCTTGATCAAAGAGGCCAAATGCAGGAACCTTACCAAAGCTGTTTAATTTTATGTCCTTATTTTTTTACAAACACGTGCTAAAGTGTTAAAGAACAGTTCACAAATCATTTTTAAGTCTTACTGAAATTTGGATTTCAGCGCAGCAGTAGTGTAAGATTTGGTTGAGAGGAAGAGGCTTCAGAGGAGTCACACATCAGGCTTCAGTTGAAGGGCTCAATAAGGTCATTCTTGCTATAACTGTCCTACGTGTACCACATCAGTTGGATTTATGAAATTCAGAGGAATGGTTGTTCACTCTGCTCCATACAAAATGTTCCAGAAAGCATGTTTTATTGAGAACATGTTTAACAAGTCTCTGCAATCAAGGTCCTAGATCCCTGCTAAATTCAGACCCTACTTTAATAGTGTTGGTCCATGCCTGGCCCTTGCTGGGAAAACAGCATAAAGAGATTCATGCACAAGGAAATAAATGAGGATGAAAGCTGATAGAAGAAGCATCAGTTTCCTAGGTTAGCCAGACATAGTATAGGTAAATAAACACATAACTGAAATATCCATCAGCATATAAACAAACTGTGTGTAAATACACCACAAGATTATGTGCTTGAAGTGTTTGCAACTCCATTAATGACTTAGCCATTCATCCATGTTTGAGATTTGAATAGAATGTACCCCCGTCTGCCCAGTGACTCTTTCTGAAGCAATTCAATTTCACAGGTGATGTGCGAGATGTGTCAGATCGTTCTCCAGCTAGGGCAAGTTCTTATAGCCCTTCAGTATGGTACCAGAAATGGACACCCCTGTTTTTTTTTTACCCTACCAATTTCTGTGGACAGAGACTAACGTTTTCATAAGCATGCTTATATTGATTATTAAACCTTTCGTAGGTTTTCCTTTCAAATTTGTCATTCATAAAAGTTTAACTAAGTAGAAGAACATTGTGATTCAAAAATGTCATTAGCTCGGTCATTCTCAGTTTAAGATAGAGCTCATGTAAGGAACCATTGTTTCCATTTCTTGGATTCAGAATTAAATTGTGAAGTACTGTATGGAGTTTAATTTTTCCAGACAGATTAAACAATTTTGTACCAGCTTAACACTCTTACTTTGATGTTTCCCTTTTTTTGGTCATCTAGTTACCTGTCCCTATTTTCTGGTGCTTCTTTTGTTTGTTTCTCTCTGTTGGTCTTATTTTCTGTTATGCGATACCTGTCATCCTTTCATGTGGACAGTCAAGGTGCAAAGAAGCAACAGGCAGCTGCCCTGGGACTCCTGTGCCAACAACAACCGCAACTTCCTTCCCTACCAACATTATAACACCTACCACCCTGACCATTCCAGGACGCAAGCCTCGAAATACCAGAAACCCTCTCCAAACAACCTTCGTAATGTTCCTGCTTTCTTCCTCTTCCTCCTCCTCCTGTTCCTCTTATTTGTATTTTGTTTTTTAATTCTCTTTGAGCTTTTGTTGAGTGCCCCTTCACAATTTTTCCAAACAAATAGAGCTACAGTAGAACTTCAATGTCCTGTTTAGCTCTTTTATTGTCCGTGAAATGCAATGAGGTTTGAAGGCCATTATTTCCACCATTAGGCAGACCACAATGTGGTCTGGGTGGAGCGCGTAAATACTGTATAATCTTGATATGCAGTACAGTCAAGCAAGAAAAATGCTAATTGATGTCTTATGCTCTTAATAACTAAGTACTATCCAATTTAAATCCTGAAATTATCCCGTGTAAAAAGTTAAAGCATGTGTCCAATATATTTAGTTAAACTTAGGACTGGTAATAATCTGTGGTGCACATTGCTGGATGTGGCAGTGCAGAAATGTGTAAAGTGAACCATGTGTCTGGGAAAGTGTAGTTTGGAATCCTGGTAATTTCCCATCCCACATGAGAACCCTGGGATATTTTCAGGGGCTAAAGATAAAAAAATCACCCGGTATCTGAGTGGGCGTTCCTTAACTCACTGTGGCAAACTGTGCCCAGTGGGGTCAGTCACAGATTGCCGGTTGTGAAAAAATTGCATCTACTGTATATACTGTACAGTAACAAAGTGCATTCTAGGAAGAAATTAGTCCAATAAGCAGCCATTCTCCTTTTGTGCATCACAAAAGTGTATAAATCCACTAATCTAGAAAGTGCTCTACCAAATACTCCCATTTGAATTAGGGTGTCTTTATACTAGCACTGCAAATAGTACTGTACTATATTCTTGTAATCCTTTAAGGACAGCCTAATGTCTGTGTTCTTGGGTTTCTTTAGAATCTGAACTTCCCTTCCCTTTGTACTCCATTAAAAAGCCCATTTTCAGATATTTTATCTTCATTTAAAAATGTACAGCATAATATCTAGTGGGTACATTTTGTGGGACTCTTATTTTAAGTGCTACAAATAAAAAAAAACCTGTATGAATACATAAAAAAAGCAATTGTATAAGCAAACCTTAATTTCAAAACTCATAATTTAAGGTTAACCATATTTTTCCAAAAAGAAGACAATACATTCAAGCTGCAAGCAGTACATCTGATTAACTGTTTTTGGATTGCCAATTTGTATAAATAATAAAGGCTGCATAAACACAGCTACAGCAGCTGTAAGATGCTAATTGATGTCAATGTTTCAAAAGAGTTAAAAGTTCTGAAAATCGGTTCTGGACTTAAGACCCCCTCTAGGTGCAACCTGCAGACACTTTTGCTCTGTTGCAGTCCTTAAAGGGTAAAACAAGACCTTGAGGAAGCCTATTGCATTTCAAAGGCAGTATCTCTTTTTCTAGTTTCTTGAATAGAACTCTTTCACAATAGCTTGATGATTGCCGATTCATTTGTGAACAATCATTGCCATGCCATTCTTCAAGCTGCTGCTCATAAACCATCGTCTAAAGGACAAAAGCATATTTTTATCATTTGCATTTTTGCTGTGTGACCTTTTTGTTGAAGTGTGATAGATTTGATTCTCTTAGGTGGTGGTGGGACATGTGTGTTTGTTTGTTTTTTGCAGTAGTAAACTCTCAGAATAATTAAGAAACATACAAAGATATGTCCAGTATTTAAAATATTAATTTCACTAAAGTTTGAGTAAAATGTAAAGGCCCCGTTGGCTTGATATAAAAACCGAAAGAGACAGACTCTGTATAGGTCATTCCAGGAGCTCTGCTGAAGAATTCTGTTTTCAAAGGACAAACATTGCTGAACACCTCTCTAATCTTAACTCCAACAGAACATTTTTGAGGTGCTTTATTATGCATACCAAGAATAAATATTTTGTACTCAAATTGGATCACATTAGAGCCAAATTTAATCAAAATGTCATAAATTATGTTCTTTACATGGTTATACAGGTATACCGTATTATATTTTTATATTCCTTTAAAAACAAACAGAATTTCTTAAAACTATTTGACCTTATTTATCTATGCAATACACATAGAAGCCACTGGATCAACATTTATTAAGAAGGAGATGATATTAAAGGTCATGCTTGAACGCTACAGTATATGGACTATTTGAAGACAAGTAACTTTCCCCAAGGGTGTTTATGTACTGTAGATAAATAAAAAAGCCTTTTCTGTTAACTGTGTACAGATTTGGGTCTATGTGTTGTACAGAACCTTACATCATTACAACTTATGGTGTCAATGCTGTTGTGACAACTTATGCTGTTACAATTCATTACAACTTATTGCTGAGTCAGTTATTGAAAGAAGGTTGGAGCAGGTTCTTCGCAGTACAGGTTTTTATTCCAGAGTAAAGGTAGCAACTATTAGCTTCATCAACTGTGTGTTTAATCTGATTTCTTATCTGATCATTCTGATCATTATTTAAGGGAAATCAAAGAAAACCCAAACCTTCTTTGGTCCTAGATTAAAACGCTCAGAAAAAAAAGATAGCACATTATTAAGTGAACATTTGAACTGCATAATGTAAAGTCAGTTATATAATCTGAATTTTCCAGTATACTGTATGTGTATGCCCTTCATTAGAGCTCTGGCATTGTTTTTTTTCCATTTGAAAGAGTAAAAATGGTGACTAAATGTTTAGGAATAAGTAGCATCTGAAGAACACTTCTCAAAGGTATTTAATGAGAAAGTGTCAGATTCAAACTGGCATCTCAAGGTGCTCTGAAACTCAATCTGGAAGCACTATTGTAATATATAAAGATATACAACCCTTATTTCCTTATTTTTTGCTAAGTTTATGCTAAGAGATTTGAAGCAGCATGTGATTACTGAATGGACTGCATCAGTTAAGAATCAAATGTTCCACTTGGAAGAAAGGCCTGAACTGAGCCACCTGCAGCCAAAGCTCCGATGTTTTGGAAGCACCAGAAATGTACCTAAAGGTTTAGAGTTAAGCCAAATGAGTGTTGTACCGCATTGCGGTTAAAGGCGTGTGGTTTTGTTTGAGGGGGCTATACAACACATTGACCCTGATCATTCTTTAGATGGTTGTCTGCTGCTCTCCGTGTGCTGCCTGTACATTTTGACTCTTCCCTGTTGCCTGCTCTCCCCTTCCAGCTCTGGTGTCATCCTCCTTCTCTCCTACCTCCATGAGCGCCTACAGCCTAAGCTCCCTCAACATGGGCACGCTGCCCCGGAACATGTATCCCACCAGCCCCCGCGGCACGCTGATGCGCAGGAAGCTGAAGAAGAAGGACCACAAAAGCTCTTGTATGTCAGCTTTTTCGTTACCCATATCCACAGCTGTCGACAGAACCCGTGTCCCTGTTTGGAGGTGCATCTCTTTCTTATCAGGCCCATTATGAGCTCTAGTTCTGATGAATGGTTTAACGGAGTACAAGCCATTTAAATAAAATAGAGGTGCTTACCTGGGAGGCATTAGTATTCACTGGTAATATCACGTTTCAGAGCTCATGAAAAAAATACTTCTCACTGCTATATAATTAGATCCTGAAGGATATTTCACATTGTTCACTGGACCACTAAAATGAACATATTTACCATCTCAGAATAACTTCTCTCTAGCAAATAATTAGTTGCCGGTGTCACATTTTATGAGATTTTAGATCTCCGGTACTGCATGCTTATAGAAAAGACTGCAAATAGATTTCACTTGGGAAAGCACCTAAGCCACTTTCAGCAGTGTTCCTTTGCTATTGATGGGAACCTCTTTCCTTTAAGTTTGCAAAGGAATAAAACTACAATCAGCATCAATGTAAGTTTAATGTCACAAATGTGAAATTAAGTAAGATACAATTACAAATATTGGCAGGGTACAATGTTAAGTAGTTAAAACATATGTAATTTAATTTCAAATGCAAACTATTTAAGCCCTTAAATGTGAGCTGCAGTATTTTTAATTGTGTTCTGAAATCCACAGGGAAGCTAAAACAGGTGATATATACTCATGCATTTTTAGTTTTGATTAAAATCCGTGCACCTGTTTTATGAACATACTGCAGTTTTAACACTGTATTGCAATAATCAAGCCTGAAAAGCCAATGCCATGCATTAGCTTTTCTGCTTCATCAGGACTAAGACCTCACAGCCTTGCCCCAGTCTGTTATTCACCTGATGAGTTGAATCAATACAGATTTCACTCCAGGCATGTCTCATCAAGTCCCATCAGGATGACTGTGCCTAACAGGGGTGAAAGAGTAGCATTTAATCAGTTTACGCCTGGGCCTTCTTCCCTCCTTTGCAATGGCAGTAAAGCTGAACTATATTCTAACAGTGGTTAGAAACAGACAAGAAAATTAACACCGTTCATTTCTGATCTATTAGGTTTCTGTACATCGATGTAATACATGGATTAATGTGTTAGAAGACATAAAAAAAGAGGCAGCTCTGCTCCTCTTGTTCACTTGGTGGGACTAAAATGTGGCACTAATTACTTTAGGACTAGCTCAGGTATCTGCTCTTATGATGAATCTGTTCCCTGTTTATTTATCACTTGTCTCTCGGTGTGCACTCATTATCTTGGGTAGATAATGCTTTTAATTGTCATTTTGAGTGCAACATTAAAGCTTTCTTAAAAAGTTGAATGTACCGCCTGATCTGCAGTATTGAAATCTATTATCACTAATGTTTGGACAAAGACATCTAGGAAGATTGTTAAATCTGCCTTTCCTAGTTCCTTTATTTCGATTTACTGCTACCAGTTCTTGTTTCCATAACTTTACAGTATATTATCTATCATAACCCCAGGATCAGGATCAGGATCACCAGCCTATGAAAGTGTGTTCACCACTAACGTGCATCAGTGCAGAAGTCTTGACCAGTCATTAGACTTGCTTTTCCTGTTTCAGTGGTCAGAAATCAGCATCACACATCAATGTGTGAGATGTTTGGATTCTACTGTACAATTCTAATGTTAAATTCCCAGCTCATGTATAGAATTTCCTTGAATGTTGCCAAGATTTCTCTCTCTGTCCTAAACTGCAATGGATTTTAAAAATCCATGCAATGGATTTTAAAAATCCCAGTCCCTTGTATGGAGGTATTTATGAAGAAATAATGTCTGAAACTTCATGATACTGCTTTTTTGCCAAGATTCATGTTCTCTCTTTTGCATGTGAAGCTGGCGTAGGCCACCTGACCTTTAGAGACTTAATGTAGTGCGACAAGGTAGAAATACCCCGATTCAGTGGGCAGACATTAACATAATGTAATTGTCAGCTAATGCTCTGTGTTGTTAGAAATAATTTCCATAAGGTGCCATTCCAAGCAGTAATATGTTCTGCCAGAGGAAATCCTATTAAATATAAATACATTAAAGGACATCATTGTATCTGAAACTCCTTGGTGCTTCCGTACTGGGGACCGTTGTGCGCCTTCGGTTAACTTTCACTTCAAAGAACTGAATTTTGATTGTTTTAGAAACAGTTCTGTACAATATCAGTCAAATTGCTTTGATGAAAATAAATGGCCCATGTCAGTGGTATGTTTCTATCTCAGCGATAGATTTCCAAACATCACATAAATAAATACAACAGCATCCCAGTAGAAACCCATTCATCACTTGTTTTCAAAGCTGCTTGATAGCATTTGATGCAGTATTAGAAATGGCTAGCCTCAGGCTGGACTGTTTTATTCCTGGTTATGAAAGTTTATTTTAAAATAACAGTTCATAAAAAAAGATTAATGTTTACTATAGGTTTGGATAGGGAGTTAATTCTGCTCTAAAAAGTAGAGAAAAAAAGTTTTGTCTCTTGAGCACTCTTTAAGGTGAAAAAACAAATTATTCAGAGTCATTGAGCCTTCTTTAAGTATAAAACACAACTTTGGGTGAATAAGGCTTAACACCCAAAATGTGTTTTTCAGCATGGAATTAACGCCTATTTATAGATTTTGTACGTATTTTGGAGAGGAATAACAGCTTTATTTGTTGGAGTGAAGAGAATATAAAGAAGAATGCAGGGACTGATCATCCACTAGGTGTTGCTTTTGTTGCCCTGCTTCACAGACAGATGGAGTGCTTCAAAGTTTGTTTTTCTTCTACTGCATTTTGTCACTGGCAATAAAAAATTGCCACTTTCTAAACAATAAATGTGTCACAATTGGTGAATTCAATTGTTTTTTATTCTACACAGATTCCAGGTTAACACACTCTTAAATCATTATTGAACAACCCAGACTGCGTAACAGACTTTTTCAGGACTCTAGGGGACAGTTTCCTATTGATCGAGGAATGAAGCTTCACTGCAGCTCTGTCTAGAGTCTCATCTAGGAATGTCAGAAAACCCTGTGTTGAAAGTGTTTGACCTTTGGGACTTCTCTTCAGTGGCTTGTTTGATGAAGCACTTACATACTGTAGATGCTTCCAACATAATTTATGAAAGAATTTGTACAGGTTTGTTATACTTGGCTGAATCTTTGTTCTATTATTTGCACAAGATGACCGCATCAGAGCTTTTTCCTCATGCTAAAATAATTCACCTGTCTTAGTATTTTATTTCTTCAATGTGATTTTTTTAATTGACCTCATCTACTCAGTTTTGACCTTTACCTAAAAAAGGGTAATCTGATACTAGTAATGTATCACTTTTACAAGGTAAACCTTGCCCACAAATTCAGTTTTTAAACTTTACATTTAGACACGGGAAGTGAACTTTAGTGTCTTTTTTTTGCCTGTCTTGTTTCTTTTTCAGTGTCTCTGGCCTCCAGTACTTTGGGTCTAGCAGGACAGGTGGTCCACACTGAAACCACAGAGGTCACTCTTGTTGGTGACCCCATCCTGGGCTTCGGAATCCAGTTACAAGGAGGGGTGTTTGCCACAGAGACCCTGTCGTCCCCTCCCCTCATTGCCTATATGGATCCAGACAGCCCCGCGGAGAGGTGGGTATCCCACTCTGTCTGTCCCTCAAAGAAGACTTGTTTTACTAACTTAAGTATCTGCCTCCCAGTCTCTCTTCCGCACTCAATGAGAGAACTATTAACCAAGGGCCCCGATATTAATGCTGCAGATAGTTTATAGAATCTAGGGGGTGAAAGGTCATGAACATCTACTACAGAGTTAAATTATTACTTAATTTTTACATCTTATCATAAGGACAAAGTTCTAAGATTTTAAAGTTCTCGCTCAGAGTAACACATAGTAAGACAACAGCAGTCTCCTTATAGATAAATGACGGTAAACAACACTGTCAATGACTGGGAATTCATACCTCATCGCAAAGAATTAACATTGTCAGAAAACATGATTCATCCGTGAAATAATTACCTCCCACTGATCATTCTTAGTCTCACAGCGAGCAGAACTAACATCAGCCGCTGTACACCGGTAACAGCTTTGCCTAATAAACTTTGTCAGAGCAAATTGAAGATGTAATCATTTATTAACAACTGAGCTATCCTAGCCTTTGGTGCATTTCATGGATAATTTGGTGTTTTGCTCTCTCTTTTTCATCTTGTCTTGTATTACATGCAATCAGTTAAACATAATCACTGCATGTACGCACATGTACAAATCTATGATACAGATTAAAATTTGCCTGACCTTTTTATTTGGCCAAATTCTCACAGAGCTAGTGTCTTTACTCCATACTGTATGTGTTTTTTTTTATTTTCAGTTAAAGATTGTGCATAATATTGGCCATTCTACACAATAACAAATGCTCTAACACTGGTGTTATAAACTGCTTTTTGCATTTTTTTCGTTGTCTGATTAGTTTATTCTTGACAAACTCCACTCTACTCTACTTTTCCTACTCTATAAGTCTTTAAGATCTTACTAGAACCTTACTAGACCTTACAACTTGCATCAATTCAGCATTGAATAGGATGCAAGGATACGTTGGGTACAATATTTTGTCAGATAGAGCTTTTTTAATTAGCTTGATTCAATTTCCTGACAGAGACTAAAGTGCATGCACCCTTGCTTTGTCTTTGTGATGTAGAACATAAGACAGAGAGAGAAGCAGGCTGGTCATTTCTTTGATTGTAGTCATTACTGACACTAACATGCTGGAAAGTGATAACTGCGATGTACAAAACCTGGCATGATGCCACAGAGGGTCGTGTGTCTGGTCAAATGTCAAGAAAAACATGTGCCTGTGCCATGCTCTGCCATCTGCTGCTCCTGTAAACAAAATGTGAGCATAGTCAGCACAGCAACATGTGTGAGGATGACATCCAAATTCTAGGTTTCCCTTCACATCCTTTGCTGGGATTGGAGCCATTCAGCTTTAACATGTAATTAACTCACATGTTCAGTCAAGTGGCAGTGCAGGTGGGCGAGTACATTATGATCCAGTTCATTGCTAACATGGTGATGCTGCTGTATCATTAGAGCATGTGACTCTAAAAGAGATCAGGCAAGCATCCATTTGTTCCTGTACATGTGCAAAAAAAGGGCAAAAGGGTATCTGCAAAAAAGGATTTTTCTTCGTTTTAATCTACTTGGAGGTGTGTTCTAAAAGGGTTACAATACTTTGTCATCCATTTAGATCTTTGATAGCAACACTTTTCCAGGTTAATATTGCCCCAATATAGCACTGTCCGTGTTGATTATTTGTCATTCTCAGATGATTGTACAGTTCACCTTCCCATTTAAATGGGTACTTTAGTGGTGTCCAGCCCTGGTATCGTAGAGCACCAGTCCACCACACAAAAATATTAAAATAAGTCTTACAGGTCAACCCAAATCACCCATTATCAAATAATTGGCAACACTTTTTTAAACATTTGATCGATTAAACAAATTGTGGTTAAATTAACAGAACACATGTCCTGGAGGGCTGAAGAATATTGTTCTTTGAATTGCTTAATTGAACATATTTCAGATACTATACATTGATCTCCAACACTAGTTCTGGAGAGCCCCAGTCCTGCAGGTTTTGTAGGTCACCATTAATTCACCATTTTATAAATATGCAGAACAAGTCCATTCTGATCAACAAAAGAAGGGATTTGTTAAATTAAGTAATTTGCAAATCAATTAGGATAAAAGCAAAGTACTCTTCAGCCCTCAGCATCCAAAGGTCTCTTAATTGAACATATTATTTATTTGATTAAATGGGCTGTAAATTTGGGGCTCATTAGGACCAGGATTTGTTCTGTTCTTTATTCTATATGTCTATTCTATTCTTTTGTTTGCCTTTGCTACGCAGGAGTGGCATCTTGCAGATCGGAGACCGGATCCTGGCAATCAATGGGATCCCCACTGAGGACAGCACCCTGGAGGAGACCAATCAGCTTCTGCGAGACTCCAGCATCACGAGCAAGGTCACGCTGGAGATTGAGTTTGACGTGGCAGGTAGGATCATCACCTCCCTTTCCAGCTCTCACTGCAAATTCCAATTTGTACAGTAGGCATAGGTCAAGACACATTCCAAACCTATAAAGCACCTTTGTCTTTCAAAAAAGCTTTGTTTTTAGTACCTGAGTCCATTTGCATTTGTAAAACATAAGTAGTTTAATTTAATATTTTAAGTTAAAACACCAACAACATGTCTTTTAAAGAACAGCTTTTGTACTTTAAATCAGAATTGGTTTTGTTCATTCTTCTTACTGTTTACTGCAATGAGACACAGTTGTATAGTTTTACTGAAAGTGCTCTATAATAGTTAGATAAGAATTATTTTATTCTAGTTATTTATTAAATTCAACAAGATTTTTTTATGTCAATAATAAGCATTATTGATCCACATTATACAAGTGAAGCAAATCTATTTTGATTTGTTTTAAATCATGTTATGTACTGTAGATGGAATTTAAGTTATCCAGAAAGAGATTTACTGTATTTTCACAAACAAAGATGAAAAGCATAAAGTAATATTTATTTTATAGAGGTAGGTACAATATACACAAATCAATAGAGCAAATTGAAAATAATTAAAAGCTAAAGTATAAAAGTGCATTTTAAGACATGATTTGATAGTACTGACTGACTTGCAAAATTTGATATGGCTGGGTGACCAATTGAGTGTAGAGAAAGCACCAGTAGAGAAAGCACAGTCTCCGAGTGTATGGTGCCCTTTTTGGGAACTGAAAGAAGAGTCCGAAGTGCACAGAAGGTGTATAGGGGGTTGACAGTTTGTACAGTAGATGTAGTCATGATGTACAAGTTAATTCACAATCTGCATTCCATGGCTTTACAGTTAAAGACTGCTTCCATTAGATCTACAGGGAGAATTGAAAATTCCTCAATTATTTTATGATAATCTTTCAAATATCAAGCCTAATTCATAATTGCTGTCCATAGGAGAGTTGTAGTTTTTCTTTTGAAGTTACTGTTTTATGATCTGAGAATTGCAGACGCAGAGTTCCAGTGCTCTTCTCAGGAAGAACCATTTTGCTCCTTTTTATTTATAAGGGTATAGTATTCCCTCTCCTCTTTCCTTCTCATGTCCTCTTCACCAGGGAACTGTGCTGTGTTTGGTCAGGCCACACTTTGGGTCACTGCTCTCCCTGTGTTCTGTCCACAGAGTCCGTCATTCCCAGCAGTGGCACATTTCACGTGAAGCTACCAAAGAAGCCTGGTGTAGAGCTCGGTATTACAATAAGCTGTAAGTGCCACAGAACAACACGTTCTTTCCTTAAAGTTATCTTCTTCATTCACCAGTGGTTTCACGCATACACCCTTTAACTGGATTTAATTTTACGCATCAGACACCTGTGATCCTTAAGGTATTGCCACTTAATGTCACCATCAGCTGAAGAGCTGAGGTGAAAGTTTCAATGTGTTCTTAAAACGGCTGTATCCTCTCTACAGGACTAAAGCTAATAATGATTTAAGTAGAACTCATACTGATTGTGGCCAGCAAGGTGGTGCAGTGGTTAGCCTTACTGATTCACAGCGCTGGGGTCATATCTGTGTGGAGTTTGTGTGTTCTTTCTGTGTTCACGTTGGCTTCCTCCGGGTGTTCTGGTTCCCTCATACTGTACATATGTGGATGTGTTTGTGTCTGTCTGTGCCCTGTGATGGACTGGCATCCTGTCCAGAATGTGCCCTGCCTTGCTCTCATTGCATGCTGGGAAAGTCTCCGGCTCCCCTGTGACCCTGAATTGGAAGAAGTGGTTAGAAAATGGATGGATGGATGGATAGTACTGGTTTTGTTGCTTAAGGGTCAACATTGAGGAAAACGTTTTACAGAATTCAGATTGAGATCTCAGCTGTTATTGGCTAATATTTACAGCAATTGAAATGGGTATTCAGAGACGCAATGCTCATAAATTAAGGACATCAATAGAAACTAATAGAAAACCTTAGCCAAGGATAAAAAATAGTCTCTTCATTACTGGAATATTGATATCAGATTATGTGATTTTATCTGCAAACAAAATACCAGATCATTTCATACCAGTCTTCCTGGCTGTGTCAGCAAGACGTGTTTTAAATGACTCTCTGAAATGTGTGTTATTCTGTGTTGTAATAAAATGCCTTCCCTGAGTAATTTACAAACAGCAAGTAAGGAAATCTATAATATACAGTATAAACAAAGATGTCTGTTGTCCTCATTCGGCAAATATTTTTAACTTGAATGTAATGGATGCCACATTTCATTTAATAGCATGAATGTGGCATCCAGAAATTCCCATTATATCATCAACATGAAGAAATAGCAGACATTTGTAAAAGAAAAACAACACTGTAAGAAGTGATACAGAGCTACACTGTACTTTCAGCCCTACCTGAAGTGATGTTTAATAAAATTCCAGCATCAAACTTTTTTATACTACTAATTTTTCAAAATGACATACTGTACATTAATAAGAACCAATGTACTCATGCATGAGACACCAATACAGCTTCATCATGTTCAAACAATGTGGTGTGATATCAAAGTTGTAACTTTATATTGCAGCTCACACATCAGCTCACTTCCACAGAGGAAGAATGAGGGCAGCAAACATCTTTGTTTACATATTATAGAGTTCCTTTCTTGCTGTTTGCACATTGCAAATTGATAGCCCTTTAATGAAAATTAATACTGCAAACTCAAAACAAAGCATTATTTAACCCCTATAATTCACATTATTGTTAAAATTATTTTACTGTTACAATATTCTAGCTTACCCTGTGTTAGAGTTTGCTTTTTTAATTTTTTGTAGAGTGCATGTATTAACTTTTACATCTTGTGTTTATTCTTATAAATGCATCACCACTGCACTGTAACAAAATCAGTCTACTGTCTGTTATTACTATTTATTACAGCACAGAAATATCAGCCAAGAAAGAAAGTTATATGCACTGTACAGCATTGCACATACTGTAGAAGGGACAGAGTCTTGCATACAGTGGCTGGACAGAAAAGTGGGTTTGTTAGCTACTATTCTACTGTAGCCTCATTCCCTTCCCACTTAACCAACTCACTCTCCTGCTCCTGCTGTTTGTCTGATTCTCTTTTCTTTTTTTCTTCTAAATTCTTTTGTTTGCATTTTCCGTAAGACACTGGAGAACTGACAATCTGATAGCGTAAGGGACAACACAGGATTGTCTTTGTTATTTAATGTATATTTTACTTTGTAAAACATACAAGCATTGCTCTCATAACAGGTCTAAGAACAGCATATTCCTAACACTTTCCTGACAGGAACTTAACAACTAAAGCATAACCCAAGATGCACTTCTCCATGTGCAAGTTACTTCTTTGTTCACCAAGTATTCTCGTTACTACAAAGAATAATGCCCACAAATAGGCGAATTCGGCCTGTGAATGCGGACAAAGTGGTGGCTAATGTTTGTGCATGAACAGGCAAAATCACCAATGCAAAACTTACCAATATCAAGGTTTTACAGTATACTGTTTTGAATCTGAATGGGAAGGTTTCATTTAGAAATTTAACCAAGGGTTTGTTCACAGAGTGGAATGGAGTTTGAATGAAGTGAATTTCACCGAGATATTTACAGAACTGCATTTTCAATTTGTGATATTCGGTGTATCTAAAATATCCTTAAAAAGAGAAGAGAAGGATTCAAATGTCTTCAAATGTCTTTCAACATCTTGAAAGACAGAACCATGTTTATAAAACATTTCAGACCACCAAAGGATTTGATCATTTTTTAAATAATAGACAAGAGTGTCATGTAAATCTTTCAGAATTCTTGAGGCATTTTTATTATATATTCTTATATTCTGTATTCATTGGGAGTTGATCTTTTTAAAAGGGTTCTGTGGTAAATTTAGCATGGTCATGTATATTTTACCAATATGGCCTTTGGTGCCAAAAATGAAACATCTTTATTTAATGCTGATCTATTACTCAGACTGAAGGTATGTTCATGAAACATTTACTACTGCATTGAGCTTCCACTTTTTTCTCGCATAAATGTGTTGTAGTTTTAATGTTTAATACCTTTCAGAATGCTAATTTAAGACTGCCGCCTAGCACATTATATACTCTATATATTGCTTTCTAACACAAAAACAGATTTATAGAGAAAATGCTGCAATCATAGCATTGCACATAACTAGAATCCCTCTTTGATTACATACTTAATATAACAACATAAGAAGCAAGCACCCTTTGATGATGGCAACTCTTTAAAAACCTATTAATGTGTCTTGAATTACTAGACAAGAGCTTGTATCTGTAAACCTTGAGAGCTTTTCTTTCCATTGCTGCATTTATTTAGACATAAATGTGCCAAGACAGTCTGTCTAGCTATACAATATATGTTCTTTTTGGAAGTTGCCCAAGCAATTGAAATTAATACAGGCACAGGTGAGAATTTGAACAGAGGGGACAAGAAAAATATTAGTTTATGATTTTCATGTAGACCTATTATATTTAAACACCACACTGGTATTTGAACAATGAAGCTTTCCAGACCCATGATTTCGCATTTCTGCATGCCTGCAACTTGCACCTAATTTGATGTTATCACCTACTGAACTGGCATTATCATGAGTCATCAGTCCCATTCCTGTTGGCAGCAGACTCTGCAGCGTGTGCTAGGAGTTGTAGTAGATCATTGTTGACCCTTTCAATTTAATTCTTAGCGTCTTGGCTCAGGAGCCTTACAGTATTCAAGGGAAGCAAACGTATCAGGAATTTTGTATATTGGTGTTCAGGCAAACGTTTGGTTAAATCCTCATCTATGGTACTTAAACCTTTTAATGGACCCCTAGTCTAAACTGCAAGTGATCTTTCATTGAAAAGAAAAGGATAACAGTCTTTTAGAAATCTTGGCATACAGCAGAGTAAGAGCTACTGTATTTTTGGACTGGGATTAACTTTTGATACAGTATGTGTTAAGGGAACTCACATCAACCATATCAGCTGCATGTGCATCTGTTTATTCAATAGCAGTCTTGTCATGCCCTCGAAATGCTCACATCATGTCTGGAAAGCTCGGTTGTTATTTGTTTGTTTTAGCAAATAAACAAATGGAATGCAATTTAAAAAAAAAACAATGAGGAATTAACAAGGCAATGTCCACATTCTGTGTGGAATATATTCTAATTTAAATGAAACAGACTTTCAGACAAGGGACTTCCCACCAGGAAGTTCACAGTATGCCAAGAAAAGGTTTTTCTTATTTTTCCACTCATGCCAGGACCTGACACACTGCCAGCTGGCTGCACATTTTGTTTTCATTACTCCCAGAAGAAGATGATAAGAAAGAACATTAGGGTTTTCTACAGTATGTGCTAAATTACTCATCTTGTGTAGTGCTTGAAGTAGAAAGAACATCAGTATTCCTTTTAAGTTTTGAGGCCTTGGGAAATCACTAAAACAGCATTTACCCCTACAGAAAGTCAAAGAAATAAAACAGAGTAATTGTAGTCTAATAATCCTTGCTTCTATTACATGTAAGGATATGGAATTGCTAAATGGAACTGAACTAGAGAGTCATCAGTATAGGTAATATGATTGAAGTGGATGGTCAACACAGATTCAGTGAAATTAGGTCTTGTTAGTGTTGTTGAAGCAAACAGAAGCACTCAAGGACTGATTAAAAGATAAATTCTCAAATTAAACTGAGCAAGCATTCGAGGTAACACGTTCTAGTAACTGGTTAAAGGATACAAAATGAAGACTACAAATCAGGGGTGAATGGTCAAATTGAGAAAGACATACTGTACATGTAATTAGTAGAGTACCACAGGGATCCTTATTAGGACCACTCCCAATTTATATCAGTGATTGATCTAGATTCTGTCACAGATGGTAAACAAGTCACATTTGATGTCAAAATATAAGGATTAATGTTAGGGACAGATAACAGTCCAGTTCTTCCTATCATTTACTAAAGTGCTGAATGAGACTGGAAAATTGCTGTTAGGAGAGAGGGCAGAGAAACAGTTGCTAAGTCACACTTGTAATATAAATAATCATGCAGAGGCCAAAGCACTGAAACTAACCATCTCTTCTCAATATTCTTTATTTGCAGGTCAGTAATAATTTATTTGTTTTAGATTTTTGTAGTAATATCGGAGTTCACTGCCCTATTAATATACAGTATGTTGTATGTGATGTTAGCTTCTTTTTAGTTGCAGTATCTGCAAATAATGTGTACCTCTGTCTAAAGTTCACCTCTGTGTAGCAGTGCTGCTGGTAACACTGTTTATTTTCATTTACGTTTGTAAGCTTTCAATTACAAAGAAAAAGTTATTTTCTGTAATACCAAGTCACATTTTTAGTTTAAGTAAACAAGGGGCAGTTTATCAAATACTGTGCAGGCAACAAAAAATTCAAGACTGGGCCAACACCTGCCAGATGACATCTGATATAGACCTGTGCCAAATGTTACATGCAGTTGCATATCTGCAGTGTTAAAAAAGGACTCTCAGGACAATAGAAATATGAAACATGTTCAGTTTGATTTACCGAAGTAACCCTCCAGCTTAGATTTGTAGAGATTAATACCCCACAGAATTGTCTCCAAACCTAAAAATTGTATAATGCATTCAAGCAACAGGAAACAGGTACGGAATGCAGACTTTCGGTATCTTATATAAAGGTACATTTCTCAAGGTAGATAAGGGAATAAGGCACATACTGTAGTCTTACTGTGTTTTTCCAGCATTTCTGACCTTCTGGTTCTCTGACTAATGTTTTGATACCCAAGAACACTTGTTCCCCCTATCTGACTTCTTGTAGTTTTCCTTTATTCTTTCTAACTCAATAACCCAATAACCTATCATGGTAGAATAGCAGCTATACTGTATTAAACAGAAACAAAAACACTCTAAATAAAAATGGTAGGCACTGATCTTGAAGAATCTACTATACTATAACAAAAGAACTTATCGTAGGTGTTAATGTTGACAATTTTCTTCTAGATACTGGGGAGAAACCACAAAAGGCAAACAGAATTGAGGATGTATTGTTATAAGTGTAGAATTTAATTGAAGGGATGTATTAATATTGTGTAATGCACTAGTAAGACCTGATTTAAAAAACTTGCGTTTTAAGTCTTGGAAATTATCTGCCTACACGTGTATTCAAGCATTTAAAATCCTCAAAAGCATTGGCAAAGTCAATCCTATAGTGTGCCAGTTTCCCATTGTCCAAAGACACACTAGTATAAGTGTGCACATGTTAGTGACTGTGTGCGCCCTTGAATGAATTGGTGTCCTGTCTGTATCAGAATCTGGTGTACCCTGCCTTGTGCCCATTGCTTGCCAGGATAGGCTCCAGCTTCTCTGTGACCTCAGATTGGATAAAGAAAAGAAATGGTTAGAAAAAAGATGGATTGATGGACAGTAAAATGAAATATTAATTGATTTAGGCCATACTGAGCAGAATTCAGTTGAAAATTATAAAAGTACATTATGGGATTATACCATGTTGGTGATTTATAGTGTTTTACCAAAATGCATCTGAAAAAAGATGATGTACTCCAAGGCTTGAGCATTATAATATTGCTGAAATAGCAACACTCGAGTGATTACATTGTTTGCATTTGAAGGTTTTGTTAATTTGGAACAAACAGATAATTAAAAAGCCTCAGCCCTGTGGATAGAATCCATTCACAATCCAGTATGTCAACAGCAACAGTGCCAAAACATATTCCCAGAACGTCTGTTTGAAAGATGTTAACATTTCATCTGCAATGGTAGCTCTGTTTCTTTGGTAAAAAACACATGCCTAACACGCACACATCTTGACAATAGTGCAGACTCAATGCAGAGGGAATAATCAGAACAGCTGGCTTCTGTTTTAGACAAACAGAGTCAGTAATAATAGAGCTCTGAATTTTGTAGCACAAATCCTAACAGCAGATTAAAAAAAAAATTGAAACATGACGCATATCATGTCTTGGTATTCCACTGTCTTTACCGAACCTCCCCCAGGAAAAATGCACGCTAACTCAAATTTGTGTAATTTCTGATGAAACTTACTTATCTGAATTAAAATAAGAGTCATTTTAAATCAGTTATCTTTTTGCTTCAGCTTCTATTTTTCTGTCTTTATATACACTTCTTTGCTTTGAATAATGAGTACGAGGTTTAAAGAAAAGACTTTCATCCTTATGTACAGTAGGTGCACAGATACAGTACTTGTTTCGGCCATTATATAAATCCGAACTGTAGTGTAATAACAATATTAATTCAATTCAACTAATGAAACTTTTTCTGTATACTGTATAAATTCTGTATATAGTGGCTCCAATCAGTAGATGGACATAAGGTTAGCAAATCAGTTTTGGAGCCGATGTATACACTAAAATGTATATATTTCATTGATGCTCCTGAGAATCCTTCTATGTAACACTGGGCTCTGATTTGTGGTAGACATTTTCAATAAAAAGTTTTTTTTTGTTTCTTGGTTTGTATAGGTACTGAAGCACATGTGATTACACACCTGAATTTTTTTCTGCCTGGTCCTGTAGATTTTAATTCACGCTTTTTAAAATAAAGATGTGCTCCCACTTCCTTCTCTTTCAGACCATCACTAATGCTCATTAATAAGAGTTTCCTCATGATATAGTCCAGCCATAGTTATAAGATTTAATTAACTGATAGATCAAACCATGGCAAATTTTCTTGCCTGACTCCCAAGGATACAACATTAAGTGTGATCTGGCTTCCTGAGCTGTAGTTAAGGATTTGAATGATAGATGGGAGTCCTATAAATTCTCTTCTCATCTTCCTTGGTCACTACTACCTTTTTAAAACTGCTTTGAACTGTGCTTCTCAGATGGATGTAAATGGAGTCATAAATCAAAACATTTCAATTTGAACGCTTTGCTGCTGTCACAATGTTAAGAAACATCTTCCATTTAAGATTAAACCAGAAAGCTGCTGTTTACAGTACTGTCTTGAGCTAGGACTATACTGTAATTGTGCACAACTGAAATAAAAACAAACGGAAAGTTAATGATATCCAGCAAATCCATTCAGCACACAGTTATCTGATCAAAGGACACCTGGATGACATGAACAACACCGTACCAAATTTTTTTAAAAAAAGGGGTGGATAGTTCATTTGTTTTGTAAAACTGGAAATTAAAAAAGGAGTGATATAGATGAAATGTATATGTATGCATTCCATCTTAATACAGTTTTCAGTTTTTTGGATTTGTCATTCAAATTATTCTTAATATTCTGATTTCTGTTTATCATATGGATTTTATGTACATCAGAATGGAGTTTTCAATGAAAATAGTAAACTGTATTCCTACACAATAATTTTGGTGTTCTTTTCATTTTGTATCTCTCATATTTTGCTCTTGCCAGTGCTGATGTGTGCTTAATGGCGCATATCAAAAGGTACCTTCCATTTCTTAATTCAAGACAGGAAGTCAAAGAAGACTCAAGCATTTTATTTTCTCATGGTAAAATCTCTTAAGCATTTCTCTCCCTCTGTGCTTTGCAGCTCCTTCTAGCAGAAAGCCTGGAGATCCTCTTATCATCTCAGACATTAAGAAGGGCAGCGTTGCTCACAGGTACACAAACGCCCCCTGTTGTTCTGGGCTGTAATCTCTTGAACCATAAGTCATCATTGTTAGAATTTGGTTCTGCTTTGTATTTTAGTATAATAAGAATTGGCGTACTGTACGGTGACTTATTTGTCTGTGTGTGGGACTTTAAATGGGTTATAAAAGGCATTTACTAAGCACATGTATTTTAACATTTTGCTGTGTTCATCTTTGCAAATTCATAAATCATGCATGAAATTCATGACAAAGGTATAATTTTGCAAGAAGTAATTGTCAGGTAATACATCTCACCTAATTCTGTATCTTTACTATAAAAGCTTGGGAAACCAAATTCATTTGAAGTTTTTGAACTCAGGTGTCATAGCCAGATTTAATGCTGCAGCGTTGTGTACGTTAGGAGCATGGGATCTGGTCCCTGCTCTCCTGGCCAAGTGTCCGTTGGAGTGAGTTAACAGCATGTTTAGTTTTACTCTGTTCTTTTTTCTACATTTGTGTACGAGCTCCTTACAGTTCCTTACATTTCTCTTGGTTGTCACGTTTGTTTGTTTTTCTTCTTCTCTTTCCAACAGTGACCGGTTTACCTTAAAAAATCAGATATTATGGGGAAAAGGAAAAAAAGACCAAGTTTTTCACTTAATCAGACCACTTTTCTGTTGCATTTTTGAACGGTCATGTTATTTCTTTGAGTTTACAAGAACAGTCCATTATTCTGTCAGTCCTCTGTAAAATCAGTGTGACACTGAAGTGGTATCCTGAGGGCAGTACAAGGAGAATTTTAAAATGACCTAGATAAAGAATTACCATTCAAAGACATTGAATATATATTGAAGAAATTGCTTTTGGCAGGACGGGGACACTGGAACTAGGAGACAAGCTGCTAGCCATTGACAACATCCGTCTGGACAACTGCTCCATGGAGGATGCTGTGCAGATCCTGCAGCAATGTGAGGACCTGGTGAAGCTCAAGATTCGCAAAGATGAAGACAACTCAGGTAGTGCTGTAGCACGCTTCCCTCCTGCCCTGTTCTGTGCTTCTGAGCCATGACTCTGTTCCCTGAACAGCACAGCTTCCTCTGATCTTTTTAGTAAATTTAAGCTGACTTTATTAATAACTTTAAAGTTGTTAACTGGAAAACTGTAGTATCTTGATTGTTTGTTGGGTATTAGTTGACCTCAGGAGAAGGAATGAATGGTCAGTCAGATTGCATGTCATAAGAATATAGAAATAGTGTTAGAAATAAGAGGAGGCTGCCTTTCCCGTTTGGTAGATAGTAACTGATTGAAACGAGGAGCTCAACCAGCCTTTTCTTGAAAGAAACCTGGATGTTGGCTTTAACAGCATGGCTGCGATGGTTGCGACATACTCCCTCAACTCTTTGGGTAAAGAAGTGTTCTTGGGTTTCAGTGAAAATTATATGAAATTATAGATTACAGTCCAGCGAGTAAAATAAACTGGTATAAACAAGTTGCTCTTTTGTCCATGCTACATACATTTATTCTCAGTGTAGCTCATAAAATGAAACTAAATTGCTATGTACTGTAATATCGATCTGAGATGGTACCCTTAATGGTGGAATTGTAAAGTATTGCACTCATTCATTATTTGTTGCTTGCTTTTCCACTCAGTTTTGCCTGTGTGAAATTGGTTTACAGTTTAAGTATTTGGTTACATTCATTAGAATTCTTTCTAGAATTTTATCCCTACTTTGTAACATTTGATGACACAAGGGGACCTGGAGACTAGATTTCTATGGCATTGTAGTATTCAAAAAATGAAAGGAAGAGGGAGGTCACTCTTTCATGCCCCAGCAGTTTTTCCATTTATGATAAAAAAATCAGAAAATCAGAAAATGCCTGCTTCCTTTGGCAACTGTGGCAACATCTTCAGATGTTTAAGGCCAGCAGAGTCTGGTCTTAAATGTAGAGACAGTGATACAATGAACTGCAGTCTGCTTCATTGTTTTTGAGATGTGTTAACCTAGACTAAATGAAGGACAGTTCTACACTCTTCATGAATACTTGGATCAGTGGAATGCAACTATGCACCATTCTGTACTTTACATCTGACAATTTAGCATTCCTTGTTTACTTAGGTACTTTCTTGTTCCCAAATTACAATGAAAAAGATAAACAAAACATAAAATTGCCTCACTTTGTAAATCAGAAACAGCTGGGCTTGATCATGCAGTAATTCCATTTTCAAAGAACAAAAACAATCTGAACAAGATACATTATGCATTACCAATACAGTTCTTATGTTACCTTTTGTGTTATCGTCCTTGTTCGGCTCTCATCTTCCATCCCCAGACCTGAGCCCTAGAGATTCAGAATGGCACCACCCTCCCTCACTAACCCATCTCATAAAGCATCCCCAGTCAGAGCTGAACACCTTCAAAGCTGCAGTCTTGTGGGATCTGTAGGTCTTTTAATGGATGAACAGCGTAACATCTGGGAAATTAGTCCCTTCAAGCAAATAAGGAATTGCTTTTAATAGTTAAGATGTTTTACAGAATAAAAACCAGAAAGGCATTTGGTCCAAGTCTATATACTGTACATAGTTTGTGCTGTACTGTTGTACTATTTCATTCTTGGTTTAAATGCAAAAAACAAGAGATTTTAGCATGTATAAATATTGCTTTCAAACATCTGATTTTTGACAGGCTTATAAAAAGCTGCAAAATTGGGCCAAATTTTGTTTCTTAAGTAAACAACAAAATAACACCTTTCCTGCATTTCCAATGTAACTGAAAGCACAGCAAATGCATCACAAAATTTGTAGCTCTTAAAGAAAGCCTAACCCTAACCCTAGCTCAGGCACTTTAAGAACATGATCCATATACCTTGCCTAAAGAGCTGTGTGCTGAAAAAGTTACCCAAATGACTCCAAAATAGTCAAAACATTACAAGTAATTTTTTTTATCATTGTAAAATAATCTGCAGTGAATCTGTTTGGAATTTCCAGTATTTATTTCTTTTGTAAGCTGCTGCTGAAATGTTGCATAAAATATGCATGTTTTGTGCCATTTACAGTTAGGATTTCAAATACCACGGAAGTTTAACTAAATTTAATATTTCCTTCCTGGTTTAAATGCAAAAAACAAGATATTTTAGCATGCAGAAAGAAACAATCGAACATTTGATTTTTGACCAGTTTTGACAGGAGCACGGCTGATCAAAACCTGCAAAATTTGGGCCAAATTTCATTCTCATGGAAACGGCAAAACAACACCTTTCCTGCATTTCAAATGCATTCTAAAGCACAGAAATACACAGAAATTCTTTTAAAGAAAATCTAACCCTAACCCTAGCTCGGACACTTCTAGAACATGTTCCATAAACCTTGCCTAATGAGACCTGTGTTGAAAAAGTTACCCAAATTACTCCAAAATAGTCAAAACATTACAAGTAACAGTTTTTAGCATTTTAAAATGACCTGCAGTGAATCTGTTTGCGATTTTCTATATTTCTTTCTTTTCTGAGTTGCTGCTGAAATGTAACCTAATATACATAATTTGTGCAGTTTACAATTTAGGATTACAATTACCACTGAAGTTTTGCTAAATTTCCTGTTTCATTCTTGAGTTAAATGCAAAAAACAAGAGATTTTAGCATGCAGAAAGAAGGTTTTCAATCATTAGATTTTTGACCATATTTGACAGGAGCACGACTGATCAAAAACTGCACAATTGGGCCAAATTTTGTTCTCAAGTAAAAAACAAAACAACACCTTTCCTGCATTTCAAATGATTCCTAACCCACAGCAAATACATCACAAAACGTCTAGCTTTTTGTGGAAAACTTAACCCTAACCCTAGCTCGGGAACTTCTAGAACATGTTCCATAAACCTTGCCTTAATGAGACCTGTGTTGAAAAAGTTACCCAAATGACTCCAAAGTAGCCAGAAACATTACAAGTAACAGTTTTAAGCATTTAAAAATGCTCTGCAGTGAATCTGTTTGGAGTTCCCAGTATTTCTTATAATATAATATAATGTACTGTATGTAAGTTCAATTATAAAAAATCAAACCAATGCTTTATCAGTCTAGCTTTGAGTTCACCCACTGAATAGATACAGTAGATTTGTTCCACAAGACATTGAATAAATTAATCAAAGGTGAAGTCATCATTATTATCCCAACTGTTACAATGCCGACAGGTCTGGTCTCTTCTGGCTTTCGCTCCTGGAAAATTCTCAAGCACACAAGCATGAGACGTTCACACCAGGACGTCAAATCCACACGGAAAGGATCTCGGCACTACTGGGCTAAATGCTGATGGTTCACAGATTGACACCCATAGTTGTCGGCACATCATGGAGACCCAGGGTCCTCCAGGATATAACGAACGAGCTTCCAGCAGTTGATTACCTGGTCTGATTTAATTTTTATTTTCCAATGTACAAGTGTGTTTTTTGAGCTTGAAGTATCTCATTGGTAATTTAATGGACAGCTGGCAGTACCAGACTCCCCTCTCCCCCTGTAAGTCTGGTAAAGAAATGGTAGACTGTCCTGTAATACAATGTAGTATATAAAGAGTACAGTGCAGCAATATATTAATACACAGTGCAGTTATGTATTTACACATTCAGAAAGCATATACATACAGTATACTGTGTACAGTGTATGTATAGTTCAAGTACAGTAGGTACAGTATCTGCTTCAGCATGAACAGGCTGAAAGGAACAAGTAAAGGTTTATATCATGCTAAAAAGAGAAGAAATGAAACACAACCTTTTTCTGTGGAACCTTCTTCCCCTGTATATGCATATATTTTTGTAATATCTTGTTTTTGTGCTGCAAAATTATAATTCAGAAATTACAGACACCCCTTTTACTTCTATTTGTTCATTAAACCAAGGGTTTATTGTACTTAAGAAAAGAAGATGACAAAGAATGTTAAAGAAAATGAATATGTTAAGAGATTACATTTTGAACATTAAATATTAACATTACAATGTATCTCTGAGACTCTCCTCCACATACTGTATTATCTGAGCGTAAATGGTGAAAAAATACACGTTAAGAGAATCATATTGTCTGGTCTTGCTACCCAAAATTACCTTAGTACAGTAAATACTATGTAAAAATGCTCTAAGAAAAAGATATATTACAAATGAGCCTTCCAGACATCGATGTCTTAGCATCTCTACAAATTCTGAACTGCTTCATTATACTTAATCTGGTAAAAAAAAAAACAATTCTGTCACCAAGCACTCTTATTAAAAACTCTCTGCTTCTAAGATTAATGGAATGTAATTCATGCATGTAATACAGGTATTTATACTGCAGCTGAAGCATATTATCATGACTTACTGTACTCAATCACAGATGCCATTTTTTGCCAAAAGAATAAACAATATTCAAATGAACAGAGGTTCTTTTTCATAGATAACTGAAGCAACTTAATGACTGCAGCATCATAAACAATGTCTTACCCAACACTTAACATACCAAGGATGTTTCAAATACTACTTTGTAGAGCAGTTTATAGCCTCAGTTCTAATAGGAGTAGTTTGACACCATAGTGTGTGTAAAAAGTGACATTTGAAACCAAAAATGGAGAATGTGCTATAGTACGTGAGCCCTCTTGTGACTTTTGAGGTTCGCACCTATAAAACCTATGAAACCACTGCTCGATCTTTTAAACAGGGAGTCAGAATAAAGGCTTGAAGGAAGAAGATAAAATCTATTTGGGTTTTATGTAAGTGAAGTGGTACAAAAGTCAATAGAGTGCCAGAGACATTCAGCACATTGAGCAGAAATTGAGTCTTGGATCGATTAAGTACTAAAAACCAAACAACATGATTGTATCAAATTGCTTCTTCTTGCTTGCAACTACTTTATATTTTTGATTGGTTTCCTGAACATATAGAGAGGGTTTTAAACCACACTGGTTAAAGAGTTAGAGTGGAATGTTATAAATTGTTAAAAGAATATCTGAGCCTTTTATTTCCAGTGGTGTGTTATCTACATCCTTGCACTATGTCAAAATTTATGTAATTGTCAAAAAACTCTTGTGCTTGTTCAAAACTTTTCAAAGACTAGGTTGATCATAAAGAATAGTGTTTTATCCATGTATAATTGAATGCGGTACAAACACTGACAAACCAATCCTTTACGTCTGCAGTAAAATGCAAGACAGAAGTGTCCCAGAGCAACACTTTGATTTCAGTAATGCATTTCCCCTCTCACAGCACATGTCTTATTGTCTGGCTGGTCTTGTAAGTGATTCCTGCTTCTTGTTGGCCTGTGTTCTAGATGAGCAAGAGAGCTCTGGAGCAATCATCTACACTGTGGAGCTGAAGCGCTATGGGGGGCCTCTGGGAATCACAATCTCTGGCACTGAGGAGCCATTTGACCCCATCATCATCTCCAGCCTAACGAAAGGAGGCCTGGCAGAGAGGTAACGGTGCTATTCACACCTTCTGCTGTACTAGCACAAAGGTCTTTCCCAAGAAGAGACCTGGAATCAGAAATCCACGTGCAAATGGGTTTGTACTAGAATTAAGGAAAACCAATGCAATTGTAAAAAAATAGTTATGGAGCAGCCATCCATTTTCTAACCTCTTCTTCCAACTCTGGGTCGTGGGGGAGCCTGAGCCTATCCCAGCCAGCAGGGGCACAAGGCAGGGTTCACTCTGGACAGGACTCCAGTCCATCGCAGGGCAGACAGACACAGACATGCACACTTTCACAGCTAGGGCCAATTTTCCCAGAAACGAATTAACCTACCAGAATGTTTTGGACTGTGGGAGGAAATGGGAGGACCTAGAGGAAACCCACGTGAACATGCAGACATGTAAACCAGACAGCACCCCAGATCTGGAATTGAACTCCTGGTTCCAGCTCTGTGAGGGAGCAATGCTAACTACTGCGCCAACCATTAGTGGAAATAAGTTATTAAAAATGTTTCACAATAGGCCTAACAAAGTTTGGTCTTATACATGTTACTATGTCTTCAACGCAATTCTTAGTGATTCACTGTCATTCTGGCTCAATGTGTGGTATAATACAAACATTGCTGGTTGTGTTTCCTATTCAATTGATTCTAAAAAATAATAATGTTTATAACATTTTTCATTTTTGCCATGATCTTCCACATTCCATGCAACTAGTTATTACGCTGCATTAAATTTAAACTTAGTCATTTTACTTTAACCTTATAAACTTACATGAATGTTTCTTTTACTGTCTACATTGTGTGGTGGTGTCTGATGTACTGTGTATGTCCTGAGAGATGAGCGTGAATTGGAATTCCAACGTACCTGTAGATAAAGCAATAAAACACTTCCATCCCACTACTTAGATCAAATGCAACCTTAAAAACATGATATCACATTTCTTTTTTGATGAATGCGCTGTCACATTTCTTTTTCGATTAATGTGCTGTCAAGATTAGGCAAAACAGTGATCGAGGATTGTACTGCAGCTTTATGAAATACTGTACATCAGCTGGAATTTCAGCTTGTATTAAATATAACTTGTAGTAATTCAGGGTGGGTAGCTGCGTCAGCATGATTTTAGGCTGCAAAGGAACAAGTAATAGGTTTATTCCATGCTAAAAAGAGAAGAAAAAAAACACAACATCTCGGCCTTGGGGCCTTCTTCAGGTGTGTCAAGTTAAATATAACTTGTTCTTATAGTAACGATGCCTAAGTCCCACTTTGTATTTATGCCTAATATGTGACATCCAGACATGGGAGAAAAGTAAGGCTTGGGATTTTTCAGGTGACCCCAAGCTAAAGGAATAAAAGTGGTCCTCCTGGTCTTTGGCCGATTGTCTAATATCTGAAAATGACAGCGAAGGTTGGATGCAATCCCAGCTGTGTGTCACCTACCCATCACTACTTCCTCTTCTTAATGCTGACCTTGATCACCAAATCCAGACCTAAAATGAACAGTGCTGCATTACCCACTCTTTGTCATGGAGCCCCATTCATCTGACTTTGTCTTAACTAAGCCCTGACTTTACCTAAGGTACTGGAGAAAGTGGTGATTTAGACCAGTCAAGCCAATAATTGTCTCAGTCAATTGCAGTGACATCAGTGAAAGACTTGCCACAGCTCCAACTGGTTCCACCTGTCCTCTGTTCTTGTCACAGCCTGTTGAATTTGCAGCATATCAAATAACAAATGGCCATGCAGGTGGGCATGCTGGAGGAGCATGGCAGGGCATCTCGTTCTTTCCCCAGTGGGTGAAGAATTGTTGGGACTCATAAGGCTGAGTCCTTTTCATTACACATCTGTTTTATTACCATCAGCTACAGTACATTAGAAAGAACTTGCTTTCTCTCTGCTTTTAGTAGATAAAGTAGATTTCTTTTGTCCCTTTCGTCTGGAGAACGAATATTTCAGCATAGTTTTCCATAATTTATATTTATTTTAAAATACAGCATCATCATAGCACAGATATTTGTGGTTAGATGTTTGCAAGGTTTGTAACCTTTAACATTTCTTATACAGGACTGGGGCAATACACATTGGAGATCGAATTCTAGCCATAAACAGCAACAGTCTGAAGGGGAAACCGTTAAGCGAAGCCATTCATCTTTTACAGATGGCAGGGGAGTCTGTCACATTGAAAATCAAGAAGCAAGGTGAAGGTGAGTCAACCTCCACTTCAACAGGTCAGATCTAGTAGTAAAGTATTGTAATTCAGCACTGAAAGACTGGGAGAGAAAATTTGGAAATTGTATGGATTTGCCATGGTTGAGCATGATGTCTTTTTTGTTTTTACGGTCATGCACGTATCATATTTCCACAACTGGTAAGGGGGTCTTAAATCTTGTTTTCCAGCATGTGTGTATTAGAACTTCAGAAACCCCACAGAGGAAAGGAGGCGTTTAAGCCCATCAAGCTCATCTGGATCAATTTCACTGTAGTCCCATAGCTGTCAGTGATTCCACTGGGAACAACCCCACAGAGCCTTGTGCACCAGAAAGGGACTCTTAAATCAACATTTGAATGTTCTTCACAGTAACACTTTCTGAGGCGAAGTTCTGGCTAAGTTCTGACCATTTTTCTGATGAATACGTTTATATGAATTTTACAGCATTCATGGATTTTGAAATCCTATTGCATTTCATTTGTCTCCCAGTTCAAATATATGTGATGTGGGGGGGAAGATAATAAAAAAAGTTGGTGGCAGCCCTAAAAAAGAAAACTGATTTTTATTTACAGCAACGAGCCCTAAGAAGCCCTCAGCCTCTGGGCGGCTCAGTGAGCTCAGCGACGTGGAGGACGAGTCTCAGGCGGCTCAGAAGACAGGAAAGCTGTCAGATATGTACTCCACCACCATCCCCAGTGTTGACAGTGCTGTGGAGTCCTGGGATGGCTCGGGCATCGACACTGTCTTCGGCACACAGGGTGAGGAACCGAACTGCTAGCACCTCTCTCGGGAAATTCCCGTTACGGAGGGACATTTTCATCTCTCAGTTTAACTGCAGTATCTACCATCTAACCGTAAAGCCTCTTTCTGTAGACAGCCTGATGGTATAAGATTAAATGCTCCCATCTGCCCCACTTTACAGGCTTATTAGAGTTCTATACTCAATAAAGCTGTGGTAGATGACTACAACAGTGAAATCGTTTCAGAGTGTGTGTCTGTGTGTGTACAAAGACAAAGTATGCCTTCTTAATTGGACTATCTAACATAAGGAGCATGCTTTGTACAAAAGACGAGGTCATATTCATAAGGACAGTACACAAATTAAAAGAGGAAAGTACATCAATAAAACAGTTTACTTGTGTACTGTGTTTGTGTGTTAATAGAAAAACAAATCTTGTTTACAGTTTCACCTCATAAAATGTATAAATACATGAACTGAGCTATTATGGTTTGTATTCCGATTATACTACAATCACCTCCTCAAATAAATGATTTGCTGTGTTTTCCAGTTTCACATTATAATGGTAGTAATCCTAAATGAAATGAATGACTGGGCATTGCCGGTGTAGGCAACACTGTAGTGGTCACTATAACATCTCTAATCTCTTATTACTATTGATAAAGTGACTTTGGGTGATATCTGCTTGAATCTGTATGGCAGGCCAGCAGTCTCACACATAAGTAATGTAATTTAGTCATGATTACATTGTTTCAAATTAATTATTAAAGAGGAATAAAACAAAGAAGCCATCATCATCCCCATTAGATGAAGCCATTCACCATACAGTAGTAGTTTTAAAATTCATTTATTCTTTTATTTAGAGGAACTGTCAAAAGAAACAATGCATTACTCATTACTGTACTCATTTGTCAGGCAGACAAATAACAGTGAAATTGGAAATTTGGTAGTTATCTGTTTGTGAAAAGTCAAGTGTTTATGATTTGCTTAGGAAATACTAAAGTATTTTTTTCATTTTAAACAGTGAAGTTAAGTCTCTCACAGCTATTGGAAATTGGGGGTTCCAAGCAGGCAAATGCAATTACCCATTCCAGTAGAGGAAGAAAATAAAGTAAATTCTTTACAGATAGAAGTAATTGCCAGTCTTCTTTAGGTCTTCACAGTCTCTTTTAAAAATAAAGTCTTAGATGCACAGTCATAATGCATATCAATGAATGTTATCATGAAATATAAATAAATTAAAAACTAAAGTGGGTCCTTATTCTGTGTGTTTATGGAATGTAGGATATCTATATCTCAGTATTGTGAATTAGACTTTCTCTGACTGCACTATTCACATCCTTTAGCCTTAGCTCATCTCAGAGGCTAAGCAAGTCTGGGCCTGGAGTGGGAAAACCAGGGTGTCACAGGCCAAGGTTGTGGTGGGCCAGTAGGTAGCTCTGTGGACTTGAATTTCCATTGCCATTGCTGGTACGGTGACCAGGGACACTATGCTGGAGGAGGTGCCCTTATTCAGATGAAACATTAAAAAGAGCACCTGCCTTAATTCCATTGGTGAAACAGTGTCTCTCTTCTCCAGCTGGACTGCTGTTTAGTGGGGCTGCGCATTGCTGTGCTTCGGTGGGATGAAATTCATCCCCTACTGTATGTGTAAAAGGCTTCAGGATCAATCTGGATAAAACAAATGCATTATTATTGTCATTAAAAAGCACTGTGACATAATCACCAATTGAAACCCCGAAGAGAATCATTCATTCTGACCTGTAGTTCAGAGAAGATATTCATGATAAGTGCGCAGGAGGTCTACAAAACATACAGTACCTGGGCCATTAACAGGGCAAATTATTATGTATTCACTTTAGTATTAGTTATTTCTGTTTACCATCTCAGTTTATTAAATGAGGGCTTTAAATTTCGCAGGATGACAGTTCGGTTGAGCAAGAATTTTTTTCTAAAGGAGAGTTATCAGAGCTTGATCAACATTGCATAAGTAATTTTTCCAATAATTGGATCGTTTTTCAAATCATGTCCTTTCAAGGTGAGCACAATCTGGAAGCTCCATACAATGAGCAGATGTGGGGGAGGAGAGGTGTGTGACTGTGAAGTAACAGCATCTGCCTGCTTTACATGCAGAGATATTCTATACAAAGGCTCTATACTTACAGGTGAAAATTATTTTTAAAATTAGTAAAAACACTTTTAACAGTCTGCATGACTGTAAAAATGATCAACTCTTTCTGACGCTTTCTGCAATTGCTCGCAGACTCAAGTGTTAAGCACGATACCCTAATTTGTGCTAATACTACGTTTTGAAGAATCATTCAGCTCCCTCGAGAAAAAAGTCAAACCTAATAAATCAGATGCTCAGAGACTATAGTGATAATTTATTACAAATATTGTTTTCTGTCAACACAGAAAATTTAGAAAAAATAATGCGCTTAGAAGTACATAATACAGGGATTAAATAAAGCCCACATAATCCCTCTGGTGAGAAACTGTGAAACATTTATCCTAGTTAGACTTAGTTCAGGGTCCCTCTGAGCACAAAGTCTTACACCCAAAAAAAACAGCAGGCTTTGAGAGATTAATGGTATAGGACTTTGAAAGCCAGCAGCAATAAAGATTTGGATTAGTCAGTTACTGATTCATTAGAGCCACTTACTTTTGAGATGCAATTGTTTTTCAGTGGATTTCAGTAAGGTGAGAAGAAAAAACAGAAAACACAACTTGATCTTTTCCACTTTTGTCTCAGTTTTATATGAATAGTTTAAATAAAACCTTCTCATGCTATATTTAATACAAGAAAACAATAATAAAAAAAGTGCATTTTTAATCTCTGCTTCCATTAAAACATAGTAAGTAGTCTACAGAAGTAAAAGCCTTGCAAGGTTATACGGTATTCATTACATGTTAATCAACTGGATACTTTCGAATTTGGATTTTTCACATTTCACATAGATTTTAGGCATTTTGTATGTATTTCATAATTTCTGGTCAGCCTCTGAAAAAAGTTTGGTAAATAAAACCTAAAACTCATTAAAATGTTTGAAAAGGTTCTATACTTGGGTCAAGATATTTTTCTCAATTTCTTAAGAAATACTGTAATTAGGGCAAAATTAGTCACATTTCTTAAGCAGAGACAATTTCACTGTAACATCATAATAACCTTCCCTGTGTTTTCATTAAGTATAGTTAAATATTGCTGTTGACTTTGTGTTGCACTCCTGTCTTTTGTTTTCTCTGAATGAGATACAGTAAATACATTTTCTTATATTCCCTCTTATTGATAGCTTGATAAAACTTTAGTGTTGTTTGAAACAGGAAATCCCAAAACTTCATCAACAGAAATAAACTACAGTACTTTCGTTGTTACCAGCCTATTGTATAAACACAGCAATGTTTGTGTTACTGTACTGTAGATTTCAAGTTATTGTAGATCTTAGTGTAAATTGTAGAGTCTTTCTAATCATCGGTAGGTGGCACTCTTCCAAATCATGTATGGTGAGAGAATACACTGTGCTGTAGGAGGAAGTACTGAATGTTGGATGAAATACTAAACCAATATTGAGTACCTAATTTGTAAAGATGACATGGTACTGTCCCTAACACTTGGTGAAGGAAATTTTCACTCCTCCATCTGGTCTACTCTGTAGTGAGGTTGTCATACATTGCCATGATGGGGCTGTACGTTAGTAGTGGGTGAAGTAGGTCCCCACCTGTGTGTAAACAGCTTTGGGATCCTCTGAGGTAAAATGTGATATATAAATGTGAGGACGTATAATGGAACTGCACCTTCAAACGAATGTCCATCAAGAGCTATCATGATAGTAGGGTTTTAATATCTTACAGTTCTCTCCTCACCTGCAGGTTATCTCTGTCTTTTTTTTGGTTTTCAACAGTACCTGGGTACCAGGCTTCAGGGTACAGTTTTCACAGCCACGAGTGGAGGAATGCAAAGTCCAGGGGCAGCCTGTCTCCTGTCAGCCGGCAGAGGAATAACATCTTCCAGGACATCGGGCTGAGTGATGACGAGTGGGATCGGCCTACCACTAGCGGGTAAGTCACCTGGACACTTGGGGATTGGAAGAAGTGTGAAAATGTCCACCGGTAACCCCCAGTGGCTCGGTTGTCACAAGTCCGAGCCTTGTTCCTTTCACTAGCCAGTTATGGTTGAGATTGGCCAGTCAGAAGAGCGCTTCCATGATAGCATGACCCCCATAGTGATCTCGGCAGTGAGTGAAAGAGCTACCCCTGTGACCACTGGCAAGGTTACAGGCACTCTTCTTTAGAGCAATGTGGAGCTGGCAGAGAGTGGTTCTGACTAATGTGCAGGTCCTCTTTACAGCTGTGAGTCGAGTCTTGGAAGCAATTGACAAAATTGTATGAAATTTCAGAATTGTATGGGTATGTAATTAATAGTCAGGTCTGGTTATTAAAACATACAGTATTAATAGGAATTTAATACTTTAATACGTTACTTTAATAATGTAATAGCAGAGTTTGAACTAAAAGTTCTGTTATGATCAAAGTAATCAATCAATCCAATTAAGTAATTGAGACCGTCAATGATGTGTTAGAATTAGAAATTCTACAGCTGAGGTTACACAGTACTGTGACACAGACAGAAAGAGAGGGCACTGTGACAGCTCTAGGGAGACGCTATAACATGAAATCATGAACAAAGCAGAGGCAGTTCAGTCCATCAAGTTCCTTTAGCTCATGCTTCTCAGTAGTCCCAAAAAATAATTATTTGAACTGGGAGCAAACCCCCAATGCCTGCAGTTCTCTTGAAACTGTCTCCAAGGACAGTCTGTAGTTTGGACAAGCCAATCAAATTTAACCTGCAAGTCTCCAAGTTCGACTTCATAAAGGAGTCATTCCTATAATTATTCCCCTCATTGTTGGCTGTGAAAAGGAAGGTTTGCATCAACGTTAAAGACATTTTTCCTGGCAGTTCATGACAAGTCACAATTTCATTTAAAAGACTGTTTAAGGAAATTGAAAGCACTATACTCCTGCACACAAAAAAGTACAGTAAATTGACTTTGTAAAACCTGTAAAATTATACATTAAAAGCTCAAGAGAAAACAGTTCTCCAAGCTAATCAACAACTCTTAAATTGATTTATTTGAATATGAATATATTTCTCATTAGTTTCTGTCTATTGACGCTGTTTGCGCATGGACCTCTTCCTCAGGAGCACCTCATCTAGGATTTTGTCAGGCTCTTGTCTGGTACAGCTATTGCAGGGCTTCCTGGTAAGATAATGGTTTTGGGTTCTATTCTAAGGAGGCTGTAAACCTCGTCCTGCCTCAATATTCCCATGAGAGCAACTTGAGAGAATCTAGACAAATCTACCAAGAGGAACAGACAAAGATCACACCAAGCTGCCGTGCAAAGGTGGAAAGACGTAGCCAAAAGAATGTGCCACTGTCATTGATGCCAAAGGTGCTTCTACCACATACAGGATTGATGTGGTATGAACAGCTCTGAGCCCTCACAGCGCAGCGCACAATGTCTGTGTGCAAGTGCTCAGTTAATGTTCAAGTTCTCAAAAATATTAATTATGATATAGAGATATTTTCCCATGGGCTGCTTCTTATTGTTTTATGCAATTTCTAGAAACTTAAAAAATAAAATAAAAATGTTATAGTCACAAATGCAGACATTTCAACAGAAGGAATAATGGTATGAATACCATACCATGGTTTTTGAATATTGGTATTTCTTCTGCTCATATAGACAAACATACCCCAGACTTTTTTCCTAATTCCTGACAATAACGTAGGGTGCATAGCTAATAATGAATTTTTCAAGGAAAAAATTCCCCTTGGGTCCCAAAAGGAAAAACAATAAAGGGAAAAATTTTTTCCAAAAAACACCACAGTGTCTGTGTGCAAGTGCTCAGTTATTATTCAAGATCTCAAAAAATCTTAATAATGATATTGAGACATCCCTTTTCTCAGGAGACCAGTGAATATGTGACTCTAACAATCAGAATCTGAGATTGCAGCAGACCCTTGGATCCAAAAACATATAATCAGAAATTGAAAAGCCTCTATGACATTTTCAAAGATCAGTCGTATTTCTTTAAATATTTTTCATTTGTCCTTAAGATAACGTCTGATATCTCAACATTCACCCTGTATAGAACCTCTCAGGGATTCTTTTAGATTTTGCCTGTCCTGGTTTCCTGTACAATTTATTGATGTGTTGCTCCTTGAGGCTTGCAGTGCTGCAGGATCACATCACATTGCATTTATCGTGATTAGCATGTCAAGGTCATGACCATGACAAATTGAATAGACTAGATTTGTTCTCATAAAATGCTTATGTCTTCAGAAACAAGCTGTGCTCTCACCTGAACGCAACCACTGAGCGTAGACAAAACTCTGAGACAGCTATGGAATAAAATTAGTCTACTGAGGGTCTCAAGTCATTGTTCATGCTCCAGATTACTGTTAAGCATACCAGCTTCCTCTGTAATCATAACTTCTAAACTCGTTCTCTAAGGCGCAAAAGAAAAAAAATGCTGTGAGGAAATGCAGCAGTAAAAGCCCAGCCTATATCAGTAACATTTCAACAATGAGTTTGTTTTGGGTATGGTTTACAAACAGCATCTCAGCTTCATCATCAAACATTTATATCAGGGATGTATTTGCAAATTTATATATTTACAAAAATGGCTGATGGTGCTTTCCTTTCGTTTTTTTAAACATGGTAATGTAGTTAGACCGCACAGTGGTGCAGTGTTTAGTATAGCTGCCTTGCAGCGCTGGGGCTCTGGTTTCAATTCTGGACCTGGGGTAGAGTTCTCCCCGTGTTTGTGTGGGTTTCCTCCCACATTCCAAAACATACTGGTATGCTAATTGGCTTCTGGGGCAATTGGCCCTGGGTGTGAGTGTGTGTGTATCAGTGTTTGTGTTTGTGTGGCCATGCAATGGACTGGCGTCCTGTCTGTGTCAGAGACCAGTGTACGCTGCCTTGTGCCCATTGTTTGCCAAGATAGGCTTCGGCTCCCCCGCGACCCTGTGTTAATGAAGTTGTTAGAATATGAATGGATAGATAATGATGAAGTTTTAATGTACATTTCCAGAGCTTCCTGTATATCTCAATGGCCTTGCTGGTATGCTTTTACTCTAAGTAGCAATTTACTTTTGACAATTTAACATTTTAAATATGACTGTCGGCCTTTTCAGCTTAGGGTATTTAGGACATGCTTGGACTCTGCTGTATCCCTCATCATGTCAAGTCAAGGAGGCATTGTTTAAACACATCAGGCTTCTTTTTTTACAGAACATGCAATAATCAGGCTTCTTTTTTTTTCAGAAAATGCATTAATCACAATAGTGCTTTCACGTATTGTTACAGCTTTACGTGACTGAGAAGTATCTCTTAGATTTGAAAAGTTTGTGACACTTGGCAGAGTAAACACTTCTAGCTTCAAAGCAGAGAGGATGTTAGCTGACGTGTGTGGATCCCTTGAGCAGAAGCAATTGTAACAATTAGTATGCCTGGGTAAGTTGTGGGTTAGTGATTGTCAACAGCAGCACAGAAACAAACAACATTAAACAACATTAAGAGGAGAGAGGAAAGTAAGAAACAAGAAACAGGAAAGTAGGAGAGCAGAGACAAATGTCCGGAGGAGCTGGGACTTGAAGCTTGTGCCAGGCGAGAGCCCCTACTTCATAATCATCCAAACCAAACCTGACTGGACCTAAGTTTTGGAACCTTGTTAGAGAAAGCATGCTACTCTGTGTTTGTAGGGAACTTGGGTCTCCTGGGTAAAAGATACCTCAGTTAGAAACATTTTTCCTGCTTAGGGTGCATTTTTATAGGTAGGGATATAGGCTCCCATTTATTTTGTGGCATCCGGGGTGCAGAGAGAGAAATTTAACTGCAGGTTGCATTGTATTTAGTTAGAAGGCAGCTTATCTTTTATGTGGCCTCTATAGGCATTAAGAGTTTAATGCTAAGTACAGTCTGGGGTTTTCTGGGTGACCAGAATTTCAGGCCTCTTAAAAAAGCCTTGTATGTAAATACTGGTCATAGAGTAATTTGTTTGTTGTATGTTTTGTTGTGTGTAGTGTAGTTTGTGTCTTGTCATTAAATATTTGTTTAACCAAGTGTGCCACGATTATTATTTTTCTCAACAAAGCTGTGCTAGACAATAAAGAATTCACATGCCTGTAACTATACCAACCGTTCAGATGTAACTAGAAATCACTTACAAGTTGGGGGCTATGAATAATTATTTTACTTATTGACTAAACCGCTCAGTCAATTCCTGATTTTCACCAGTTTTGTAACACCCCATTTGTAACAGTATTAATCACCATAATTAATTTACCTCTATCTAATCTGTCCAATAAAATGTCAGCACACCAGCTGCAAAACATATTGTCATTTTCCAGATAAAGAATTTGCTGGGGTTGTAAGTGATGTTTGTTCAGATGCTCAGCACTCCAGTGCCTGGGGAGAGCTAAGGAACAGTGTTCTGCCCACTCACTATATAGACTAGTGTCTTCCCAGCATGACTTTTCCCTCTTAATATCATTCCTTATCCAGGCAGTCTTATACAAAATGTAAAACTGAACAAAGTAGATGTTAGATCTTCTGGGATAATACTTTTCCTTCTTCTAAAACGTTATCACACAGGTTAATCCATTTTAAACTTGGACACAGAATGTAGGCAGCATATTTTCCTGGGTTCTAGATGAAGGTTGCTCCTGACTCACTTAGCCTGTACCTGGTCGTACAAACACATATATCAGGAGTGTCTGGTGATGGATTACTTTTGAATGTATGTGACACTGTATATGCTGGTTGTGCCGTGGAGCTTTCGATTATTTTTGCTCAATTATGTTTCACAACAGGACAATGTCTTTGTTTCGGGGGACCAGATTCGATTTTTATTTTGTGACAGCGTGGTCCGATCATTGTCATGTTCAGTGCTCGTTTCATTAGCTCCCTTTCTTACGCTTAAGTTTTTGCGCACGAGCTCCAGTTCTTTGATCTTTTGTGTATTTTATTGTATTTTCCTATTTTGTACTTAAATCTGAATGAATAATTGAACAACATGAAACAGGATACTATTAAGTACGGTTATTTAGCAGGCATTTGGAAGTCTTTGTTCAGAGGAGCAAAGTCATTACACGAGAGCAGGAATATACTGGAATTGTGGGCTCTTTGTTGCAGGTTCACTGTGGGCAACGATGGAACAGAACCAGACCAAGAGGAAAACTTCTGGTCTCAGGCACTGGAGGACCTGGAGACCTGTGGCCAATCAGGCATCCTGCGAGAACTGGAGGTAACATGCTGTGGCAAATCCATCTCTCTCACAGTGTGATAATACCTCTCTGAATACCAGAAACCAAAAGAGCAATGATCAGAACTATAAATGTAATACTAGGAGCCTTCCATGTTTCATTGAGTCCCTTGGCATTTTTTGGTCCCATGTTGTCACTTACTACAGTGTGGATGCTAAGTGTATAACAACTCCTTTTCTTTCTAGGACAAGCCAGACAGGCTTCTGAATATGAGAAACCTGGCCATCTTGGTACCCTTCCCTTTTGTGCTTATTTTTGCTTGTGACGCTCGCATTTGTTCGACCCCTCGCTGTTAAGCTCTCTATTCACCTGCTGATAGCCTGCTGTTTTTTGATTAACATTAACAGGCCAGTCTTTGCCCCAATACAGAGGTGCATTCAATATAACTTGTAGTGCTGCCATGGAATACATACTGTAGCTACCCCTGTTTGTATTAAGTGAACAACATTTCAGAAAAAAGGGGCTCATGCCTGTAATTAAAGCAGTCTTTATGATGGAAACAAGACTTCTTTTCGTAACCTCATCAATTTGTACAAAGCAATCTGAAGGATATTTGTATTTTTAAAGAAAGTAAAGACCAAGACCTAAAAGCCTAAATTTAGCTAACATTTAAGGGAATGTGGGTGAAAGAATGCATTATTGTTTCATTATGTCATATCATGGAGGATCCATTCAATGTTAATTTTGCTGTCAAAATACTTGCAGCACCAATAACTGTAGCCCTCGGCCACATTTAAGTTTTTGCTGGCTTAGAGTAAAAATATTTAAGCAGTGGGACTCGTCATAACATTGTATTAATTATAATAAAGAATATGGCCTTGAGAGAAAATCAAACAACTTGAAGACTGCAAGTCTAAAAAAAGACCCTTGGCTTACCAGTTTAATTGATTGTAAAATGCAATAATGCATTATTTTAAAATGCTTTAACTATGACAGCACTTCAGCTTGTAATGAATGTACCCTTTTGTTCTGTTTTGCTACAAAATAGGTAAGACTATTTTCATCAACATATATCTCTAAAGAGATTTTCATGGTGTAATTCTTTTCCTGTGTTTAATTTACATCATTTGTGTGACATACTGAAATGCATGAATACTGTGGTGAAAGTTTACAGTCTGTTTCTGGAATAATGTGAGCATCAGCTTGGTGAAATAGAGACCAGACTGTTTTTTTTTTAACTTTTTTAATGAAAAACACCATAGCAGCAAGTTTGAGCGATTGTCTTAGAACTGTCAAATGGAAGGAGACAGAGAGGCATGGCAGTTCCAGCAAAGCATGAAGGGAAAACTGTTGCAAGGCTTCTGGTGGTTGTGGCTAAACTGAAGGTTTACTGAACTGCAGTCAAGATTCTGAAATTGTGTCTTGAAATCCTTTGATGGTTTCCAGGCAAGGGAAAGAGTGCGTGGCCTTTGTGTTTTGTGTTTTAGAAAAAAAAAACCTCTTGCCATATAAACCATCAAGCAAAAATCCTGTTTGAAATCTTATTGCTAAATTTTCACTTCCTCATTTGCATAGCACCATTGTTCATGCTCCCTCTTTATAACAGTGTAGTTGATAGTAGCCAATAAGAGACTGTGGTTGTCTTCTGCCCTGCATTAAGAATGTAATGGCATCTTGGAGAAACAGGAGGCGCTGTGTTCTGTGCTCTTAAAGATTGCTTTACAACGAGGGAGCACTGCACACTTTCTTCTAGCAGAGCACTGCGTCCAGGCCTCCTTGCAATTTCTTATAAACTTCACCAAAGAGGGCACGGCACGTTCAAGCTTGCATTCCTAAAGGAACAGGCACTTGTAGGGAACGAATCTAGAACTTTATAGAAATTCATCATTTTCTGAGCAAAGAGGGAGAATAACAACCATCCCCAATCTACAGAATCTTGGGTAAAATCTTTCTTTTTTTTTTGCTGTCCTCATTATTCTTCATGAAGATTTAAATGAACCAAAATGAAACCGCGACTGAGCAGCATGCTTTTGCAGTTCCTCGTTTCTTTGCATTGATCTGTATGGTGTGGGCTGAGAGAAGTGAAACGGCTTCTTTTGTCCTCCTGGAGTTTGTGTCCACGGTAACCGAAAGACTTTTTATCTACACACTGCTCCAGGCCACCATCATGTCAGGGAGTACCATGAGCCTCAACCACGAGCCCCAGCCCCAGCGCAGCCTCCTGGGCAGGCAGGCCAGCTTCCAGGAGCGCAGCCTGAGCCGGCCCCAGTACACACCCACCAACCGCAGCAACACTCTTCCAACTGAGGCTGGGCGGAAGGCTTTCGCCATGAGGAAGATCAAGCAGGAGATGAAGGACATCATGTCCCCAACCCCAGTGGAGCTCCACAAGGTGAGCCTCCCTGTTGCACTCCATCAAGCCGGCTTGGCTGCTCGTAAGGTCGTTTTACCGTACGCCACCAAACAAAGGGTCGTGTGGGAGTTGTGTGGGCCTAGCCCACCATAGCTGCTATGGTGGTCAAGCTAAAGAAGAGGGCAAAAAATAACTTACACTGTGGCTTTCCCGTCCTCTTAGGTGACACTGTACAAGGACACGGATGCAGAGGACTTTGGGTTCAGCGTGTCGGATGGCCTCCTGGAGAAGGGCGTGTATGTCAATAACATCCGACCCAGTGGACCTGCTGATCTTGGAGGCCTCAAACCCTACGATAGGCTGCTGCAGGTAGTAATGCTGTGTACAAGCTTTGACAGAGGATTTTGGGTTGCACTGCTCCGTGTTATTAGCCCAGAGCGGGCTGTGATCATCACATTCAAGGAGGGGAAACAACACAGAAACAGGAGAAAGACGGAAACCAGAACGGCTGATTACTTGTGCTTTTCCTTTCTAATTGCAGATCAACCACGTGCGGACCAGAGATTTTGACTGCTGCCTGGTGGTGCCTCTTATTGCTGAATCGGGGAATAAACTGGATCTGGTCATTAGCCGAAACCCCCTGGCCTCCCAGCCAGTGACAGAACTGGATCAGCAGCCCTCAGAAGCTCCCAGTGAGTGGAGCGAACAGAATGATGCTCTACAACAGCCGCAGCAACAGCAGAGTAGCAGATTGGCGGGAGTGGATGCCAGAGAGCCCACAAAAACCTTATAGCAAAGCAAACTTGAATTACAGAGCAATTGAGACCGTTCCCATGGTGCTAAATCACTTTAATAGTGTTTCTCTATGGAAAATAGGGCAGACGTCAAGGATTTGTCAAAGCACACTGAATTCCTCCTAGTATCGAAGCATGAACCAGTGAAAAGCCCTCAGAACTGATTATATCTTCCCTTTATTTGATGGGTGTGTGTTTCAAACCCCTTGTGATGATGATGGTGATCATGAAGACCTATTGATATACAAAAAAGAAAACAGTGCCATCCTTAATTTTGTAATCCAGTAGGACAATACTGCTTTAGGTCATGAAAAATAATCATCTGTTTACAGTAATAATTTAGGATATTGAACTCGTCCACCTGTGTACAAGACAATGATGTGGGTGTTTTAAAGTCTGAAAATCCCTTATCCTTATTCCTAAGGAGACATCCTACAAACCATATGAGGCAGAAATACCGCAGAGTTGCTCCAGGCTTCTCTGTGTCCACCAGAGTCTGAGATGGAAATGATCACGAGGTTTATTCTTGCAGAAGTGGGGTGGCTTGATTCCCAATATTTATTTTTATAAGTAGATTTTTTAAAAAGTATTGGAAAGCCTGCGCTTTTTCATGCAAGCTTTGCCCAAGGTCAGTAGAGATCCTGAAGAAGGAAAAGGGTTTACATCCAGTAAGATGATGAGCTGCCGAGGGTAAGCCTCCTGTACATGAGAATACTCCTGCTGTGAATAAGGCTCAAGCAGGAATTTGGCTTAATCCCAATGCATCTTAACTGCAGGCTGGAAGCTTACTGCATGTGACGTTTTCTGTTAAAAGATGTACGCAACAAGAGAAGAAAAATATTTGGCTGGTTTCAGCAAGATGAATTTTCAGTCTATTTTTTTTTCCATTTAATTCTAGACCCATGCTTTATAAAGAAAACTACAATACACCGTGGCTAAAAAACACAAAGTTGGGGTTTGCTAAGATGTAGCATATATTTACCCTTTAAATGTAGCCATACTGGTCAGATAGTCAAAATGGAGATGTCTTTTCCTTGTAAATCTGCCTAATATGCAATGCAGCCACTATTTTCCAGGAGCACAGCTCTCTCTCAATGCACCATGAACACCCAGAGATTTTGGAAGAAGCCTTAAAGAATATTTGTTTATTCAGACCTGGTGTGCAATCTAATGTATACAGTGGATACTAAAATCTAAAAACTCTCTATGTTCTTTGTACAACTCAAAATGTAGTTTTGCAGTGAGTATGTGTCAGCTGCTGAGATCTGTGCACAAGATCAGAAGGCCTGCATAGACTTCACCTATAACTATTCTTGAGTTAAAGCCAGGGGTTTAGCCTTCAAGATTTAGCACAAGGCCCAAGGCAATAAAAATTCAACAAGATCCTCCAAAAATGTCCAGTCAGAGCATGTGAAATAGGAATTTTGCTTTTTGATGAAAGACGTAAGATATCCAACTGTGGTTATTCCACCTGAGCCCCAACTTGCAATTAAATTATGGCTTGTAGCTTAAGAATCTGTACAAAAATGATTTTGTGATTATTTTAATCAGTACAGTGGTTCCTAAAATGTGTGACATGATGTGTGTTCAGGGGGAACATGGATAAATTGCAAAATGTAGCTGGGTGAAGAGAGAAGGTTTAGGAAAAAGATATCGCCTAACCTTCCCCCCAGTTTAATTCACTTCAAACACAACCAGGTAAGGTCTGAAATGAATGAAGGTGGAGTCTTTGGCCAAAAGCACTGTGAACTTCCCTCATTTATACTTGAAACTGCAATAACATCTGAATTTTGTTCTGGTGTTGCAGCTTTGAAAATCACACGGACCACACTTACATGATAAAATGCTCTCTATAAGGCACACGTTTTATTTCATTCTAACTGGGATACTTCTTCTACAGTCAGTAGACCCTTTATGGCACAGGGAAGCCATGATATAAAAGGTTTGGGAACCACTGGATTAGTGAATCCATAAAATCAAGTATTTCCAAAACTGTTGCATTAGCCCATTAAAGGCAGGCATGAGATATAGGGACAACTTAAGATGTGAGGCTCCCTAATTATGTGGTAATTGTAAAAAAAAAAAAGTCAAATGTGTACATGCAGCTTTTTGCATGTAACTCTACAATGGTTATGTGCATATTGCATCAACTAAAAAAAATGGTTATGGTGTCCCATAAACTGACCATATGTTAACGAACTTGAACCAGATACAATCTGGATACTAAAAAAAAAAATCTCATTGGCATGCATGTGCCAAGGGAACTCCAGTACAAACATGTCAGGAAAGGGTTCAATATGACCAAGCAGTTCAGTTTACAGACAATTACAAAGATTAAAATTAATTAGGTTTCCAAAACAATCCCTTTAAAATGATTAGGGATACTTTGTCATAGGTTGCAATTTTGCTACCAAAAAACGTCTGTGTCTCACTGATGTTAGTGCTTGTACACTGAGTGGGAAGGAGGTACAACCCTTATTTAAACATTTTGCGTACACGTATTCTATTTTCTTAATTTCTGAATAAACTGTGGTGATTACATCTAGCCATCTAGCCTCGATACACAAAAAGCAAACAGCCAAGTAGCAAAAGAGTGTTCTTGCAGATGATTCAGCCTCAGTCAATCATCAACTTTTCCCTCCATTGCCAACTTTTTATATATGGCAGCAAGCATGAGGTTATAATAATCCAAGTATCTGCAACTGTGCTTTTCTACTTTGTATTTTTTCCCTGGTTTCAGTAAATGTTGAATATGCTAGTGTATGTGGAACTGACTTTATTAAAAGGGTATGTTTGTGTACCTTTCGTAGTGTTTCAAGTTGGCAGCTCAGATGAAAAGGCTGTTCAAACACAATTATTTGTGAAATGGCACTTGTATGTTTGCTCCGAGAGTTTGGGGTTTGTAAAATCGCTGTATGTTCAGTATCTTTTTTTAAAAAAAATACAGTGCAAATTTTGCAAATGTCAGTCCTTGATTTGACACTGAAAATATGTACAAAGAGTACCCAAATACAAAAAAACAGGCTTCCTTGGAAAACAAACCTGAAATAGTTGTCTGTAAAATAGTGGCTTTATTAATGGATGTGACCCTTGTTATCAGTGCTCACTAGAACACCTCAATTCTATCCACAAAATCACACTTGTATGCTTCAAACAGCATCAATATACTTATTTAAAGTAAATGCAGCTATCCATTAGAATGTGCATTCCAAAAACAACTGATTCACCTTAACTGTTTAACTACAAATTTAATTAGGAAGATTTTTTTTCTTTACATCCATTGCTCGATCCACATTCAGGTACGTGCTTGTGTTTGAACTTTAAAGACTTGCAAAGAGAACCTTTCTTTCCCACCAAAATCAGCAATTACCATCCATCTCTGATAATGTTCAGCCATAAGTAACTGATGAGCTTAATGAAAAACATTAGTGGTTAAAGTTTTTTTTATTTCTATGATATTTTAGTACTGTTTGATTAATACTTTACTCCTGTGATTCTACTGTAACATGGCATATTTATATTTGTACAATTTTTTGCAAACATGCTATATTTGCACCTTTGTTATTTATATAACATCACATTCTTATCTGCTTATGTACAAAGAAAAACAAACTTGTGTTTCTGCTTTAAAGTTTTTTTTTCCTTCTTGTTCTCCCTTGTGGGGACAGTTAAGTGGAATTTAGCACTGCCAGTAAAACAAATGATTAGGTACCCATAAATAAATTAAGGTAAATTAAAATCAATTTCACACGTAAGTCCCTTAAATATTGTATTTTTATTTTTAATGAACAAGTATTATAATCTGTAAAGTATTTTTGTACAAATTTAATACTTTGGTAGCATGATATTTATCGTCTATGTATAACTTTGGGAATTCCTACAGTTGTAAACCTTTGTATGGAAAAAAAATAAAATAAAAGATATACAGAGTGGTAAAGGTGCAGACATGACTAGTTCATTGGAAATGTTTAATTGTGTTTAGAAATGGCAGAGTTAAAATTAGTTACAACACAAGCAAAGCCAGAGTCACAGGATGGCTACACTGTCATTGTTTTTTTCTGACATCCAGTTCGCAGCAGAAATGACCAAAGCTAATTCTCTTAAAACTATTTAAGAGTTGCAGAGTTAAGTTTTCTCCTTAACTCTGCAACATGCTAAAATATCTAAAATCCTTCTCTAAAATACTTCCGAGACATTTTCTGCCAGTTTCTTTAAGCCAATTAACTCAAAATCTGTACTTCCAAATTACGCCCTGTACTCCCACAGTCTTCAAGTCTCAAGATAGGACAAGAAACTGCACTGTCTCTCAAATTCTGCAACTTTTCTCAATACCAGGCTCCTCCTACAGTAGGTTCATTTTCTATCATAACTTATTGATCTCACAGACAAGCTCCAAAGAGCCGTGGCTAGTATTTGATTACATCTGCAGATCTGAACTAATAAAGTCAGCAGTTTTGCAAGAAACTTAATTTGTCAATTAAACTTGATGATTATGGTTTCTGGAGTATAGTTTATAAATACAAAATCTCAGCAATGGGACATCTAAACATAATATTTAAAAAAAACAACCTGCAAGATCTTACTTTTTAATGTCAAGAAATGTTTTTTTAAAAGAGTTAAGGCAACTTTTTCAGTGCAAAATTCTTGTCAAGTGTTCTCTATTGCAGTCTGATTCCAGTTTTCTATTACTTTTTTTTGCATAGCAAGAGTATAAGCAGCACTGAACGCCCATTTAACGGAGCTGTGTCCATGAAAACATGGCCTGAGTAGCAGTTTAACTCTTGCAGCAAGGTAACTTGCACGGGTTGGGGTTGGTCAGTCCTCTGGAGGTGGAGGTGGGAAAAGTTGCCTGGCTCTTGAGCTGGAACTAGGACTGGCCAGTGACAAGGACTGAAGTCGAGAGCTGGACAGCGGAGACTCCGCTGCCACTTCCTGTCGAGACATGAGCAGAATGCATGATGGAACACAGCAGGAAGATAGACAACCAATCAGACAAGACCTTATAAGGGAGTTGACACACTCAGATTCAAGACTACAGTCTGTTAACATAAGTAATTTGATGGGTTGTAAAGGGACAAACAGCAATGGATTTTTTAAGCATGTATCATTGTACAGTACTTTGGGGTTTTGAAAGGCATAAATAAAATGTATTATGAAAGAAAACAAGGCTACAAAAAGATTTCCATTACTTTGGGGGTCAGGTGCTGAACAACTTACTTTCCATAGTGAAATTTAGATATTTCCTAAATGTGTAACATCACCTCTTCTCATTCCCATTCCCTAAAATGTGTAATAATGACATAGCGCAAGGACAAAGAGTGATTCTGCAACATAAGCCTGAATCATGTTAGCAATGATCAAATATAATTTCACTTGAGGCAGTATTTTATTTAACAACAGGTTTGAGTAGGAAGCTGTGTCACCGTGCGTAGGCTGATAAGGAACAGGCAAAAGTTAGTTCCATTCTGAAACGCAAAGACAAGCAACTTTTTGTAGATTCAAATTGCTGTGTCTCTCTGCTTTTCATTTCTGCAAGGACTAAATCTTTACCTATTTAACAAGCCACATATCCTGTATGATTTAGGCCAATTCAAACCTTTTCAGCATATTCACCATAAAAGTGCAAAATACATTCTTCTCTTTATTCTCTCAAGGCGTGTCTTTCATTAAGAATTCAGCGCATCGCAAAACCCAAGGAGGGGAAAAAGACTAATTATCTAGACCTTCTCCATCAGTATTCAATAATTCAAATTGAAGTGAACGATAAAACTTGTAAATAATGAGCCTACCCACTGGAACTGGAACTGAACTGGAATTACATTCTCCTTTTTATACATATGTAAATATAATGTTTCAGTCACAATAAAAGAAACATTCTTCGATAGTGTGAAAAAACAAAAAGCATGCACTACGAAATTAACAGAAAGCTGCTCCCTCAGTTACTTTTGTTTGTATTGTACATCTACAGCCAGGAAATCAAAAGTCTGACACAGCTCAGTTGGGGTATGGAAAATCACAATATGCTTTTTAATAGAGCTAGTGATTAGTGGTTTGAAATAATCTTCTAACTTTGCAACTATGAGCCACATCTATTTTGATATTGGTACACCCCAAACCCCAAATTGAAGGAAGCCCGGATTATTTTTTCCAGATTTTCACAAATTAACAAAATCACACTATGGCTCAAACCAAAGGCAGGTCCAGATTAATTTTGCAGCCATTCTTTGCATGTAGAGTATTTTACTTAGAATCTCAATTAAGGTATTTTAAAAGCTAAAAACTTTAAATAATATTGCAGTGCACATACCAATTTATACGTGGATGTTTTGGATGAATTACACAGGTATTAACAGCCTGTCAGCACTTATTAAACTACAGTACTCAGAAAGCATTTAACAAAGATTTAGAAATACAATAAATGCATAAGAAAAATACTGTATAATCAATGCATATCTAAATGTAAACCATTTGCTGTCACCGTTTCAGAAAATGTAGGTTAACCCAATAAAATAATCAATTTAAAAAGTAAATGTACCATCCTTCTATGAAAGACTGTCAGCATGCTTAAAACTAAGAACATTAAGCATTGAATTAGTATTTCGTATTAAAGAATAAACAATTAAAGTGGAACAATACAAGTAGTCTTTTTTCTAATGGAGAAAATGTTCATACATGAATTATTTTCCATAAAGCCTGAATATTTCCAGTTTAATTCTGAAAACACTTACCTAAATTTAAATCAACAAACTCAACGCCCCAAAATGTTATAAAGCATGGTACTATCAGCTTTCTGTTGTAGCCAATATAGCGATGACTTAGTTGATAACCAAGCTGCTCATTTTCCAAATGCCTTTTCACTGTTTTGGATATTACGTTACAAAATGTTTATAGAATATATTGTAAACAGTTGCATAGTTTGTATTTTTCCTTGTTTTGTCACATTTATTGCACTGACTACACGGTCTCACTTGGACTCCTGAAAAGTTAGATTGACATTAATGGTTTTCTACGTTCTAAACAATGATTAACAATAAAATTACATTCTTCCTTGAAAAGTGGTGAACCATCATTAAAAAGTGTGCGCACTGGCAAAAGCTGGACCTGACCAGCAAGTTCTGGGAGAAGCTTGTGAGTCCAATAGTCCCGATAAGATGATTCCACCTGCTTTCATTATTCTAGAGCACGGCCTTCTAGACCAGCATCAGCTGGAAGCAGTTGTCAGTGAAAAAGTATATCGGATTGCTTGAAAACCTGCTTTTGCACTGAGGCTGCTGTATCCTGCATAAGCAACACAACTATAGGTTCATAACTCACGCTTGCCCACTGGCACAGCCCTCAGGAATTTAGTACTGACAAGTACCCGCACTTCAACAGAGAAATAAACCCAGGGGAAGATGACCTACGAGCCGGCTCCTTACTTGCTGGAAATATTACAAAATGTTACCTCGTATGCTTAGAAGCTGTTGGAAAACGGAAGTAGAATCAAAACGTTTATTCTGATCAAAATTAAAATGTTTTTTCATCAGTAGCACACAGGGACACGGCTAAAATGTCTCTTCTACAGATGTGATGCTTTTGTTGTTGGGGTTGTCTGTTATGACAGCAGGGGCTTGCCACATGATTGGCTATGAACTCTGGGTCCTATGAACCCCTTCATTTTCATGGAAGTAATTCTGCACCTCCTGAGGCCCCCAAAACAATAAGTCAAATTAAAAACTAACCACCAGAAACACGTCCCATCAAAGTTCTAGCAGCACAACTAATTTAGTTACCTAAAATCGAGAAAATCGACTCGATTGAAGTGCACAAATAAAAAATGTGCTAAATGTAAATGGATACTTCAGATGAGTTAAAATCTCTTCTCTTTATTAATGTTTCTGTGACTGATTTCAATTATCACCATTAAATATGTAAGGTTCCAAAGAAAGATATCGAATTTAAAATTGTAAAGATAAAGTAAATAGAATTTTACTCTTACCCTTGAGATCTTCGATGGTGTGTGACTGCCATTGCTGGTGCTTTTCTGCCTCTTAACGCCACACGGACTTCTGGAATCTGTTTCACTGTTCCTAAAAGAATCCCCAGAGCTGCCCTGATGATCACAGGGGCCAGGCAGAGCACCAGAGTCCAGGCCATTCGTCTTACCCTTCCCAGCATTCTCTGCATTAGGGACAGGGGGACTCTGAGTGTCCATGGGAGACCAGGAATAAGCCTGGGAGAAAGCTATATCATCCAAAAGAGACACATCTGCAGTGCCTGAGTCTCTAACTAAGAGGTTTTGCCGAAGTAAAGGGGTTGTGGAGCACTGGTCCTGAGGGAGCCTTTGAGAATTTGCGGACAACGACGTGGATGGAGTGGAACTCGGGCCCGACGGTGCTCGGTGCGGGGTGGAGGAGGTGGCCTGGTTCCGCTTGTTCAGCTCCTTTCTCACCATCTCCTTAAGCTGTGTATTTCGGACAGGAATACTGCGTTCAACCGCGTTTTTCAAGGCATCCTTATTGCCCACCACATAAACCCGTCTGCGCCCTCGTGTCACCGCCGTATAAATATGCTGCCAATTTTCTCCTCTTCCGTCACTGAGAGCATACACTATCGTCTCTGCTTCTGAACCCTAAGACAAAAAGAAGGCTATGAGATTTTGGGCTAAAACTCTGACAGGGAAATTGTATAAATAAGGTACTTTAGAGTTTTCACTGTGATTAAGGCAATAAAACACTCTTTATATCACATACCCTTTTTTAACAAAGTATACTTGTTAAAAAGTATATATGATGTGACATGGTATTTTTAGCTAAACACGACAGGAAGGGAAAATATGATTCAGTGGAAGTCTTCCAATAGCATTATGGCTAGAAATAGAGGAAAATAGATTATCCTCTCTCCAAAGGGGACTTATCAATGTGTATGAGAGACATATTCCAATAGCCAAGATGGACAAGAGTTTTGAGATGCAACAATTTTCCACAGCACCTCAAAATTCCTCCCACTTGTCAAGTATCAGAACTACCAAGTTTCTTTCTGATGCATATTTTCCTGTCAGGAATTCTGGCTTCCAACATCATTGTTTTCGATGCAGACTAAAGAAACCCTGAGTGTCAGACTAGTCTCTGCTCCAGGGTGCTGAGGCTGGTTCGGTGTGCAGACCTGGAAGGTGTGGATAGTTCTGGCCCAGGCGTGTTTCAATCGGCACTCCCTCTGCAGCTCCCTGAACCACACACAGAGCTCCCGGCAATCTCCGTCGACTAGCGTCAGGTAGCGCTTTTTATCTTTCTCTTCATCCTGCGCACGAACAAAAATGAAAGAGCCGTCTGCCTCAGAATGAGTTTATTCATCTACGACTTCAAACAGTCACAGAAATGAGTAAATCAAAAAGAGATGTCAGTAGAGGGTAAAAACTAACAAAAGATGCGTCAACCGGTTTTATTTTCTGTGACTTTTACTCCATACAACAGAGTCTAAGAACAAAGACTTGTACAACTGTTTTTTGTAGTAAGACATACTAATAAATCATAATCTGAATTATACCGTAACATGATAGTGATTTTTGGTTTGCCAGAAGGTCCTTGTTTTCTAGCCATAAAGCAGTATTACCTCCTTGAATCCAGTACTGTGATGGGCAATCTCTAAGGACATTGCCACTGTGAATGATTATAGCAGACCAGTGGGCAGCACTCTCCCTCTCTGCACCAGAATTGCCAAACCTATGCTTCAGTGTGGCGACAGTGGGCACTGCTGGCCTTCCGCAGAGTTGCTCAACTCTCTCGTGCTTATTGGTCATTAAAGATCCCCACTGAACTTTTCGAAAGAGGTGGAGTATCAGCCTCAGTGTTCCTGCTAAGCTCCACTCACAACTTGTACCATTAGGCCTTCCTAAAGTTCCTCCTTATGTCAAACGGAGAAGCAATTTCTCACTTTTCCACCAGGCTTGCTGTGTAGTGTGACGTCCGGAGCATTTTCCTTCTTTTGGATGGAAAGCATTATATAAATAAAACTGCTATTTTATAACCTGCCACAAAATACTAGACTTTCATCTCATCTCGTCTGTTCAGCTGGATAAGGCTGTAGTTTTTATTTATTCAGGTATACGTCTGCTTCTGAATACAGAAATTACTTGCAGGTATATGGGGTCTTTTTCAGAACAACTTGGTTATGTCAGAGGGCTGTTGAACACAACAGGTGTCTTACCCTGGTTATAAAGAATATTTCCCCATTGCAGAGCCGCACAGTTTCCTTATGCTTCTCGTCCACTTCCTGATTAAGGTCTCTTTCCCGTGTCCGTTCCAAAACGTTGCCGTTTTTCGTGCAACACACTTTGTCGCCAGGCTGAAACTTAAGCTTGCCTTTGTGGTTCCTAAAATGGCAAGAACAAAAGGCACAAACACACAAAACTGAATTTGTTAACAGTGATAATGAGGACAGTAATGATTATAACTGTTCTTAGCACTTGTCCAAAGAAGTTTAACAAATTGAAGGACTGAAAACCTCAAAAGGTTTCAAAAAAGCCCTTCTGTTGTATTTCTGATTTCACTTTCTTTGTGGAAGCTTTCTGGATTGTCTAATTACTGTACAGTATGCTTGCGTGATTACCCTTCAGATTTATCTACAATCACTGGATTTAGCTACAAGTATAATCACTGGATACACTGGAAAGTGTATATTCTAAATATGAAGTCACAGATGAAAACTAAGACAACAATAAAATGAGGAATCATTGTAGAAGCATGAATGCTTTTGTAAAACACCATTTTATCATGAAAATGAGTTAAGTTAAGGGCATATTACCATGGAAAAATGTAAAATATAATCAGAAAGTCTAAAAATCTCAAAGACAGATGTTGACTGTAATTTAATTAAATATTAAATGCACAGAAAACCAAACATACAGAAGGCAATTAGTCATTCTGGTCTTGACAGGAGACCATGCATTAGGTAAAAACTCTATTCATTACAAATAGTATTCCATACTGTTGCCTTGAGCAGTACTGCTCTTTTCAGTAATATACTGTAAATCCTCTCTTAGTAAACTGTAGATTCTGAAATGTCCTGTTGCATTTCTTGTTATGAAACATCTATGTTATTCATGTTTCAAAATGTTTGTTCTTATTCCTTACTAGAATGAGTATCCTTCATTATTTAGATATTTTGTCTTCACACTGCAGATACACCTATTTAAACACAATACAACCCAAAACAAAATCTAATTCAGGAGAGTGTTAAGAATTTTGCTCATCATACAAACAGTGGGTACAGATAAAAAAGTGTTCCAAATACAGTTGTTTTTTTTAACAATCGTCCGTTTCAAACCATTGATGTAAAGCCGCACGATGCAACGAAACAAAGCGAAATATCCCCATCTAGTGGTTATTTGCGGGACTTTCTTCTACGTCAAAGACAAAACACGTTTTTTTTTCCCATCCGAGTGCAACCCAAGTAGACATTTCAATGAAACAAGAAATCCCAAAGTAGAAAAAAAGGCAACAGACTGCACAAAATAATAAGACCTAAGACATTATTCCATGCAGGTTTTCTGGGAGGATTCAAAATCATTGACTGCAGGAGAGAGTTTTATGCAACCAAATGAAAACTATTTTAAATAGTGTTTGGTTGTAGTTGTTTAAGGTTAAAGAATTAATGCCTGCGAACAATACCTTCCTCTGTCACCAAGAAAATCTGTATTTTTACCCTTCTTCCCCACAGAGAGATGATAAATCAATACAAATCTTCCAGCTGTTCTTCATGGTCATCCTGTTCTGCAGCTGTTGCAGTTTATTCTTAAACTTTAAACCTCATACGCTTTCTAACTCTCTCCCAGGAAATTATTTCCATGAATTGTCAATATTCTATGCAGATTTATCGACCTCTTACAGCTGTCTATGAAAAAGGCAACGTCATAACATTCTACAATGAACCAAAATTAGTTGCCTTAGCAACACTGAAAAAACTGTTGTCAATCTTACCAAGCTATTAAGCAAGATAATTGATACTTTAGCCATGACAGAGTTTGTCAATAGCCCTTTCGCTCTGAAGACGGTTGAGTCACAACTAGAAATACAAAATATTTTGAATACATGTGAAAAAGACTACTCAAAAAGAACAAACCAGAACTGAGACTCTCTTCAATCTTCATTTCTCCCAAACGACATACAGAATAGCAACCCAAATAATTCTGAAGTCAAGACCATCCCAGCTCAGTCATCCAGTTTATTTTCCCATTTTCTTAATTTTCTGCATTTATCATTCCAAGAAAGAGGAGTTTCAAAGTAAGTTTATACGCTTCTTACCTAGTATTGTGACCGGAATAGTGCTTGCAGCAGAGTTCGTTTATTAAGTCACAATCTTTCCTGAAAGAACAGTGAGAGAACAGAAACAAATTATGTAAATCAGGATAGCACAAATTAATTTCTGCACTAGCTCAATATTAATAATAAGTACAGGTCGTAGCTATTCAACATATTTTGATCTTTCAGACGGCTTCAGAAAAAAAGGCACAGTTGGGTTAGATATAAAAGTTACAATTTGGGCACACAAAATACACATAAAAATCCTTAACACCGGTTTAAATAATCCTGAAAATGAACGTTGTCTTTGTGTTCTTAGAATAGCAGAAAAACGCCTTTAAGGTGTTCGCATTAAGCGTACAGCTAGTTTCAGACGAGTTCTGAATGAAGAAAACATTCTATAAAACTCGACAATCCCAAGTGAGACCAAGAACAGTGGTGAGGTTTGGGTTTAACCCTTTAACGCATGTACGCATTAATCGTTTTCTCTTCCCTTTCAAAAATAAACATTTCCTTTTGTTAAAATCGCCTTGTAGCAAAGGGGTTACAAGCTTTTCTAGCAAAAAAAAGTGCAGGGCTGCAGAGCTGACAGCGATTGCCGAGTGCTGAGGCGTCTGCCAGCTCATCAATTTCTCCGCTTCGAGTTACTGTACAAGAAAGAGTGCTGGCAGTCCTCCCTCTCAACCTGGGGGCCAAGGGCACTTCTCAAGAGGATTGGCTAAGCAGTAAAAGGACTGCGATATATTTCTGCTACGCTGAGCTTTTCCTGCGAATGAGAGGAATAATGAGCAGCAGAGCAACCTTCTTGCACTGCTTTGTAAAATGTGAGCTTGATTGCTTAGGACTTGAAGAGAGAGCAGGTGAGTAGAATGCAATTGCTACACCTAAACGTCCTTACAGATACTAATCAAGGGACTATGATTTGTTAGACTGTAAGGTGACCTAGGACACTGTACTGTTGGAGGAGGTATCTTTCGGAGGAGATGTTAAACTGAGGTCCACACTACTTGCCATTAAAGATCCCTTGGCACCGTTTGCGGGAGTTGAGGTGCTAACCCGGGTGACCTGGTTAATTCCACATGGGCTTGCACAATCTGACCTCTCCGAATTCCCCTTATGTTAATTTGGTGAAGTAGCTCCTTACACCTCCATCTGTTCTGTTCTGGAGAACGGTTGCAGTCACACAACAGCTGCCAAGCGTCACCTAACTGGGTGCTATATCTGTCACTGAGATAAAGTTGTCCCCTCCTATATGTAAAGTACTTTGGGATCCACTTAGTAATCATCACCATCTGCCTGCATGACTACTGCCATTGGTCCATTTGCTGCACAATTGTGTATGCTATAGTCTTTTTACAGAGGCAACAGCACGGAAGAAAGCAATGCCTGATGTACAGTACAGTATACAGTAAGTCCACCTGTTGGTAACAGTAGAAACCAGTATCTGTGATAGCAATTACTTCTCATGAGGTTTGCAACATCTAACTTTAATGTGACAAAGCATGAGTGCTTTGCCTGTCCAATAGGAAGGATTTTATTAAGATCTGAAGGGAGCAACAGGATGAAGTAAATTGGTCTTGAGATAAAAGTATGCCTCCCTCTTATCAAATCATAGCTCCACATCTCATATCTTGATTCCTCTTAAGACTCAAATTAGCTACACAGCAAAGCAGGCATCGTGAGAATTAAATGACTTTATAAACACAGAACACAGAGCAACACTGAGCCCTGTGATCCCAGACTAGAGTAAGAGAACCTGACGTGCTGCCTATGAGCCAAGTAAATTAATCAGAGTAGTGACATTCTCACTTGGGTTCTCTTACCTTCGAAATGCAATGAACTGAGAGGAGTTATGATCCGTCAATCCAGGGGCTGACTTCAAAAGCAATTTGATTGCGTCTTGTAGCTCTGAAAAATACATCCACCATCTTTTAAAAAAGAAATGCGAGTGCGCTGTGTGAACTCGGTGCACACCACAGGGGTTAGGTTCAGCAGGAATGTATCTGACAGGGAAAAGGTTTTTATTTGATAACCAAGAACTCCGGATTAGTATTTCCCAGCAATGGAGCACAGCGACAGTATATGCGTCTTTCTTCATCTCTAAGAAATCTACAGGAATTATGCAAGCCTAAAGTGCATGCTGTTAAAACCTCCCTGTTAAAACAGGGCACACTTTACAATCTCAGTAAACCAAAGGGATTTTAGAATATCAACCACAGAGATAAAAAGAGAGTAGGAAACCAAGAAATCAAAAATTAGAAAAAAATAAAACTATCTTACAATTTACAAAGAAAAAAGGGCCTAAGACAGATGAAAGGCTAACCTAGGTTTTTGAAAAGATAAGCAGAATCAACTCTTAATCCCAAACCGACTGTCTGTTATACTTTATACAACAAGACTGTAGGCGGCTCTGCTTCAAGGAGGTGTGCCTGGAGGAAATATAATGAGATTGTTCTGTTGTCTCCCAGTGTTTAATACACCTGACTGATTCAACATGAGCATAATTACTGTAACTGAAAGACGGCAGGGTAGGCCGTATCAGTTTTGGCACACATCTTCGAGAGCTTCACGGAAAAGGTTCCATAGCAATCTTCAGAGATGTAATTGCAAAAACCAAATCTCCAAGTGCCACTCTGGGGCTGTCTAAACAGAAACACAGCAAGCCACTGCCCGTGTGCCTTAAAATGACTGAAACACAGCCATCAGTTTGATGTAACCCACGGAATTATAAATCCATCATACTGCCAAGTTGGTTTATTTTGTTGGCACAATCAAGATTCTAGCAGGCTGCACGCTATGGATTCACTTCTCACCACAGGTATTCGCCTCAGTGGGAAGACAGATGAAAACGAAGCTCTTGTCTAGCGTGGGCATTGTGACTGAAGGGCCACTTCCACCAAGCTCCACGGTGGCATCAAACTCCAGAGGATAATAGCTTCTCTTCTTGCCCATGTCTGATATTCTAGAAAGGCAAAGTGAAAAGTTATGTTTATTTATAGAGACAGTACAGTTTCACCTGCATTAAAACGGTCAGATAATTGTTAAAAATTACACTGCAAATCAGAATCATTATTATTAAATGAAAGCCGATCGGCTCTACATTTAGATCCTGCTTCTTTGTAGCCACATGTAATTATTGCAACAACATTCTTCAGCTTTACATTTAAGTGCAATGCTTCACAGTTCCAATAAGCCAAGAGATATATAAATGATGAATTTCTCATAATATTTATGCTATTACTTCAGTCTCTATGCACTTTGGATTCACATTTTATTTACATTTTTAAAATTGACAACAGATGCAAAGTCAGAGTTTTGGACTCTAGATAAGCAACAAAACATCAATAGTTCCGTTCTGCCGACACACTGTAAGAGTTGGCCTATATAATAACAGTATCAACAAGTATGCAGAGAATTCATAAAGAACAGATGAACAACGTATTGGGCTGGGATTTGAAGGATTAATACGTCTGTGCCATCAAATGACCACCAAAAAACAAAAAAAAAGCTACAAAAGACAAAAACTATTAACATTAGGTAATTATTTTCCATTATAGTAGGCAGAACTGTATTATAGTTCTCCTGTCTTTACCTTTGGTTAAACCATCTTTCACAGCCTGCTTATTCCACAATGAACCTGTGAAACTCTGTCACAGACCAATACATACAGGCCTAAAAGCACACTGCTTGGATATTAGTGCAAGAACTGACAAATAATAAGCCATTTTAAAACTAAACTCACAAAACACACAACTTTGGGGGAAAAAGGATTTATCTGGGGTCTACTGCTTGGAATTCATTTGAAGTACCAACAATGACCTCACAAGATCTGGTTAATCCCTAAAGAACAGGTGTTTGCAAAACTCTGCCAAGCTCCTCTATAGCGCAAGTAAGGCTACAAGAACATTAAGCGATGGCATGAATGTGTGAGAAAGCAATACTTTGAATGGCACTCCTGCTCTGAAAAGGAAATCAATAGACCCCAGTATCAGATGCTGTTTCAGAAGGGTATTCTCCTGGGACTATCTGTGATGTCATACCCCAAACACCTAATCCAGTAAAGGAGTACCTCATCAAGTAAATGAACTCAATCACAGCATATGATGAAACCTACAGTCCAGATGTCGATGTGGAGTTCTAGGCCATGTCACTGGCAAGCTGTAATTAAGAGAGAGGCAATAGTTCTCCAGCCGATGTTAACTCCAGTAAGGCACCAGCATAGCAAGGCAAGACAAACCAGGTATGTTGTAGCACAGCCAAGTATGTGTAAATCCACATTAAAAGGGCAGAAAAAGAAAATTTAGTAATTGTCATTTTAAATAAAAATAATAAAGAGAAGATCCAATAGCAAAACGTTAACACTATTGTCAAAACAATGTTTTCTATAAAGATTGTTCTGAAACACGAACAAGAAAAGGGAAACTTTATAGAAGTGTGTTTAGATGTACATTGCTTATGGAAAAACACGAATAACGAAGCCTTTTCAACCAGCATCTGTTATTACATCACACAAGATTAGATATGAAAGGTCAAAACTAAACAGCCAGCATGAAGTCTGAAGCTGTTTCAGAACTAATGTGTTGTGTCCACAACAATGCTGCAAAACAGACACAGCAAGTTCTCAGTTCTATAAACAATTATACTGGAGCACCACCTGTAGAATATGAAATCTGAGTTTATACGTTTGTACAATGATTGACTAGTCCACGCATTCTCAAATTGAGATTTCAATGAGGGCTTTAAAGGCAAAACCATCAGAAATGGTGAGCACAGAAAAGATAATGCCAAAGTTAATACAGGATGCTCAAGCAAAATGGTACATAAGCTGTTTGCTAAAGTTGAAAAGAAACCCGCAGCAGTCTCATCAACACTGAGCCGCATACGGACATTATGGCCTGGTGCTCTGTGGCGTCTGGAATTCCACAGGAGGGATGCAACACCCTGTCTGATTGACGGAGGTGGAAAGGTTTCGGACATCAGGCCAGAATATGCCTTAAACGCACAATTGGGATCAGATCTGGTGTCTAAGAATGGTCACCGTGATCATTAATCCACAGGCCGACCACGTCTGCTCTATGGAGAGTGGCATGGTCATCCTGGATGACACCCTTCCCAGCAGGAAAGAAACGCTGCTTCAGGGAGTGCAGAACAGTAGATCGCTCAGTTTCATTAAGTAATGAGTAGCATTGTCCTTGCCTTCTAAGGAAATGAGGGCACCCAATGGATGCCAGGGTAATGCGCCCCACAACATGAGAGAACCACCAGAGCCCTTTACTGCTGGAGCCAAGTACTCAGGGATGTAGAGTCTTTAGACTGGCACCAAACGTGCATTTATCCATTTGCAGGCAAATTGGTGAAGGATGATTCATCTGACCATATCTACTCTTTCCACTTCTCAGTAGTGCGTGGCTTGTGATCTTTGCACCACTGCACATCCAGACAGGAATTGCCAGGTGTAATGAGCTGTCTGGCACTTCAACCTAACTATAGTCCTGGTCTGTGGTGTTCTTGGTGGACTGTTTTTGATTAAACTGGCTGCTCGTGTACCAGATTGAAATTTGTAGTTGCTCACCTGTTTTGCCGTGCACTTTGAATTAATGCACAGATGTCACAATCCTAGAATATGTGCTTCTGTCCACTGATGTCCTTTGCTCCATGCATCCTAGACACTAGCGCTTGTGAAACATCAGTAGGTTGAGCTGTCTTAGTCACTGAAGCTCCTGCCAAGCTCACCCCAAGCATCACCCCTCTTTCAGTCGCTGAGCTTTCTTCTTGCTGGCCAGAATTGTAGACAATCAGGCCTCATGAGTATGTTCATACATGCCCCTAGGCAAGACTCACAGCTGTTACTTGCTTAAATAATACAAGAACCACGTCTATGTGGAAGCCTTTTGAATTCACAATATTTTTTGTATCCCCCCACTTACCCTTATAAAAGGTGTTTTCATCTTTTTTTCTACTACCTGTACACATACCAGCAATAAGCACCTTCCTGTCAGTCAGATGGACATGAATACATAATGAAAGCTACAAGCAAGAGGGAGCCATTTAACCCTTTCTGCTCTTTAAGCTACTTAAAAAAACCCGACAGAATCGCACGCAACATCTAAAATGGAAACTTATGTTAATGTTCCTTTATTAGCCCTATACAATTTCTTGCATTAGGAATTCGTCTTTTCACATACCCCCTGCTTTTCTCCATGGAGACACGAGACACAGACAGGGAGAGAGGCTTGGGGTCAAAGCGCAGGGTCTGCCATTGTACAGCGCCCCTGGAGCAGTTAGGGTTAAGGGCCTTGCTCAGGGGCCCAATGGAGTAGGATTCCTCTGCCGGCCGCAAGATTTGAACCGGCAACCTTCCAGTCACAGGCGCAGATCCTTAGCCACAGAGAATAAAAAATGTCTGCCACAAATAAAAGGGAGTACTTCATGAATATGGCTTGTAATCTTGCAAATTGTACAATCTTGGAAATGTTAGGATGTGTCACAGTATATTCAGTATTTTATTGGGGAACTTACCAATAATTTACTTCCTTTGGGGAAGCACTATGAAACTGAAATGACTTCATATGATAAAAAAACAAGAGCCAGAGCACAGAATTTAAAACAACAAAAAATCTCCCATTTTTCTCCCATGGGACAGCTTGTAGATCAAGACTGCACTTACTGGTTTTCCTTTTTCTTATAAATACATGATTTTTGTGTATCATGCATAATTCACCATTCACTACAGTTGCTTCTAAATCATTTGCCTGCACTGCCCTCACTGTTTCTTTCTCACTGTTCAGTTTTAGGAATAAATATATATTTTTAAATGTTGGACTTGTGAATCAATGACAGAAATCTCATTACCACCATTCTGGCTCTTACACTGCAGCATTTGGAAACATCCGTATATATATATGAAAAATAAAAAAACGTCCCCTACTTACTGCCCGGCATTATTGACAATCAGCTGGGATTCTGCACGATGGTTGGTTTTCATTTCCACAGCCCAGTGGACTTCAGACAGGCTGCTGAACATGTCAGCTAAGACATTCCCAGGCTCAATGCTGGGCAGCTGTCTTACATCACCTGAAGGAGCAATGAGGCACATAATTTGACATTTTATTACTTTCCAGTGCGTGGAAAATCCAGCAGCTCTCCCTCAATGAGCCTGCCATTCACCCAGGGAGTCGAGCACTTCTCATCATGGTCTAGTGGGAAAGGGCCAGAGGAGACAAGCCAGTCCTCTGTACGGCAGTATGGTGCTTGCTGGAACAGTTTTCTTTTAAATTCTGGAGATGCTTCTCAATATTGAATAGTAACCCTTACTATAGTAAGCAGACAGTTTTAGTAACTTCGACAATCCACTGTCAGTAACTCAATAAATCACATCTAGTCCTGACAGCAAACCATTATCACAGCAGATCTTTATGTCTAATTTATTAATTAGTATCCAGATGGATAAAAAGGTATACTAACAAGGGCTATATAATGATCATATGATGTATATACACACATAATATACAGCACAACCTAAATAATATATTTAACTGGCTCAGTGAAGGCACTGCCTTTGACATTCTATATCACTGAGAAATTGATAACTAGGTTGACATTATAAAGGATTTTTTTTAAATCCTTACTGTATTAAAGGGTAAGCTATCTTTCAATCCACTCCTAGATTTGACTCAGCTATGTATAGCATACTACCAAAGAAAACACATCCCGAGAAAATTCAAGTCCTGGACTCACCTAGAAGTATGAGCTTCTTCAGCTGAGCATACCTCACCAGCATGTTTAACACTGAATGCAGTATCTGCACAGACACCAGGCTCCCTTCGTCTACTACAAATGCTTGAACCTTTGCAAACTTCCATTCTTTTGGGGCTCCATCCTCAGCCTTCTTTGCTTGCATAAAACTCCAGACCACCTGAGAGAGAGCAAAGTCTTCACTGTGAACACTTCTCAAATGCCTGTACAGTGCTCCTCACCTCATACTGTGCTTGCTGTTCTTCCACTGAGCAAGAAATTGTACATTTCCACACCCCCAAAAGCCAAAATATCTGGGAATGGAACATATGGCCAGCCATATCACCCTGCAACTCACAACTGGGAACCCACTGCAGGTGTGAGCCTGGTCAGTACCTGGATGGGAGACCTCCTGGGAAAAACTAAGGCTGCTGCTGGAAGAGGTGTTAGAGGGGCCAGTAGGGGGCGCTCACCTTATGTCGTGATGGGGACACTATACTGTAAAAAGGTGCCGCACTCCAGATGAGACAAAATCGAGATCCTGACTCTTTGTGGTCATTAAAAATACCAGGGCATTAGGGGTGTTACCCCAGCATCCTGACCAAAATTTCCCATTGGTCTTTAACAATCATGGCCTCCTAATATCCCCATCTATGAATTGGCTTCATTACTCTGCTCTCCTCCCCACTGATAGCTGATGTGTGGTGAGCGTTGTGGCGCACTATGGCTGCCGTCGCATCATCCAGGTGGATGCTGCACATTGGTGTTGGTGGAGGGGAGTCCCCATTACCTGTAAAGCGCTTTGAGTGGAGTGTCCAGAAAAGTGCTGTATAAGTGTAAGGGATTACTGATGATGAAGATAATTATTTATAATAATAATTATGACATTTCAGATTACAAATTTCTCTAAGGATATGTTTCACTTCGCAAAAAAGGCAAAGCAAATCACACTGAGTTTTGGTAAAGCATCCACTCATAAATTAATAACTACAGATTTATGATATATGATTTGTAATGCAATAATTAAAACCTAGCTCACTTGTGTAAGAAACGGGTAACAGCAGCAGGAGTAGTAATGACCAAAGTGGGCTTAATATCTGATAAATCTCTACATATGTCTAAATATTCACACTGCAATAGAGAGCCTACTAGCAAATGAGCAAGACTGGCCCAAAGACCCACTCTTGATTCTAACCTTCCTTAAATCCCAACTTGAATTTTATTATCCCACCACAGCTCAAAAACAACCACCAGATATCAATGTGCAAACTCTTCCGTTTTTTTGCGGCCCACCTGGTGCAGCGTGTACGCGGAGAGGCCTGTTCTCTTCTTCAGGAGGGACGCAGCTCTTCCGGTGGGGGCAGTGAGGAGGACCCTGATCGGCTCCTGGGAATCTACAGCCTCCTTGCCAGTCTTATCCTGGGCCTGCCTGGGCACCTCCGAGAAGGTGTTCCACTCCTCAGAGGCACCGCAGTCGTTCTCAAAGTCTTCGCAGGCCTTCCGTACCTCCTCCTCTTCCGAGGGAAGTCCCTTCAGAGCCGCTCGAAACACCAGGCTGACCACCGTGGTCTTCCCACAGCCCCCCTTCCCACTGATTACCGTTACAGGGTTGGCGCATATCATCGCCGCGGCTCGGACCTGATCAGGGTCGAGCTCCGCCTCCCCAGCCGCCTGCCCCTCCGCTGCACCTCTGCTGCGGTGCTCACGCCCGTCTGAAAGGTCTTCCGGCCGGGCGGGGTCGGCCGTGACATCCGAAGGCGCACCGTCCGCGGCGCTCTCCGTTTCCGCCTCCGCTCGGCGGCCATCTTGCCCGACCTCTCCTCCCTTCGGCCGGGCGGCGCGGAGAGCCTCCCTCACGTCCAGGTCGATGCGCCACGGGGTTCCAGCGACCACACGGCCCACGCACTTGGCGATCCCCGTCTCGTATCTGTAGTACTGCCGCAGAAAGACCCTCTGCTTCTCCTGCACCACCACTTCCTGCTCGGTGAGGAAACGCAAAGCCTCCAGAGCTTTCACAGACTGGTTCACGTCTGGACAATCGCTTAGCACTTTCTGGTACACAAAGGTGCTGCCTCTGCTCCTGCACAGGCGCTTCAGCTTGTCGTACAGCATCAGGGCACAGCGCTGCAGATCCGGAATCTGTGGGAGCAGACCAGAGTGCCAGAATGCATCCCAAGTTGCCTCACAGCGGATGAGGCCAAGCTCCTTATAAGTCACCTGAGGTTGAAGACGGGAAAAGAGTAGTTATAAACAGTGGTAATGACCAAAGTGGGCTTAACAATAAAAGACAGATTAAGGAATTTGAGCAATTGGATCTGAGAGAATGTGCCAGTTGAGCAAGTTCAAAAAGAAGTGGTTTGTACAGTTGCAGGCAACTCTAACGGGCAAGATCTTAAAATCAGTTTTTACATTCGAATGAGACTTCCGATCAGACCTGGATCTGGCCATGTGCTTTGCAAGGCTGGCAAGGAATAACAGAAGAGACCTCGTCCAAAAATAATCCAAGAGAGTACATGTTCACAGGATGAGGATTTCTGATCCAGTGGCTTCTGTTCTGTGAAGTTAAGCCAACGTTTAGGCTGCCATTACAAGAAACAAAAGGAATCTAAGGAGCTTTTCTTCTATGGGATATTTGTCACTATCAAATTTAACATTAAAACCAGGATTGTTCGTATGCCCATTTTGTCTCAGATCAGTCAAAATACAAAAGACTCTCATTGATAAATGTAGGCAGAGACTGAACAAAAGCTCAGTGAAAAAGAGTATTAAGTAAAAATTAGTTTAGTGTTAGTGGATCCAAGCTCAATTTCTTCGGCAGGATGAAAAGGTTATAGTGAATATTATAGAATAATAAAAAAATTGCAGCAATTGTTAGTTTTTACCCCCATCAGAAACAACAACTTTGTTTTAAAGAAAACTAAATACATGATATACTGCACCACAGTATATCCACTTTGAATGTCACTTATTTCAGCACATAAAATATTCCAAGAACACAATATGGGGAAAGGCTGGCTGAAGTGACTAATTAGTGGTAAAGCAGAAAAACTATATTCTATATGTATGTAGGCTGAACAATATTTAAACAACCTAGGAGCTTACATCACTATTACTCTAGAATTACATTACACTACATATATATTACATAATTATATAATATTAGACTAGGACTACATTTGAATATAGAGGCCTTGGTCTAATGGCTGCAGATATCTGATGAACAGTTTAAGAGCCACTTGGTACCTGACAATCTCGGACTTGCAACCAAAAAAATAGCCAGAGCTTGCACTTCGAGTGCGTTTGAAAATTGAATTTTAGAGTTGTGATCAAGTGAGAGCAGACTAATCTTCGCTCAGATTGACCTTCCAGATGGATCGTCCAGTTCCAACAAAGTAGGAATACTGCCCAACAGCCTAATCATAAACAGCACCGACGCGTCCATCTGTCAAAACCCAAATTAACATTAACCCGACACTGCAGGAACTCAAGAACAGAAATGTATCCCAGACAGCCCTGTAAGACGTATTGTCTTTAACCCAGAAATTCACTATGTTTGAAAAATTGTTTGCCTTTGAGGTAAACATCAGCTGCAGCATGTCAAACTCGTTTTTCTACATTTCTCTTAGACTCACACTGCTAAATCCCAGCTTCCAAACATCCGTCTTGATAACTTCCTCCAGCTTGCCCAGTAGAGACCTATAATCGGGGGCCTCGTTCTTGTCCTCTGTGCCGGCATGTTTCTGAGGTTTTTCGTCCGCAGCAACAAGGTTTTCAAACTGGCGAGGAAGCAGGACGGGCAAGTACTTCATCACATACGGGTGCATAGAGGCAGCCCACACAGCCCTGCCTGCACCTGTTGGACACACTCAGGTCATTAGTGGGCAGCACACGGATACTGTTTTAGCATTAAAGTGCAGGTAGATGGTCAAGACATTACTGTAAAATATGGTGCTTTCCGTTATACCTTATTCCTTATCCCTTTATATGTTAAAAGACTATGAATGTGGACAAAGTAGGTTTTGTTCATTTTAGAAATTGGCCTAGAGAGTATGTTTGTCTGCTATGGCCTGCTTCTGGGTTTAAACCAGTGAGTTCTGAGTTCTCCTGCTCCAGGACCTTGAGCCAGATGGTTCCCTGTCTCTCCTGGTTGAACTCTCAGCCACCTCACTAGCAGCTGCATTTTCTCTACCAGATCTTTTATCATTAGCATTCTGCTGAACATATCTAAAAGGGCCTGGCATTTACGAATTTGAATTAATTCATGTGCCAATTAGATCAACAACAGTTTGTCTAGAATGGAAACCAATAAAAGCAAGAATCCAGCAGGACAAGGATTGAAAAATCGATGTCTTATACTATCTGATACAAGTATTAGAACACCCAGAAAGCCAAGAAGCAAAGCAGCTAACTCTGTATACCATTCTCATCTCCAATTCTGAATAAAGTAATAGTAATATATTTTCTTGTGATTTCATCTAATCCCACTGCTTTCAATGCTCACTTGTTGTGTGTGTAATACCTCTCAGTATCTACGGTGTATGAAATATCTCCATCTAAAGGCAGTGATCCATGTGTGCCTTAAAAGAAATGTGTGAGGTTGAATACGAACAACACGAAGGTGAGACTTGGACCTGAATGTAAAAATAATACATGCAGAAGCAAGCTGGGTAATAAGACGTTACAGAAGGAAAACTGAAGGATTTGGGTCTGAAACAAAACTGTGTCCAGCTAATAAACTGAAGAGTAACTATCAATGAAATGGATTTCTAGCAAGATACACAGCCCACCATTGAACCAGAGGACTAGCAAAAACTGAAGATATTACATGTAAGATGCAAGTCTTATTTTCATCCTCTTTATGCCAAAAGAATTCAATGTAAACCTTAAGTAGAATATAACCAGTTAATCCTGAGTGATTGGTGTCTTGTAGCACAAAAAGCTCTTTATCGCTCTATAGTTACATGTATAAAGAGAAGATACTTCAAAGACAAAAAAAAAGCTTATTTACTTAATTAGATTTGACTGGTAAAGATGGCTCAGCTACTGCAACACCTCATATTTACTGCTGATGTGACTTCTTTTACAATCGCTGTGACTCTTTTTTTGACCCAAACTAAGCTCTATTAATGACAGTTGCAATTGCTATAACAGTTGAAAACACTAAAGCAGGCTATTTGGCACTAAGGGCATTCTGCTGCAGTGACCGCAGTGGTAGATCCCTTACAAAAAGAAAACACAGCAAATTCAAGTCTTACTTGAATGATTCACCGATGACAACATGGAATCTGCAATTGCTTTGTAACCATTGCAATCTTCCGTCCCGAAATCTTTCAACAGCTCGCGCAAGTTGGAAAAATTCAGGCTCATCCAATCCGGCAGCCAATCCATAAACTTTGTGACATGCTCGGGGGTCACCTTGCAAGCTTTCAGGAATAAGGAGATGATAGCCCTGGAATCGGACCCCAGCTCCGTCCGCAGGCTGTAGAAGGGAAACCCCAGCAGGAACACTTTGGAGTTCCGTTGTCGTACTGGAGATGTCACCTCCCACCAAGGGCTGAGCAGAGTGAACCTGCCCACCACCCGGCACTTTTTTTTCAAATTTGTGTCCTGGAAGTCCACTGCAAAATACCAGCAAGCGTCAGGAAATCTGGGAGATGGTAAGACAGATTTTAATAAACATCACAGTCCCAATTTACTACTGTTTGTCTAGTTAGCATGTTTGCCTGTATGCCACAACTTCATAAAGCTCCTCTCTGAGAAGACGACGCTGTTCTGACACGAGCAAGAATAACACTACAGAATATCACAAAGAGTACTAAAACATAAATCAAACGGAAATTTCACTGTTGCACTGTTGATACTCTACTTCATGTAGTAGTACTACTACTCAAAAATCGACTTCCATTTAGATGTCTCTGCAAGGCATAAAGGTAACTGTGGTTTACTCCCACTTCACACCACTTTGGAACTATAATATCTCGCAGGATTATTGCTAATCGTCTTCTTTAACTTTAAAATGTTTGATGCTCACAGGCATCACTTAAAACCTGACATTAATGAATAACTGTTAAAAGTGCCAGGTGGGACAAAAACATGTTTTTGAGCTCAGGATTCACAACTGACAGTGGTTCTATATTACATTATTACATATGTCATTATCACTACTGGTATTCAGACTAACACTCTATCATTCTACTGTCTCTGTAATACTTTCATACTTTTAAACTTTTATACTGAGTGGCAGTCAGTGCCAACTATGGTAGATCTCATACAGGGTGGGCAACTTAAGTGTTTCAGCATGTGAATGTTTCACCCAATTTTTGTTTGTTAAACACCTATAATTTTGGCTTTTTAACTAAATTGTGTCGTTTTGTGTTTTCCTGCTTTCGAATATAGAGGTCCTAATTTCCATGTGAGAAACCCGTATCAAATCTATTTATTTGATATCTAGCCTTCTTGTTGGGGCTGGTTTACGGTCGTCTTCAAAACGTTTGTGCCTAAAATGACCAATTCCGTTATTGACATGCCCCCTCAGAAGTATTTCGAACGAAATCGAAATAAATAGCAGCTGACACGACGAGCGGCACTGCAAAACTGGGACACTTCTCCTGCAGGTAAGAGAACAGCCCCCCGGTCCTACACTCGCGAAATTAACACGTGCCAGAAACAAAGCAAAATGACCCCTCCTCTTCCAAAACCCACCCAATTATCTCGCTCCTGGAGGACTTCCGCAACAACATGTTGGAGGACCACATCAACTAAGAACCGCATAATTGTTGACGTAATGCAGTTTCTGTATTGGATTATTATTTTTTTTTCTAATCGAAAAGGAAGGCACAGTAAAACACCTGTTATTTCAATATTAAGTTTACTTCCAGAACGCCCCTAGATAATTATTACCTTCTCTGCGGCGGGGATACGATCCTTTCACCAAAAGTCCCCCTGATGACAAACTTGACATTTCTTTGAAATCCAGGAACTCCGGCTCGTCTTCGTCTTCCTCCTCCGAATCCGACTCATCTTCATCCTTCACTGCTGTTTCAGCTTTTCGTGGTAAAATATAACCAACTAAGGTCCTATCTCCTGTTGGAGCCCCCAAATAAAACATGACTTCCCCCACCAAGCAATCAACACTGAAAAAAACGCGCCTTTCGTTTGTACTTCCTCAAGAGGCTGTCGCGGGCGTCTCTGACTGGACCAACATGAACTTTAACCTGGCTGCTTCCAAAACAGAAGTCACGGGCGGACAGGGAAGGCGGAGCTCTAAGCTTTTGCTTTGGCTGTGCTCGAGTGTAAGGCTGCATATTTTAGTTTGGGTAATTTAACTAAATATATATATATTAAAACGTTAAAACATTAATGACTCGCAACTCACATAAAATCATTTAAGCTCTCATCTGGTTGAAACCCTCTAAACTCTTGATTATTTCTCTTCATCCCTTACAGGGCAGATATGAGGGTTGACAATTTTCAATATACCAAAAAGAAACCATAGAAGACAATATTCAGAGCATGTGTAAATTGGCATTTGATATATTTAATGCAACAGCTCACGCCTGCTGAGCTTCAGTGGGTGACAGATGTGTTTTTTTATTTTTACTTATTTTAAACGTAACACCCCTTCACTTCAACTTGCCTAAGTACATCTTAAAAATAACACCAAAAAAGGTTAATGATTACGCAATCTGTGGTCAGGAAACCACATTGGTCTTTGACACGTGAACAGCTTCCTTGTTCTCATTGTTCAGAGTAGGGGAGATTTAGAGCGAAATTAGGTAGCAAAGTGTATGAGTTATTTCAGGCTAAATCCACAAAGACTCTCCTAGCGTCCGGACATTTTGTTTTTTTAGTTTTATTAGTTATTATTATACGCATGTTTTTCAACATCCAGACAGAATCAAAGGTCTATAAACCTGTCAGGGAGACAGATTTATTTTGATACGCTGTTTATTTTAAAACACTGAATGTCGTGGGTATTCACTTGTAAAGGATACATCCTAACTACAAATATTTATAGAAAACAACATTTTGCGCTAGTATGTAAGTAATTTTCCAGCACTGTTAGTTTCATGCAACCCAAAAATGGGATGGAATTCAATCAACAAGAATCAAGTGACATACAGTAATACTGAATTCTGGATTTAGTATATTTTGAAATGAATGTGGATTGAAACAAAGGAAGACATCAGAGACTAAAATGGGATATTTTAGTGCATATATAGTGCATATATATATTGCACATTTTAGACTTTTTATAATTCTATATCATGTGACCTTATAGCCAAGTATGTTATTTTACTGTTTGCAATATCATCATAATAGTTGTAAGAGTATGTATAACAGAGCTAAAAATGATCGGTTTGTCATATAAACGTTTGCAACAAGCTTGACTTAGAACAGTCAACTGTTTTTGTTTTGCTCCATTCACTGAAAATACTACTTAACGCAACAAATGTTACCTGTTACACTTCTTGTCCACCAATGATTGAGCGTTTGTGTTCAACTGACTTCATATTGATATTATATTTCATATGCTACAGTGTATCATCTTATTTAGAACCCTTCAGTCTTCAGCAGGTCTTTGGAGACCCTAAGCATGGAGTTCAAATTTCTTCTTACACCACCCTGTATACTTGTATGGTATTAAAAGTCTTCCACTGGTACTATCTCTTCCTAATACCACAACTCCAGCAGTCATGTTATACAAAATACGTGTTGCACTGTACTGGGGTATTATTTGCTGGACGATAGCTCGCGGTTGTCTGCTGACCTCCTGATTAAAATAGCTAAATATAAGTGGTACCTGAAGTACCTGTACAAGTGTGAGGGAATAAATACTCTTCAGAGAAAGTAGTATAAATGTAATAGGGTCCTCTGTAATAGGATAGGACTGGAATCTGCAACCATAAGATAACTTTTGTGGGCATTAAGCCCAGAGCATGGAGTTCTGACCAGGAATTCTGAAGCTTTTCAGTCAAGACGAAAACAGCTTGCCGTCCTGCTTAGACAGCATAAGTAAGAACTTAAAACACACAGACGTCAAGCATCACCTGGACTCACATTCATACATACAAGAGTACATAAAGGTACATATTGGAAATACCATTCAAGTTATAACAGTTTTTATCCACTACACAATTTTAATCAATTCCTAAGCATTTTGCCCAAAGCGTGAAACAAAATACATATAACAAACCATTACAAAGTGTATGATGTTGACAGAAGAGTCTGATCTTCTAGAATGTGGATGCATTTAAAAGAAAACATGCTTCACTTATATTATTTTAAGTTATTTAACATTCTCAAATAAGATAGACATATACAAATGTTGTACAATTACAGTACATTGAATTCCTTTCCAATATTAACAGTTTTCTGGAAATTAGAAAAATTAATAAGTTACATTTGTAGAAAAAAATAATTAACAAAAACTGTGGTTACTCAAGAGATATAAAATATTTAGATAAAGTACAACAGTAAAAAACAAATATTATAAATTTGTTGTGGCTCTATACATAAATTCTGGCTCTAAAATGTTCAGAAACAAATATGTTTCTCTCTGTGAATAAGTCAGTGTAATTAAGCTTCCAGCTAATGCCCATCCTTCTCATGTGAACCTGGGTAGAACATTCAGGGCAATGAGCACTGTATCACATCTGTCTCTGTACCTGTCACAGTTCTGTTGCAAAAGCAGGTTCAAACTCTTGCTGAATGGTTACGTCAAGTGCAACCATGTAATACAATTAGTTTTATGATCTCTAATTTTGTAGTGGGTTGTCTTTAGCTTCGTTTTCAATGTTGCATCTTCATAGGAGGCTACCGGTCCAAACTGAAGAGGAAATTTCAATCACATACACCTTAAAAAAAAACCTAAAAATAAATAGAACTTCAATGAATTCAAAATTTTTTAATAAAGTTGGAGAACTTACAGACATGTAAAACTGTGTTATCTATATCTCAGCCTAAAAATATCTAAATAAAAATATAACCATAAAATCAAAGGTTACCAGTTAAAAATGCAATGACCTGCTGTATAGAACCATCGACTCATAGAAAAAGGCACAAGACAATGGCATTTCTCGCTTTTTGAATGACCAAGAAGGATTAAAAATAAGTCCCTGGATACCAATAACATTTAAACACAGTTCTGCATGGAGACATGCCAACTCGAAGGGGAAATAAAAATTCTTCTGGTTCCATAGCAATATCATCTCACTGATCATCTGTTCCCCAAACGCTTAACTCATTTTTCAGCAGTGAAGTAACTTCGCTACCCAGTCAGTCAATAAAAATATGTAGTGCCAGCTTTTTAATAAGATTTAACTGTTTCTTTGCATTAGGCATCATGAACAGGAATGGCCAATGGTTAATAGAACACTGGAGCAAATACATTTGAAAGCAATGAATACTGTACCTTACCTTAGTCGAAATCAGTTAAGCTCCTTCATTGACAGAAGTTCCTTTGTGTTGAGTAGGCCTTTATTGTACTGCTCTATTCTGTCCTTGAACTTCTCTTTGGCAGCATTTTCCACAATGTCAGGCCTCACAGAAAATCCTGCTGCATCATCTGAAAGTTTAAAGCCAACAGTGAAAAGTCATTTTACAGTTATATAAATATTGCAAAGCAGATATGTGTGATACAGTGAATCACAAAACCCTGGTCAGTGTATATAAGGCATGTATCATAAAGCAAAAACATAAGCAAAAAGGAAGATAGACTCATCCATCCCGTAGAAATCAAGTTATTTCTATTAACCTCGTATTCAGATCAATTTTTAACATAAAAGTTCTTATTTTATGCAAGTCCAACAATCATCAACATATCAATCAAACATATCACATTTGGAAACTCATATTACCACATAAGCTCAACTAGAAAGTTAAATGTATTGCACAAGTTCATGATTCCCAATATATTTTGACAGCATACGTGCATATTGTTTACAATGATATTTGTTTTTCCATAAGATGATTTCAATGATTTTTTCAATGATTTCAATGAAACCAAATCTTTAAGACACCAAGGACAGCGGGCACAATAAAAAGCCTCTCGATTAAAGAAACGCTTGCCTTTTGCGGCGCCTGTCTGGAAGGAGAATCCATTGGCCCTGCACTCTTCACACTCCTTTCCATTCTCTGCAACTGTGCAGCTGCACTCCACTGGCCAACTGCAATACAGATCCCAAGGGTCTTTGGGAAGGGCAGCAGGTCCAGGCTTCTCAGCAGATCCATCCTCTCTGGCTGCAGGTCCAATGCAGATGATTTCAGACAGACTGCACTCACACGGGCCTCCCTGGGCTCGGGATGTCCTGTGCTGGCTGGGGCTCGCTCTGTCCAGCTGTGCTTCACCAAATCCCTGCATCTCATCATTCTCCTCAGGCAGACTGGGAACAAGCCCCTTGTGAAACTCCAGGTCTTTCAAGGTGTGAGGTTGGTCTTCGCTTCTGCACCACACCGGTCTCATCTCAGACAGAACTTGCAGTACCTGGTTCAAGAAAAAGAATCTGAATTTACAAATGTTTTTTTTCTAAAAAAACTGCCTGTTTTCTTAGTGGTGTTGTTTTTTGAAAGATATATTACTGATGGTTGTGAGCTAATCTAAACATTCATAGAGGAACTATTCAGAAAGACAAAGATGTTAATGCTCACGGTACATAACCCAAGAATTTACTGTATAATGTCTTTGGTTCTTTTTGACCACCTACGGTCAAATCATCCAATGGAATCATCAGTTCAAAGGCTGTAAAGATACAAAATGAGAGCACACAGAGGCATACTGAGCCAAAACCTGTCAGCTGCTACTTGGCTCCAGGGCAGAGCGGGAAGAACATAAGAAAGGTTACAAACAACAGTAGTACATACTGCGCTTGTGGTTGGTCTGTTTTTGGGGCGCCATGCTGTGCACTCCAGGGCCAGACGGAAGAGCCCAAGGGATACAGACGGCGGCCAGCTTCCCGCCTGCTCATCCAAAAACCGGAGACAGGCATCCACACCACCACTCTCTTCCACCACATTACACAGCATGTCTTTCTGAAAAATATACATGGACATGTTCACACGCACTGAAGTGACACGGTTTGTACGTCAATTCCATTCTGATGTGGACTGTAAATCCACTAAATGCATACTGAGGCTGCTTGGAGAAATAAAAGTAAGCACTTATTGTTATATAATGATCTCTGTGCCTGATGTGCTCGAATACATTTGATTTATGAAATAGGATGCCACTTTTCATGGGTTGTCATAAAGCCATTTAGCCTGTCTTGCTTGACCAGTAGCTGGTAACTAATGGATCTAAGAACCTCCTTAAGCTCTTTCTTGAATCAGTCCTGTGGGTCACATTTCAGCAAAGTTTGGTGCTTTACATCACATGGCATTTTGGTCAAGCGTCTTACCAGGCGAGTGTATTTAGGCCCATCTTGTACAGCTCTCCTTGCTGTTAAGATCTCCATAATGACCTAAAAATGCAATTTCAAAGCACAGAATTAAAAAAATCACATTAAATGAGTCAAAAGTCATAATATCTCACCAAACATTTGAGGTAGAACTTGCAGGTGCTAGATAGAGACATATCTATATCTTTGGAAATATCATACAGCATTACCATACAATTCTATTTTGAAAGAGGGGACACATATCAACTTTAAAAAAACACTATGGATTTAAACCACAACATGTCCCCACCAAACATGAAAAACCCAAAAGGCAGAGTGAACCAGGCTCTTTAAACGGAGGTACAAAGGCTGATACTCACGACCCCAAGACTGTACACGTCCAGTTTGACAGACAGCTTGCCATCGCGGATGTACTCCTCTGGCAGGTATCCCAGGATGCTGCGGGAGCTCGTGTCTAGGCTGATGGTGCAGCTGTCGTTGACAGAATGAGGCCTAAGGCAGGCCATTCCAAAATCAGACAGCTGGGGCTCAAAGTGTTCGTCCAGCAGTATATTTGCACTACACAAAGATACAAGAATGATCACAGGCTCTGTTTACTGAAAACTGAAAATGCTTCCTAGGCATCAAGACCCCTGGTGAATTAACTATGACACGGAGTATGAGTACGTTTACAACTCTATAAAGGGAATATCAGTGGGCCACATGTCAATCAGCCAGGCTGAAGTTGAGCAGAAAGCGTACAATCCGAACCATTTTACTGGCGTGTTACCTCGTGATGTTGCCACTTATGACGCAGCAGGGCTGGGCAGTGTGCAGATGCTGGACTGCCCTCGCTGTGCCTTTCAGGATCCTGAGCCGAACCTGCCAGGGCAGGAGGGCACGTGTGTCCTGAACACAAGAGGCAACACAAGACCTGAAATCAGACGCCACTTGTGATGCCCTACGACACTGTTTCACATAGCAAAAACAGGGCAGTTTACGAGTCTCCATACCCTTTTTCGAGTGCCTCTCAGTGTGAACATGTTAATTGTTGTTTAAAAAAACACCCCCAAAAAAGCACAAAACAAGAGCACAGATATGTGCAAGACTGCATGTCTGTATCCTTAATGGAATTATAATGAAGTTATAACAGAAAAGTAGATCCTAATCTTGCGCAAATCAGCTCACATGCATGTATAAATCTCAAACCTCGGGCTTAACATACTGTAGATCATCTCATTCAAAACCCTCCCATCAACCCATCCCTGCAGCAACTCTCTAGCTCAGTCCTCACAATACAGAGGGATGTCCTCACTGTGAGGCTGCCAATTCCTTCAGCCAGGTCAAACATACTCTGCATATTCATCTCTCTCACTTTAGCATTTATTAGGATCTAACCGTTATACCCTTTGCTATTTCATTCTGTAGTAACTACCTCTGTTTACTGTTTTATGTTCATTGACTCACCGGACAGTGAAGTCTGTGGAAAAGAGATCCATTAGACATGTAAGGATAAACCAGACAGTACTTCCCCTCCTCTGAGCAATAACCACTCAGCGCAAGAATGTTTGGGTGGTGATAACTACAAAAGGTTTAAGAGAGAAAAGTGTTAGATTTTCACTCACACAGTGCAGGCAAACAACACCAAATATCCCTGAAAATGCCAGACCAAACCTTGGCAGCAAAATAAATGTGAATCAGAGGGATCGGGAAGAGTCACAACTTTCTGAACACAAAAGAGAAGTGAAACTAGTGAGAAACTAATTAGTGAGAACAGGTTTCACAATCAATGTGTGAACTAGATAACGCTTTTAATAAAAGCATGAGAGTTGTGACAAATGACCCAAATGGTCAGAAAATATGGTTAAGAAAACACATAGTATGAATACTGAGAACATGGGGTAACTGAAAAAACACTTTTGTTTGAATTTCTAGGCTACCAATTCAAAGAAGATACAAAATATAAGTGTCAAGGGGGACCGGACTTCGGAGGATTGGGATCCTATTCGAGGCTCTTCAGAATGGAAGGTTTGGAGTAGAGACGGGATGCTAAGACGTGGTCGAGTACAAAAGCTGGGTCCAAAATCCGGGAAGGCGTCTAGGGTGCGTCGGTACCAAATCGTGAGGCGAAGGCGTAGTCGAAGGGAAGCTTAGAGTCGAAATGCGGGTTGTGAACATACAAGTATGGAGCTCAGGGAGGAGACCTCAATCGTGAGCAAGGAAAGAAAGACTAGTGAGGGTTTAAATAGTGCTGAGAAGATTGGTGCGTGAACGTTTCGGGAGAGAAGAGCTCGTGGGAATGCGGGAGCGCTTACATGCGCGAGTGCGATTCGTGACAATAAGTTTTGACATGCTGTGATTCCATACATAAGGTCATTATCTCTGACAAATGTTATTTCAGTAAGCCCATGTTCTGTACACACAAGAAAACCTGGCTGACCTGCACACTTACAGAGAGAGGACTTGTATTTCTGACATGAAGAGCTTCCATAGCTTTTTCCATTCTGTCTGCTTCCCCTGGGAAACATTTAAATAAATAAAATGAATGTCCATTTTGTGAGCACAGCTTTGTTAAACTTGAACATGTCTCTGTACTGTGGGTATTCTGTATGCAGAGTATAATGACTCTTAATAAAAACTTCTGAAAGATCCCCAGAAAAACTCTTAAAACCTTCTACATACAGTACTACTGTATATTATAGCATATGAATTAAAGTGAACTCTAATTACATAAGCAATCAATAAAACTAATCCTAACTACATCTGATAGTACACTTTATTATTTAATATTCTGTTAATCACTGCAGAGATAGAGCTACATGCCATCTTTCAGAACAGAACCATAACTTAAACACTCAAACAAATGGGTCCATTCAACTATAATGTATCCCTAACTGCAAGAAAACAGTGAATTTTTACCTGTTTAAATAACTTTACTGCAAATATTTGATTCCCAATTACTCCTTTATACACTTCTGAAAAAGTTCCCTCTCCAATTTTAAGATCCTGGTGGAAATTCCTGGTTCCCATGACAATATCTGAAAAACTTATTATAGGCATCTGCTCCGAACCTAGGGACAAAAAACAGATTATTCAGGATAACCAGACCGCATTTTATTTATTTTTTTTATCAAACTTTACTGTGTTCTACGGATACTAAACACAAATGACATAACATGTTTCAGAGATCATAATTGCACCGTTTGCTAGAAATTATGGTAAAACAACTATCATGACATCTTACGCACATATTATATCAGTCATGGACGTCCCTGTAAGGCATTATGTCTGCGATTATAACATCTTGTGTAACAGTTATGAAGGTTTCATGAAGATATTATACGACAATATTCAGAAAATTATAAAGGATGATGCTTGACTTTATGTCATGTAGTGATAAAGTATTTATGAAGTTATGACCATGCTTTTTGACATCATTTAAGCAAAGCATTACTGAACAACTTTCTAAGTAACACATCTGAAGATCTCCTGAGCTCTTTTCTTGAAGCACACCAGGGCATTGGCTCCTAGTACCTCCTATTCTTAGTTTGAAATGCACTTCCACATAGTCTCCAGTTGTGTCCTCTGAATCATGATTAAATGCTGATTCTTTCCAATTCCACTGGGATGGCTTCAAGATTGCTTTATGAGGCTTTTGAATACAAAAAAAAGAATCCCCTCCTTTACTGTCACTACCATTACACCTCAAATAAAAAAGAAGTCCAACCGCAGAAAAATCTGTTAAACAGATTTTGCAAAGATAACATGCTTAAGGATAATTTGAACAACTGTCCTATATAGGAACAAGAAATAGGTTTATTCCATGCTGAAAAGAGAAGAGAGAAAAGAGAGAAAGGCTGTGAAGCCTTTTTCGGGTGTCCAATATACTCTACCTCCATTTGGCACATTACTTGAAAGACAGTGGAACTCATCAGGAAACTCACATGTCTCTGCATTTTTCATCTGCAGAGAAAGTATTGAATTATCACCACTCACCAAATGCTAAAAGGAAATACATGTACAGCAGCATCACTCATTTTCAGACTTAATGGAAAAATATGCCTTAGCTCGAGGGTTAAGTCCTCAGTTTGTTTAATTAAAAAGCAAAGTGCCTGAGCCAGTGAAGACCTTCACTTGAAACACAAGATTAATCCTACAGTCTTGAGGGGCTGGTGGACTGCAGACTGTGAAATATGCTCTGTGTGCTGGGGAATTCTCTGTGACACTACAAAATTGGCCAAGTACTGCTGGGATTTGGTGAATTTCAGTTTCCTAAGAAAATGCTTGATTTTGCGGCCCGTATCACTGCTCTGGTCAAGACGTGCTGTTTTGAGAGTACACCCCGTTTCTCCTCTGACAGACATTGCAAGTTGTAATTGTTGTCTTGATCATTTCTAGGGGAACATGAGACTGTAGTGCACAACAAATAAGAAGAATATTTCATGTTTCCAAAAATAAAAAACAATTCTAAAAAAAACACATTATTTTCTGATGTATAAGTGTCCGTCATGCAGGGCATAAAGCAACATCTCTCACACACAGCACTGCACTTTACAGTATTACCTTGTGATGAGATTCATGCAGCAAATTGTTTTCTTTGGGCAGAAATGAACAGCATTTCCCTGCTGACACTGTCGATTTCACTCCTGCAATGATAACAAGGGTGAGGATTTAAAATAGAGCATGTGGCTTTGAGGTTTTCACTTAATCAGACAGAACAAAATAATCAAGATCAGAACTAGCACTGGGAGATATTTTGAAATCAAAAAGCTAATCTAACTTTCATTTTCTCTTTCACATTCAGAAAAAGATAAGAACATCTCAGTGAGCCATCACTGAGTTTTGTACAACCTGTAGCTGAATTAAAAGTTCAACAGCAATGTCTTTCAACTAGGACAGTAACAAAACAGAAAAGAGAAAAGCAACAGAGGGCACGTGGCAATTCAGGGTTCATCAACAAGGAGTCTGTTGTGAAAGTTCGAGTCTGCTCCTTTGCAATCAATACAAGCTGTACATCTGCAAAGTTTTGCACTGTGTTGCAGATGCTGTCTTGTGATTCTGTCCTATTTCTGCCAATGGAAAAGCATGTTATACTGTAGTTCTCTGGCCTCTCATCTCTAGATGCCCCCAGATCATCCTTCAAATGTAGCAAATTGTTACATTCTTATCTCACAAGAAAGGCGCATTTACATGAGCAATATGAGGCTGCATTACCCAGCAGGAATACTGTCCCATTAGGATAAGGTCCCAAGGCCTGATCAATGTACTGTAGCTCAAAAAAAAATGTACTGTAGCACCATTTAGATGGATTGCCATCAGTCACTATGAGTGGAGTTTAGTAGTGACTAGACACTTGCCCAAACCATCAAACCCAGATCTCTTCACCGCTCTTGGCAAGAAATGTGACTTGTGGTTTCCTTGATCATGGCCTATCATCAATGGACTGTGTTTTTGTTGTATTATCTTGCCAGGATAGAAACCGCTGGCTGTGAACTCTCTAAATGCTGAAAATCCGTTCACTGACTTAGTCAGGCCTCCAGCATACCTATGGTTAAGCTGTGCAACTCCTGTTTGAGGTTTTATTTCTTGATTTTCACCAGGCTCACATACAACAGATTAAATCACCACCTTGCCTTACAGCTATAATGCAAATGATCCCTTTTTATGCAGAGCACAAGATGGAACACAATAAAGACCTATGAATAAAATGTGTTTGATCATATTCCCAAAATTACCCAGGGGTTTAAATTTTCTGAATAAAGGCTTTTTAACAGATTTACAGTAAGTAAAAATATTTTTAACGTGTCATCGGCAGAGTCAAAGAAGAATCTTCAGCCCTCTCTAATCTATCCTTCCCGTGAGAACCCAATCCACATAGAATCACTTTGGTGTGACACTGGTAAAACCCATAAATCTCTGGATGGATTCTATAGCACATGACGCTAGGCTACTGAGGAACTTTAAACTCCCCTACCTTATTTAGTGTTTCACATTAACCATCTTGCACTACTGGACCTTGAACAGTCTGTGGTTTGTTTTCTGGATTTTGTGGCTGATAAATTGATATAGCTGAATGCAGAAGCAGAAGTGAAAATTATAGTTAGGTGTTATATTATTCAAAGGAGGTGACTGCACGTGTTCTAGTCACCTCCTTTGAATAATATAACACCTAACGTCAAACTTAACAGCTATTACACAGTTACAGGAAGTGAAAAGGGTAGAAGAAGCGAAGTAAAGGCCGATGCACTTGATGTGCAAATAAGTTCCATGGGTGACCTCAAATGTCATTATCAGTGCTGTCATGCTGCGCCGCTGGAGCGCCTGCTGTCTTTGACTAGTGCCCTGTGCAGGACAGGAAGCATACCTTGGGGCAAGAACAGCTGGACTGCCCTTTGGTGCCCCATCTCCTCCAGGATCTCCAGCAGATCTCCCACGGTCTTGTTTTTCTGAGCCCAGCTCCACAGCAGCTCCCGGGCTGGGCTTTTGCCCTGCGCACACACCTTCTCCATGTAGCGCACCTCTAGCCAGTCAGGCAAAATACGGGCCGCTAGCAGGCAGTAGAAAAAAACACTTCAGTGGGCCAAAAGGAGCTCGGCGGCAACACATTCAACACCAGTTACATCAGCCTCACATTTTTGAGAAAACAGGTGATAAAGTTACTGAGCAAGACAAAAAACAGAGAGACAGGTGAGTAGTGTACTACTAATGTACTACTGTACATTAAAACACAATAAAACAATCTTGATTCTGTAAAACAAATATAAAGAAGTTTAATTCTCCTCTCCATACTTTTAATTTGACCAGTCTGTCTCTTTCTTTTAAAATGCAATTTGCGTGGTTCTAAATCTAGTTGTAAAACAGAAACACTGTAGATTAACTGCATTTGCACAATTCTGAATACCCTTTTTCAATTAAGTACATATAACACTTATTTCAAAATCAAAATCCATTTCTACATACAATGCCAAACTACTTTTCGGTAGGAAACAACTCTTTTTCAGGTTCATTATGTGTGCCAACTCCAGGACTTTCTAAAATGGGGAAGTTAAATGTTGCTTTATAGGTCTATAGTTATACAGTTTCATGATGAACAAACCTACTTGGTTAAACTTTTCTCCTGTTTTCTCCTGTTACACAACATTCACTTTAGTAAAACATTTTCATTGTAACCTTTTTACAAGAAAAATCGTTTCAGTATTTATTTTTGTGGGAAGGCATTTTTATGTTTTATGTTATGAAACTTTTAAAAGTAGAGGAATCTCTACTTTTATCTATCTCTGGCTGCTAGAAAAATAACTGATTTTAGGATATTGTTGTCTACAACATTTATGAAAAGCTCATTCCTAGACAGTAACATTATCAGAAAGCAATTTACTGGAGGTCATTTTGAGCTTCTCAACAATCTACATTATTTATTTACCAAAACAAATGTTTTTTCCAGTAGTGCTACTGTACTTAAAGTCACCATCAAGTAGATAGTCGATAATACTCCTGGGACGAAGTAAAAATGCGAACTGTGCCTTCTTCAGATATAACTGAGGAAATCATGTAGTTGAAAAGTAGAAAGACATAATGTTGTTCATTCTTTTTCATCACACAATTTTATTTTATTTCTAGTCATTGTGTTAGCAGACGTTATTTCTACTCCATCCTATTTTCCTGTTTGCAAGGTGCTGCTGCACGTCTCCCGAGAGTCACGGATAATTACCAGGCAATATTCTCTGGTGACTTACCTAGCCCTCTCCAGCCGAAGTCCCCATCACCGCTGTCGATGATTTTACAGAGCCTCTCCATCACGGATGGGGGGACGTCGAAGAGGAATGTCATACGACTCAAACACTCTGTTTTACCTGCCATTGTATTGCACTGTCAATCTGTTAGGACTGCCGTTCACGTTCAATTTCATAAACACATCCTTTTGAGTAGTACAGTACTCCAGAATAACACGCGTCTCCAGGTCCTGCGCTAACAACAGAAACTTAGAAGTGCCTTAAGCTCCACCTATGAAATGTAAGTAAAACTGCAGCTTAGCTGGTGTTCCAGAAACAAATCGCGGAAACGTATCAGAGATGTACAGCCCAATTATAATTGTAGGAGGTTTACATGGAACTGCTACTGTATCTCATCATCGTTTTGTTATTTTGGTTTATTATATTTGTTATGAAGTCTACATGGAAATCTCCATTTATCTGTTGCCAACGTCCTATTTTAAAATGAAAATATTTCCGCCTTTGTGAAATTGAGCAATAGCGGAACCTCCATTTTGACGTCGATACATTACTCACCCTAAACTGTCATTCACTGAAAAGCATGAAGTTGCTCCATCAGCTGAGAAGCGAAATCAAGGCTTTAGGAGGCTGGACACTACAATCAAATATGGGATTTTGGTGGAGAATCTATTTTCCTCTCGAAGTGTATCCAAAATTTCTCAACCGATCAGTCTTCTATCATGTATTTTCCAATCGTAAGTAATTTGAGAAGGACGTTATACTGGACCAAAATATCCCAATTAAAGTGAAACACAATCTTTAACCAAAATAAGTCCAATGAGAAAGCATTTCTCATTTTACAATTGACCTCGTTAAATGGTAGTAATGGATTACCTCAGGTGAAATTCGTCTTTTTTACAAAAACACTGATGGTGTCATTTCTCTCTCTCTCTCTCTCTCTCGAACCTACAGGCGGTTCATTTCAGGGGAATACTTGTATTTTTCATAATATATTTGTACACATAACAGTTATGAAGACAATTATTAAAATTGCCAGTAAACGTCCTGTTGCATAACAACTGAGAATTTGATCTCAATTGACTTTTCTGGTTGATTAAGTATTTAAATAGAAGTAAATAGATCTAGAGGTCACAACTGAGAATAGGCTGGGAATTTTTCTTTCTGAAATGCTACTACAGTACTGTAATGCAAATACACTACAATAATATTATGTATTGCTCTTTCTCTCTATCGTGTTCATAACAGACATGCTTTTTTGTATATATATTTTTTTTTTCAGAATAAGAATGATCAAGAGTAGTGCAAATGTAGTACTTGAACGAATTGACCAGGGCTCCCATGAGGTGTAGAGGGGTCAAAGCATGAAGGGAAAGTTGACACGCATTTTAAAACAAATAGAAAGTGCTGCGTTAAAGAATCGTGTGCTTAAAAGAAGAAATGGCCAATTGATGACAGTGTCCTGCTACTTTATACCTTTTTTCACGTTTTCTATCAGTGACTTTTCTTATACCCTTGGTCAGCAGAGAAATAAAACGATTTTATCAGCGAAATAGAGGTGTTTTTTTAAGTGACACCAATTGCCACCCTCATTGACGGTGTACAAGATGCACTTAATATTTGTAAAAGGTTCCCGAATGACTGGATGGCCCTGTCAGTTGAAAAGAAGACAAAACAGATCATTTGACAGCAATCACTATGCAGGAAGGTCAGTGGATATAAAGAGCTGATGTAAAACCTCAGCCCAGGGCTGTCCTGTTTTTGTCTTCACTACAGGATCATCAGCAAGGCATGGTAGCTGATTGCCTCCCATTAAATCTGAGAGCCTTATTTGTCATCTAACACATTCTAGGACCTTCAAAGTTAGATAATTCATAATTATATACAGTATGTGTGTATGTCAGGGTCCACACCATTTGCTTTCAAGGGGACATTTGTTAGCTTCAAATGGGGGCTTGCTTATTCAGTGTTTTGATTACTTGCGTATCTAAGACTTATTCCACAAACCACTGGAGTCAGTGACAGTTGTATGAGGCAAGTGGGATTCATTTCTCTTTTCTACATTACTAAAACAAAACTAAATCTTTTCCATAGATCTGTATCCAGGGTTACGAGTTACAAGAAATGGTTAAAAGTTTTATTTACAACTTCAAACTACTTTTATATTTGATCATTGTTTATTCAGGTTAAGTGTATCCCATAAATCATGATCAATCTAGTGAGCAGGAACTCCACAAGAAGATATGGGTTTAAAAGTTAATTTACAAGAGTAAAACCTTCAACAAAATATCTGACTACAGATTTCTCTGTACTTTTTGGAATAACTGCTCCATGTAATGGAGGGTAAGGGATCAGGGTTCCCCATCTCATCAATCTGCTCTGTCTGGAGTGGTGCTGAATCTTATCTGTGCTACACTCGTATTCTAGCCTGGGTTACTAATATACTGTATTCCTATTGAAGAAAATGTGTATTGAAGTGTTAAACACATTTTCATTAAACTAGGAGCTATCCTTTTCAAGACAAATAGATTCAAATCACAGAAAATGATAGTAGGCCACTGAGATGACTTTCAGTTTATTCAAGTATATATTGTATTTTTAAATAAAAATAAAAAGCATCAAAAAATATTTTTCCTTATATTCTCCATAAAGCATGGAACAAGTATTGTTCTAATTTTACCTAATTTCTTACTTTAAAGGACATACAAGACAATATTTGTCCAGGGTTTCATCTTTAAATTAAGCTAGCTTATTTTTTAGATTCATGGATGCTAAGATGTTTTTCCATTCAGGTCTTGGCCTATATAAAGGCCTTGTTTCACCCATATGCTTTGTTGCTAACACACAGAAAACAAAACAAAGGAAATGTTAAAAAAAAGGGTGGTCATTTGGCATATTTCACACAATTCATTACTAGTAGCTTCAGTTTCCTGTGAGTCAGTGGGTTTCAACAACATGGGTGGGTAGTTTGCCTACTACCTTTTAGAGTACTTTTCAGTGCCTCTGAATTTTCTAACCGCATCTATTTTTAATTTTCACTTTTCACTCTGGCATTTACACTAGTGGTCTTGGGACTTTCACCTGATAAGCAATGTTTGCTGAAAGAGGAGCAGGAAACTCTGGGAGCCACTACCTTTAAGGTCTGTTCATTTTGCAAAGGGAAGCCATGTGAGGACAAAAAAAAATCATTTTTTTTCTTGGTGGTTTCCCTTCCCATTACACTTCCCTTTTATGATACAAAAGGATGACTATCACAGCAAAGACAGAAACAAGACCTTTGACAACACAACTGTCCAAACAGCAATGTAAGCATATTTTTCCAAGAATCAAACATCACTTTTGAAAGAGATTTGACCAAGGGTCTATTTTTGAAAAGATTTAAAAAAAAATCTGCTGTTTTTTAAGTTGACTAAAAATATTGGCTGTCTATGTTTGTAAATATCTACTTATCCCCTCCTTGACTGGCTCTTAGGGGTACCCATGGAATAAGAATTTCCAATGTTTCAAATGATTGCTTCTTTCCATTGTTGGTGTTAGTTATTTAGATGCTGAAAGACTGAAAAGTTACAGTTAAATATTATGCAGCACAGCCCCCTGCTGGAACAGACTAGAAGAACATCAGTTGCCATCTGTGGCACTTCAGCTTCACTTTGACTTGAAGCTGCACAGATCTGCCAGATGATCCAGAATGATTCATTGCTCTAAAATGTAAAATATTATCCTTTTAATTGCATGGAGATAGGGATTTTGAGTTCAAACTGGCACTCCTTCTTTGTCTCAGATGCAACAATGTGTTCAAATCCCCTCTGAAATGAAAATGGACCTGTTAAGAAAACAGACCCAGAACATTTCAGAATACATGACTAAATCCTTTTGATGATTTCTTTGTCTTTCAAGCAGGTTTACACAACGTTCGGAACAGCAATTGCTTTTTGTCCCACTTGAGGCTTATTTTATGTAGTGGTAATGATTGTAATTGCTTGTATTTGAATGATTACACAATACTTGACATACAGGAGGGGGCCCACTTCATCCACCACTGTAGGGCAACATCCATGTGGGTGACACAGGCAGCCATTTTGTGCCAGCAGTTCAGGTGGAGAAGTGAAACATTACTTCACTAGTTAAATTAAGGGGGGAAAGTATGGTCATATGGCAAAATTCTGGTGCCAGGATACCATGATCACATCCCCCACATGAACAGCCCCAGCAATCCGTAGCTCAATGTAATATCTATTCCAAACAATGATACGTCCTACACAATACTGGGACACTGACAGCAACATCTTCCCATCCAGTGCAAGGGGTGTCACTTGTCACATTAAACCTTCACCTTCACCTTGTCACCTTCAACAACAACCTGGCTTTCCTTACAGGTCGTCTGTCTCAGTACTGAACAGGCTCAACTTGCTTTGTGTCTGAGATCTAACAAGATCAGGCTACAAGATGGTCACGCTGCTGTCATAAGAACATAAGGACGTTTACACACAAATGAAGGTTGTGTGGGCCATCTAGCTCATTTGGTTGCTAGTAACTAAGTGATCCAAGGGTCTCATCCATCTTCCTTTGAGGATTTGGAATGTCTGAATCACTTGCCCTCATAATCTTCTGTATTTCAAACTAAATTATACACTTATTTTAGCCTGTCATTGGAGTGTAGGGCATTGTATTGAGGCTGGGAATTTATTTACATTTCAATGAATGTACAGATTCGCTCTGTGAATATTATTAATTCATCCATGTTCTAACCACTTCATCCAATTCAGGGTCACAGGACAGCCAGAGCCTATCCTGGCAAGCTACAGGCACAAGGCAGAATACACCTTGGACAGGATGCCAGTCCATCACAGGGCAGACACACAGACATAAACACAGACGCACACTCACACCTGCACCGATTTTCCCAGAAGCCAATTAACCTACCAGTATGCCTTTGGATTATGGGAGGAAACTGGAACACCCAGAGGAAACCCATGCAAACACAGGGAGAACATACAAACTCCACATAGATAGCACCTCCCGGTTCAGTATTGAACCCAGGGACGGAGCACAGCGAGGCAGCAATGCTAAGCACTGCACCACTGCGCTGCCCTCTTTAAAAAATATTAACTATATAGTGTGGTGGTCTCGCCTGGTGCTGCAGCCGAAGAGAGCCCTGCTGAGGGCAGGATGGGAGGAGGAGCCAAAAGGGGGACAGAGGGCTACTGGCCAGCACAGGTTGACCACCTGGTGCGGTTGCACATTGTTCTGGGCTGTTGGGTTGTTATGTAAATAGTTATCCCCAGTTTACACCCTTTTATATCTGTACCCACTTAACCACCCTATGTAACTGTATCCCAAGTGACCCTAGGGTGTTATACACGGGTTAGATGCGTTTGTCTCCCGTTGTCTTGGCTGCTGTGCCGGCAATAAGGAGCAGTTTTCCTTTCTAAAAAAAGAGCCTGAACTCCTGTCTGCCTCCTCGCCGACCCTGTCTCACTACAATATGTTTGTGGTTTTTTTTTAATTGAAAAATACATGATGCCACTAGCAGTGTAATAAGCAGAGCTCTAGGAATGCCCATGAAGGAACGGGAAAAAATGCAAGCACAGAGCAACGATCAATCACTAGATTATTGTCTATCAAACTGTCTCTTTGTCTGTCAGTGAAAAATCTAAGTGCGGGTTTCTCATCTCCTTGTTGTTTTCATTTCTTTTATCAGTCCTGTGCAGACATTGCTGAGCAGCAGTTTAAATCGGTAAAAGACTTCTACTGTCACACGCCACAAGGCGTTGATTTTTTCTTCTGTAGAACAAGAAGAAAGACACCCCCATATTCTCCAAATCTCATTAACTTCGCCTGCTCCCACTTGTTACACAAAACAGACGTGCTCTCTTATCTCACTGAGGCAGGCTCCCTATCTTGAGGGGCACCCTTAGTGAGAGTAAGCCTGCTTACAATGGCGATCTCTATCTGAAGTTTGTATTTATCTCCTCTCAGTCTGTGCATACTTCAAGCACAAATGGCATGATAACTTATTGATGTCGGGTGACTCCCTTCATTATAGATGCACCTGTTCTAAAAGATGAATGGCTCGTCAGTGCTGAAAAATATACTCATGTCTTTTGTACATACTGATCGACAGCACTGTTAACATTATAGCACCACACAGTTACACCATGTTGTTGTTCTCCATTCTTAAATGGAGGAAAGTCATTAATAATGTCATTAGTAATGTTTTCAGTCAACACTTAAACCTATGGCAACACCAAAATAATATATTTCAAGGACTACTCAGTATTCTTCTTATAATAATAATAACAACGTTAATAATACAATTTCTTGCATTAGGAATTCGTCTTTTCGCATACCCCAGCTTTTCTCAATGGAGACACAGACACACAGACAGGAAAACAGTGAAAAGTGTAAATATTAGGACAGCAAAGTGAAATTTGCCTTTTTTGCTGCATACTAATACATTTTGTATTTCAGGTCAAAAGATTAATGTGAGGTGAAGGTATAGAATTTCAAATTGTGTTTAGTTGCAAAGATCTTTCCTTCTCTCCCTCACAACTAAAGAAGGCTTCACAGCCAAAATATTGTGGTCGTTTTCTTTACCTTTCAGGCTGGAATTAAGCTTTATGAAGCTTGAATTAAGATGATGACAGAAAAAACCTATAAAGCTGTGAAGAAAAACCCTCAAATAAAAACCAAGGAGATTGCAGACAATCTCAAGAGTGCTGGAGTGAAAATATCACAATTCACAGTGCCCGAAAGACTTCAGTAGGAGAATTACAAAGGCTACACTGCATGATGCAAACCACATCTTGGCACTAGACACAGAAAGGCCAGAGCAGAATTTCTGAAGAAGTACAAAGATGAGCCACAACAGTTCTGGAACAAATTTATGGACAGAAAGAGGGTAACCACAGATGATCCTGAGCACATCACTTCATCTGTATGGTGGGTAGTATCTTTGCTTTGGAAAGCTACTTCTGGAACTGGCTCACTGCTTTTTAATTGATGATTTACCTGACAATGGCGGCAGCAGAATGAATTATGAAGTACAGAAATATCTTGTCTACCCATGTCCAAAAAACACCTCCAAACACATTTTTCATCAATTTACCCTGCAGCAAGACAGTGACCCAAAACACGTTGCACACTTAACCAATCAGGATGATTGGTCAATCTCCTGATATCAATTCCAATGAGCATGCATTTAACTTATTGAAGAGGAAACTAAAGTCAGCAAGCCTCACAAAACAAGCAGCAACTTAGCACTGTTTGTTGTTAAGGCTTGGTAAAGCATCTCAAAGAAAAATATCAATAGTCTGGTGATGTGGATGGGTCACAGACTTGAAGCTGTTGATGCTTGTAAGGGGTGTGTGACCAAATACATTTAATTAGAGTACTTTACTTTAAGGTAATTTGTCTTATGCTGTGCTCTCAGAAATGCTAACTCAATAAGGTTCTTAAGACAAATACAAGCCCGTAGTTATTATTTAAACTATACGATATCAAAAAACCACTGCAGGTCAGTAGATCCGATTTAAGCGTCCGGGACAGATCCAGTTATGTGAGAGTGCTGATTTCACATACTGCTAGACAGCAGGTGAATAACTTCTGGTATTCCCCTGGACAGCTCTGAAAATCCACAGGTCACAGGACCCCTAGATAACAAACCTCACCGTTTGCTCTGTGCTCCGCCTTCGATTACGTTGGCCTGGCTGCCATCGATGATGCTGCATAATACGATAGGCTGGTTGTAAGGCGTACTGTAAGCGAAACGTTCGCGGAACTGCAGGAAAGAGAGCTGCGTACGTCAAACGGTCTGAAACGGGCCTGACTATTTTCTGGATTCTTGTCCTCTGTGCTGCTGTTTGAAATGGATACAGAGACGTATCCCCGATCTTCAATCGAAGATGATTTTAACTATGGTAGTAACGTGGCTAGTGCCAGTGTGCACATCCGAATGGGTGAGTACCAGTAATGGCAGCTACAGAAACTGAAAGACATTTGAAAGCTCTGTACGTGTTATGTGAACTAATTATAAGATGACGTCTTGAAATTTAGATATTTGATACTATTCGGGTGAACTGTATACCTTATTACTATTCGTGTTATGCAAAGTGGAGTCAGCGCTGCTGATGTGTGTTGGTGTTTTTATATCATTTGTTATTTATTTCTGTTGATGCTTTTTAAGGAAAAACAAAACTACAGTGGAAGTATGGGGAAACCTTAACGTACAACCGGTCTTTGCAAGTTAAAGATGACCGGAATTTTCCAGTTTCGGGTCTGATACAGTGTCATTCTCATCTATCACAAATTAATTAGCCTGTTATCTGCAGTTTTTCATAAAAGCTCAGTTTTCCAGGGCCTCTGTCAGCCTGGCCTAATTGGACAAATTTACCTACTTCTCCGACCCCTGCAATCTTTGCTTCATCTTTAAAGACTGCTTGAAAG